AGGAACTACACTGCACATTCTCATACAGTAGAGTTGCGCATAATTCTTTTCTACATTTTGGTCACTTATACCTCATTGTTATAGATGGTAGTTTTTCGTTGTTGATGTGACTGATTTGATTGACCAGTATTGGCATATGGTCTCTTATGCGGATCCGTCGATACAACCTGTAATTTAAGTTGGCGGTAATAATGGACGTTGATTACCACTGAAATCCAGGACAGGGGTTTCGTCCAACTTGGGCATTGACAGATGAATGTATCTGGTTCTCGGTGAATGATTTAGTTCTCATTAAGACTCGAACTCAGCACCCACTGCTTCAAATACCTAAGCGTTATCTATTAGTTTATTTAATGACGATAGTTTTATGTTACAATTTGTAGTTTCTGGCATTTGAAATGATTATTCCAGGGTTTAAGTCTCAGGGGAACAGCATCACTCACTGGGAGATAAGTACATCCAGCTGATGAATGATAGACGGGACGAAATGCGTGTTTTGGATTTCACTGCTAGTCACCATCCATCGTTAGTTCTAGGCCTAAAGTTTATTTGTATCCGTGAGGTTTTTCTTGGCGAGAAGTATTACGCATGAGTTATTATTTGCACAAATTGTTTTAACTGAACTTTCAAACGAAGCTTCAAGAACAAGACGATCCAAGGGTCTTGTAGCCAGAGTAGATGAACTTTGAAACAGAATCTTAATTGTGTTTCTTGATGCATTACGATTTTAGAGTAAGTATACTTGAAACTATTTGAATTTTGAATAGTTCCTTTTGAGGATTCTGAAATTAACTCATTATGTCATTAGTTCTTATTCGTTTCATGTAACCTTCCAGTAATTAGTCAATGAATAGAAGTTTAAAGACTTCAATCAAACCACCTCCGAGTAGATATTGTCCAGATCGAACTAAATAGAAGTAAAGTATGATTGAAGCTGTCATACAATCATTGAAAAGTAAACCAAAGTGACGGGTCACTAGAACATAGATGACTATGATAAAAATAATGCGAACAATTGTAAATAAAATCGAAATACATTCATACAGTAAACAGTGAGCCACACTTATTGTGCGAAAGGTAATGATCCTACCTAGCTGCTCAGACCTCGACTAGTGAAATGGTATTCGAACCTGTGACCTATTGATTGAAACTTAGCTGCTTAAATCAATTGGTCACAGGCTCATATGGGAACAATCAGTAGAAATGGACTCATACACAGTTCGAAAAATTGAAAAGCATAGAGCATCCACATTCTGTTGCTCACACAGGGTCATAACCACTTACAGAGTTTATATAACCATAGGTATTAAGTAGAAACAAGTGGCTCCGCTTTATTGCAAAAGAGGTTTTTTTAATTGCCTTATTCAAATTGATGGTATGAATGGGATATCCAAAATACTCAGGAATACTTATTGCTTACTTAAAGCTTGGTCTATCGCGTGTTTAACGAGATGCATCGGTGTGTTTATGGTTCATAAGATATAATATTTTTAAAGGTAAATGTGTACTGATAGTTGTAGAATTTTCATTTGGCTGATCAAAGGCTTTCCGTAACTAAATCAACCTTTAAGAAAACTAAATAGTGTTTTATGGTATTAAACTGCATTAGTTTATTAAGTGGGTTTTCCCTGAAGAAGCTCGGATCAGATTTCTGGGCGAAACGGGGTTTTTCCATATACGCTGATATTTTTACAAATGTAACTTGTTAGATGTTAGTTGAATAGAAGTAATCGGCAGGAAGCCCTGGATCTGGGCTTCATACTTGTTGGCACTCGTCAGAGAGGCATATCTACAACATCTACAGAACTAATGTGCCGCCTGAGATTCGAATGCTCATCACTCAGTGCTGCAGTCAGAGACGTTACCATATATCAATCGGGCTTCCTCGCGATTGTTTCCATCTAACTAACATATATCAAAGTGCATCTTGATGCTGGGCCGCCTAGTCTGGTGGCCACATTGCTAACTGATCAATAGAATCCAATCAGTACTTAGGTCTAGACAACATGAAGTCAGTTACCCTCCAGCAACCAATCAATCTAAATCTAACTTGTATTATGTGAATTAGTTCTGAAAAATGCCATAATTAGTCTGGCTAGCATATCTTCGAACGTTTTAGCGTATTTTAACAAAATTCACACGAGGAAGACTGAGAAACTAATATCTCATTATTTAGGTTTCATTATCAGGTTCATGTACTAGACGGTAAGAAGCCACATGTTCTAGCAGGGTTGACGATTCCATCTCACTTCTCGAAGAGGTTTTCTAACTTGTGGCCCTCTAATCTTAAATTTAACTATTTAGGTCCATCCACCGCAGACAGTATCGTACCAAAATTTTATAAGGGTTATTGTAAATTGTTAGTTATAAACCATAGAACTAAAGTTTCACTTTCTGGATTTGTCTCCCTCGGTTTTGGCATTTGAGTGAAACTGTTCACGCTAAACAAGCGGTTGATAAACCTAGTATGGTATACACCTGCTCTTGATTTCCAGGGTTCTGTAGAATACATTTCACAATAAATTATTACTTAGTTGTAGATAAATACTGGACGTTTCACGTGTATCACTAGGTGTTTTTGCGTTCAAATAAGTGTACCGTGTGCGTTTAATGGTAGTATTTACTACTGCAAATGAGTGTTAATTTAATCTAAGATACTTTGGTAAGTTTTTAAACTCGACTTATCTATGTGTAATAAATGTTAAATGATAATTTCCGGCTGAGTTACATTATATTTACCATATTTATGTGTATCAAGTTTAACTCTGAAAAGTGCATAAAACGTTTGTTTCTTCGTGCAAACAGCCCTTGTGGTCCAAAATTAAGTGCATAGTTGGAAAGCTTGAAAACTTACATTCCTTACAAAGTTAAGCTAAAAACAATATTGCATACCTAGATAGTAATTATTCCTTTGATAAATGATTGAATTAATCCTAGCGAAAACATTACAATACTCTATAATTAACCCTGTTATATTCTGTAATCTTGTGCAGCAAACTTAACGAAGCCACTAGATAAAAATAATAGTAGTATTTAACGCTTAATTTAACTATAACTGAAAACACATATTCACTTCAGCACAATATTTTACTATGGGGAGAGAGAATCTTAGGAAGTAGATGAATGTAATTGCTGTATGCACTTGTCACATTTGGCAATCTCTATCTGAGTAGAACGTTTGATCATCTATGAGGGGTTAGTTAAGAAGCACCAATCTGCAACGGATAAAATAGGAGCTATACGCATTAGTGTGTAGTTCAAGTTCCTATTCTTGATAACAGCACAGCAAAGTATCAACAAGGGAAGGCAAATATGGAGATGCGGTGGGGTAAGAGGTATTAGGTAAAAAATAAGTGTGGAAGTATATGGTCTCAATATTTGAGGGAGTATAAATGGTTTATTTTCATCATTAGGATTGATTGTGGCTTTATCACTTGGAGTTTTTTTCCTCTGGCTTCAGCTAGAAGGTTTACGACTCCATATTACAACTTAGAACAGTAGTTAAAAAAAAATGTAATGAACTGGTATCACCTTTTAGTCTGATTAATGCAAAGCATTTCAAACCTCTACATTAGAGTAGTGGTTGTGCATTCCAACACATGACACTTACTATGGTTGACTGATTTATAGTTTTCGTTCCAAACCTCAACTTCTCTCGCTTACTGAGTTCAATTACTTTCGAACGACTCTTCACAACAACTTCAATCAAATACCTGAAACATACATATCACCTATTTTTGAGGATCAAACTTTCGCTTTCCATTTGTGACGAAGTAAACTTCTGTACAACATACAGATATTTGGCTTGTCAATATAGAACCTTTTATATATATGACAAGAGTGAGTCTCACACGAGATTAGTGGATCGGTTTATACATTCGACAAATCTGTTTCTTTTTGCTTACCTAGAACTCAGTGCATACCAGATCTATAGTTGAGACATGATTGAGAAAATATTATATCAACATCTAATATTGTGAATGATCAGGAAGACCAAAGTTTTTAGTTATTCGGGTCATTGAGACTGTTAACTTTTAAATAAGATGGGTGGTGATAAAATTGTACTTGGAGTAGAAAGCAATGAATTTGTATGATGAGTTTGCTTTGACAAATAATTGATTTTATGCAATTTCGTTCTAAATTATAAATAAAATCATAGGAAATGTTTTTCCTCCACCTAATCTAGTGAATAAAGTCGTTTAACAACGATGATAATAGAAATGATTTATGTCAAGTGTTTTTTTTTCCTTTGTGAAGCCTTCTTAATTTCTTCTATTGTCTGTACCTCTTATTTATTAAGTATCAAGTTTTCAGATAATAAAATCCTTGATCTATCAACACAAGTCATTTGCATTTACCTATAATTTTGAACAACATTAATGCCTACTGTAGGGAGTTATTTGTATTATCTAAAATTCATGATTATTGAAGTTATTGTTTGGCTTTTTGTTGAATATGGGATTTTACTTAGTTATGATTTTGAATAGCTCATTTTTGTTTGATGACTGAGTATATTTCTATCTTTCCATATTTCTTGTTCACTGTTATAATACGACCCAAATTAATACGTATTCATACTTTTCTCCTCTAAATTCATTCAATTTTCAAGTATTTACATGAACAATGACATTAAAATGATCTGTCGAACTTATGAGATGATGCGTTACTGTATACTTTCCAACCTAGTTATTTTTAGTAACTGATTGTAGCATTTTCGATAAACTTCTTTGTGTTTTTACAAAACTAGTCTATGTTTATAAGTTCTTAGCATGTCTATTTTCATTAGCAAGTAATATGTGTTCAAGCACTGAAGTATATCTAGCTTCATGCATATGATCTGTTCTCCACGGAATGGAACAAGTTTTCTTACACCAAGCTGTTGATGTTAATTGATGTAAACTTCAGTATTTACTATCCGTTTTTTGTTTAAATTCGTAATTTCCCGATATTCTATATGCTTCTTATGAATTCAATCCAATTTTTATTTAATTACTGAATAGATGTTCAATGCATTACATCTTTCTTCACGTGGGACTGTTGGCAAACAGCTAGCTAGTGAATTATTGCTAAACTTTCAGACAAAGAATTATGATGTTTCACATCCGAGAGTTTACAGTGATTGTTCCGACGTTCTTCTGGTTGCATTCGCTTCACAGCCTGTTGATCCAGTACGCTATTGGTCCTTTAGGAACTTTAATCCAGAAACCGACCTACCAAACGGACAGTATGGTTTCGATAGATCAAATGAACCTGGATCGATTCTATTGGCTGGCTCTGCTATTTCCTTATTTTCTATGGCAGAGGTATTTCGATTTTGATTAAAAGATTTATGACTGTAATTTAACTACTATATCAAGCTGCAGTAACCTTTGTTTCGACAGAGATATTCTGTTTTACATCGATCAATCACCGGAGAGTAACGAATTTCACGTTTTGTAGTCCCAAGTGTTGCAGTGTATCCACCAAGCTAGGAGAGATACCCTTGTGGGGCAGTTTGATAGTTATTAGTTGGTTGGAGACAATTGATAGGAAGCCCTGTACCTAGATTTCATGTCTGTTGACACTCATCAGTAAGGCGTATCTGCAGCTTCAAGAGAACTGAACTGATTCCCCCTGTGAAATTTGAACCCATTTAACTGAATCTTGGAATTAGAGACGTTATGATTGGGCTACGCGGACAGCGATTGACTACATGTAGGACTGGACTCAGTTTTACTCGTTATGATGGAATACAGACGTATTTTTTGTTACAATTTGTAACAATTATTTTGAAAACAAAATATCATTTATAAAGTTATTTTGCATGATTTATATTCTCTATACTCTTTTATGCCTAATAACCTCATCTAAATACCTTAGAAATAATTATAGTGAAACAGCAATTATTCTTTCCACCTCTCACTTATTTTTGATATCAACATGTTAATTCATTTGGAAATCTACTTATTTATGAATTCATGACTGCTCTTTGAAGATAGAATTTCTTCTATTCATTAGATTAATGCAAAATTTGATCGTGTCATAATGGATTGCTTAAATGGAGATGGTATGCGCGGTCCATCACATTTTATGCATTCAACAAGTCATGACAAGTCCAGATGTGTGAATGATGAACATGCTGTAAGTGGCAATGTTATTATTTCTTATTTGTATTGGTTACCAGTGTAAATACTCGTTTACTTCTTCTAGATAACACATAAATCTGACATATCACTCATTCTTAATCTAGGAAAATGTGTAATTTTGAATATTTTTTGTTTACTTTCTTAGAAAAATTTTATTTATGATTGTCCAAGTGGACGTCAGCTTAATCAATTTATTACTGGTCATGGTCCAGATGATGATCTTTGGGCTCCACCATTAATGTATTTTGAATCCAATATTACTGGTATGGCTATAACGGTTGTGTCGAATGATTTCACAGTAGCAATATTCACAACAGATGACGGTTATCTACACAAAGTATGTATCTATTATTTGTGTACTGTATCCATTCTTCGATAATGTGTCGTTTTATCATACTCACCTGTGTGAATTGTTTCATAATCTTTTACTTCATATCATTTGCCTAAGTTTTTAAAAAAAAATACTACGAATAACTAAATACTACAAGAGTGTCACCATCGGTGGTGTTGAGTACACTACCACTAAATGTAATCGTATGCATTCAAGCTGTCATTCTTCTTCTTGTCGTTCATATTACTGTTTTAATGGAATATGATGAACGCACGCAGATTTGTTAGGTGTAAAAAGTCAGTATTTTGAACTAATTGGATAGAATTGTATAATTTGTCAAGGTTTCCTATTTCTCCCTAAAACAGTACACCACGATATCATCATTTGAATATCATAGTTCGATGTGTTATCGAGGTTAATAAACAGCTTTAAATGTAGTTATTTTATCAAGAGAGATACAACCATCTCATCTGTTAGCGTATTCTGGTGTGATATCAACTCCCTTAAGACATAGCAGTTTAGGCTCATGCTAATTGGTATCATTAGGAATGATGAAATTTAGGTGGTATTCAGATGCATACTATTCATCAGACAAAAGTGTCTATCATTCTTGGTTACTCTATCTAATTCGAAAAGTAGGACATAAAACTGGTTCATTGCATTTCTGACCATGTATAATATAGAACTACGAAACGTATTTTAGGCGAACCATATTTACTAAAGTTTCGTTAGTCTGTATTAGTTAGGATACTGTGATTGGTTATTTTAAGGTCTTCTATGTACTTTAATACATCTTTTCATGTTTTCTCTCATACGTTATCCTACGAAGTAATAGTTGGGATTAACAGTTTTAATGTAGTTGAAGTTGAGTAATCTTAGTTGTGTTTGCTTAGGACATTTATTTCTCTGAATGTTGTGTATCATAGATTGTTATACTGCCTCGGTAATGAATTCATATATAAATCGACTTTTTTATTGTTTTATCAGTATATGTGGTGATTTTCAATGAAATTAATATATAAAGAAAAATATATCACCATTTTTTATTGTGATTATTCTTTTCTTACGGGTGTTTTATAAATGATATTTCAATGAATGCTACTGAAATTTACACTTAGTACTTGATAAAAAGCAACAATCTGAACGAAGAATTTTCTGTTTAAATAAGTTTTCATCAGGTTCTATGGTTATGAAATGTATTTGTACAGTGTAAAAACAAGCCACGTTAGGGGTGAATACATATTCAAAATGGAGTGAGATTTAAGGACTGTAAGGAAATTGTTTTTTCTTTGTAAACATGTCAGCATTACAATGATATGTAAGCAGATGAATAATCTGATGGTGAAGAAGACAAAAGTGGCCTTTAGTTTATAGAAGGCCAAAGGAGGAATAAAGTATGAGCATGATCCTTCTAAATGCACAGTTCAGGTTTGACCAATGTTATTGCAACAACCTTAGCTATGATATTGTTTCCGGCTCACGATGTGTGACATTGAAAGTCTTATTAGCATCTATGTACTGCTCCGTGTTTACTAGTTGCGCTAGGATGGAACTTTTCACAACTTAGCACTTAAGTGTAGTATAATTGTTTTTATATGATACCGTCGTTGATTGGACCGAATTGATCAGTCTCTGTTGGCATATGGGCTCCTGTGCGGGTGCCTCGATATTGCCTGCGTTCTAATTATATTAATGATGGGTCGTGGCTAGCAGTGGAATCCAGGATGCGCATTTCGTCCTATTTGGGACTCGTCAGATGGATGTACCTGCTTCCCAGTGAGTGATGTTGTTCTCACCGAGATTCGGACTCGGGAGCGATCAATTCGGTCCAAGCAACGGCGTTATCATATAAAAATAATTATACTAAAACTATACCCATCGCACAAGAAGTGGCTATCGTGCCTCGGTGGTGTTAGTGGATAACGCTCCCGAGTCCAAATCCCGATGGGAACAACATCACTCACTGGGAAGCAGGTACATCCAGCTGACGAGTCCCAAATAGGGCGAAATGCGCATCCTGGATTCCACTACTAGCCATAATCCATCATTAATATTAGCACTTAAGTGGTTCAGTATTTTATCGAGTAGGAAACATGTCTTACTGTTAAATCTTCTTAAGATGAAATTACAGTTTCTAAGATTCATCCTTATTTCTTTATGAAACCGTTATCTGAATGAGTTGAAAATATGCAAACAGTTTCAACTGATAGATACTCAAAATAACATCTACCTAATGTGTATTCATATATTCTTTGTTAAGTGATAACTGCATACAAACATAAATGACCATATTCAACTGGTAGTCAATAATTGGTTTATATTCCAGTTTATGCTTACAACTATTTCCAAGGAAGTATTCAAATTTATTTTAGATTCTTCAAAATCTTGAACTTATTATTCAACAAATATGTTCATAACATGATTTGAATATCTTTCTATTTTAATTTTATTTTTATCTGAAAAACAATTTTGTAGTAGTTGTATTGTTCATTATCACACTGTCGTTTTACAATCTTATAATTGTTATTCGAAATTTTTGATATTTCATGAAGTAATAAACACATATCACTTTATAGATAAAAATGAATAAAATTTTTATTATTTATGAATATTTAGAATATTATAATCATCTGTTGAAATTACCAGTTTACTGTTTTTATTGGGGATTTTCTTCAACAGTTAAGTAATATTATATTTGTTAACTACAAATTACTGTTATTATTCATACAAAATATTTTACATTATTATTGGCTTTCTTTTTACAAGCAGCTTGTTGTATAAAGTTCATATTTTCTTTTATTTAGTTTTTTGCATAAACGTGTATATATGTTTTAAAATTTCTATACTTCAAGAGGTCATGACAAGATATCTTTACTGAATATATATTTTGTTACTATGTATTATACTTTCAACTACTTAGAAAATCTTTACTTTCTATAACTCGTCTCTCTGGTTGATTATTCTAGTAATTATGAGAAACTGTTTTCTATTCATACGTTTGTGAACACTGAACATTCTCATAAGAGATTAGTGTGTATATTTACCTGTGTTTAAAATAGATTTGGTTAATGATGTTGGCCTGGTATATAACATTTGTAGGATATACGTTGATGTCATATGTTTATTTTCAAAAAAAATACTTCTACCTGTAGAGTCTCCTGTTTTTGTTTGTTTTGTTTTTTTTGTGAAAAAAAGAATTCTAGTTTTTAGAATGTGAAATCAGATATTTTCTTGAAATTTACTTTGTATCATCTATAGTACATAATAACTTGTTATACTGATAAATAATCATATTGTGTCATTAGTTGCTTATTTTTCTGTTTTGTATATTTGTATATTTCTGTCTTAACGGATAACATATACACATTTCTGTTTATACAATATCTTTACAAGTATCTCTGCTTCATAAATTACTTGTATCATGATTTTGATTTCAGAAATCGAATGTTTGAATAAGGATAATTATTTCATTTTTATTTGCAGTATGAACTTCTTACTCTTGATCAAGTTCGTTTGTTGGGATCATTACAATTGGTTCCAGATGGTAAGGCAATAACAAGCTTGGCTTTAGACCATACTGGTACAGTGGCTTTTGTGACGTCATTTCAAAAGGTTAGTTTCATTATTTTTGTCTTAACGTTATTATTACTCAGTTTCTTTTGATTGTGAATGTCGAGACGTTGAAATTTCTCTCCTACAGCTATTGTCTAACAGTTTTTTTCTATAGTAATTTTATCTTGACTATAATCGGTATGTTCAAATATAAACAAATATCAAATGAGCTGCTACTGATAGGATGGAATGAAATTTGCTTAGTGTAGAAAAGCTTCTGCAATCAGAATATAGGATGTGGAAGTGTTTAAAGTTTTATTATCTATCTGTACATTTCATATGTACGACTTTATTTTTGCCAGTTCAATGAATATTGAATAAAATATTTCAGTAAGGAATGGAAAATGCTTGCCTCATTTTATTCTTATATTTTACAGCAACAACGAAAAATAACTGAATACACTTTTAATCGCTGGATATTTATAAAAATGACTTATTTTTCGAAAGTAATAAACACTACCTGAAGTACTAGTTATTATCTTCAACTGCAGACGGACTAATTCAACGACCTACTAGTTGATATTATCGTGCTGCATTATGTTTTATCACTGTCTATCAAGTTTTACTTTCAGAAATTTCCAATTCAGTTTTTATCACTCTTTAAATACAATTAGTTTGTACTAATCATATCAACTATAGCTTTTATCGGCTAGTATCAAGATAAGCATCATATTACGTTTTTGAATACCAGCCAAAAAAAGTTATTTCTAAGATGAATAGTACTTATGGGGTCTATAAGAGCTGAGAAGTATCACGACACTTGCCGATGTCTACGCAGTCTACGCCTACGCATCCAACAAACTGCACTTCAGATGATGCACAAGATGAATTCTAAAAAACACCTATCAGTTTCGTTACACCAAGAAAAACGTTCAGAAATAGGTAGTCAAACTAGTAGGTGACTTCAGCTGTGAGGTAAGCAAGCTGAGGCAATCAAAAAAGTATCTTGAAGGTTTCAACGACATCCCATCCTAAAGAACTGGCAATTGTCATCATCTACCGCTTGTTTCTAGTTAACACTAACTCAAAGCACAGAGAGAAACATTCTCTCTTGGCATTTACCAATATTAAACGAACGGTGGACACAGATCATATTGCTATAAGCCATCGTTAAATAGGATCGAGGGGGAAGGGGGGAAGGATTGCCACACTTACTGAATTACCTGCTTGAAATACGATCAGGTTAAGAAAGGTACATGAATGTTTACGCCTTAACAGGTGCAAAAAAATAGACATCAGTGAAACCCATATGTGCTTGACTAGGAGATGAGCACGTCTATTGTGTATTAAGAAAGGAGATAGCGAAGCATGTATCTGAATGTGTCAGAAATCGTCTTACCGACGAACTCTGGCGTAAAATTTAGTCTTCTGTAGGGACAGGGAAGAATTAGTTTGTAACCCATAACTCAAAGTTAAGAAAAACAGATTGTCGCCATCTCATCTGGACTAATTGGTGCGAGAAGACTCATGCTGGTCACTTCTAACAACGGGGAAGAGCGAAATCAACTCAGGAGGAAGTTGACTCAGTGTTCGCGATGACAGCTAGTAGTGGTGGATGGTAAAATCGAAGCAGCGGAAAAGCATTGACACTAGTTAATACTCAGCAGTTTTTAAGGTTTATTAAATAAACTGGTTAGAAAAAAGCGACAGTTAGTGAGGCCGTCGCCGAAAAGAATGAGTACCTGATAATCTCTCAGGAGAGGGAACTAGGAAGTTTGGAGATTATTTTCAGGAACAATTCAACCAGTCTGCAGCCATACCGAGTTCGCCCATTATTTAAGCTAAACGTGAATGACATACAGATTTCGGTCCTTTAACTCTTGTCGAAGTTGAGAAGGTTGTTTCAGACCTCTAATAACGCAAGGCAGCAAGGCCTCTGTTTTTCATCAGTATCGTTTAAGGAAGAAAGAAGAAAATTGCAGCCATAGAGGTGCTAAGTATTATACTGGGGAATCAGAGGTAGTCCTGAGAGACTGGTATTGAATGCTGATCATTCCAGTTTATAAAGGTAGAGAACAGTCTTCTTGTAACAATCACGAAGAGATCGTATTTGATTAATTTATTTGATGTAGCGCATAATGATATCGTATTATTTGCTAAATGACGTTTCGAGCACAGTTTCTTGCTCATATTTATATCAAGGTAATAAAATGCATGAAAACAGGCATTAGATTACGCTCAAGAAGTCATCTAGTAAATAATACTATATCAGTGTGCCATGTAGGATAGACTATTCTAATATAGAATTGCACTCTACCACAGTGCTCAAATTGTATATTTACAGTGAGGGATCGGTTTGATTGACATCCTATCCAAGATCCTACAGTCCAAAGTTATGCGACGTTCAAAATCCAGGTAGGTTTAAAACCTGGATGAGCGTTCATTGGCTAGAGCTTCACCCTTCGTCGGGTTTCGGTGCAAAGGCAAGCTCACTCATAGCTGACGCTCGCCATATTTCATGGCGTGAAGGTTAGTGTCACCTGTACTAACCAACTGTGGGTTGTAGTAGTCTGGAATTGGCTTATAGAGAGTTGTTGTCGGAAGTGACGATTACCAGTGATGTCCATGAGGTATACCTGTCATCACTGTTCCTGTTCAACTTTCGTTATCGAAATTTTAGTGGATACAATCCTAGCTGCCTTTGACTTTACAGTGAGAAGGTCAGGTCATTAACTTAGAGTAAGCAGATGGCATGAACGGTACAGAGATGGGTAGACCTCCTGGTTGGAGCCCGCAAGATAGTGGAAATTAGTGTTTGAAAACTTTTGGTGACTGGCTGGAAATTAGCCGGAATGGCGCATTAACCTTCGTTTATTTTTTCTCTCCTTCTGTACACGTTTGTCTTCTTTGATATCACTCTTTTTCTATGCCCTTATTATTTTCATGCTACTGTGAAGTGGAACAACTTGAAGTGAGACTCTGTGTACTACGTTGATACCTATGTCTATCTGAAGCATAATATTAATTTTTCATGAATTATGTAGTCATCTTGATGTGATTTGTCAAATTAGGCTGCTCAAGGCTCTTTTAATTAAACACAATCAACTTTTTCGGCACACATTTTTCTATTATACCAATGATAAATAATTTTAAATCAATAAAATGGGTTTACTGCAATATGTCGTTATGTCCTAAAAGCATTTATTTGCTTGAAAAATGTTTGGTATCTAGTTCCAAACCCGTCACTGTAACGGGCTTTGTGATCTACATACGTTACACACTTTCTATCAGCAGCTACTTCTTGTTTTCACATTTTAAAACTTTCTTCACTTTCATCACAATTGAAAACTGTTGGCATGTCTACCGTCAAACTAATTGTGTTTAAACTTTGTCCTGTCTTGTTTTAGATTTTTATTCATATAGTTTTAATTTTATCGTTTTTCAGGTTTTTCGCGTTGAATTATTTAACTGTTCTGCATATTTAACATGTGAGTCGTGTTTAAAAGCTCATGATCCGTATTGTGGTTGGTGTGTAGCAGAAGGTCGTTGCTTATTGTTTCATCAGTGTCCATCAGTAGAACATTTTAGCAGTATGTCTCATGGTCCAGACAAGAAACGATCTTTTAACGGATATTCTGGTAACGAATTTTCTAGCTCACATCCAATTGTTTGGTTACACTACAATATTTCAACTAATAAGTGAGTCATATACGCTTAGTCTAGTTTTATCTACACCAGTTTTCTGTGTTCGCGCAACTAATTTGATTGTGTTAGTTTTGTGTATAGTAAATTATTTTTTAGTCAGTTTTATAGAATTATTTTAAGAGATTCTAAGGGATTCAATCCAGGCTCATTATCTAAAGTAGATCGTATGCACTTTGTGCACGTTTTTTGTTGATTTACTCATGGAAACTATTGGTGTGGGTACTAAAACTCCATTTTTAGTAGATTTATTTTACTCTTCTGAGGAATTTCCCATTTATGCCTAAAGCAAATGATTGTACACTCCATATATCAGTTTCAGTGATCATTCCGTTGCGGTTATGTATACAATAAATGAATAATTATTATTATTCCTTTAAAATACACTCATTTAGATTACATATAATACTGTTGAAGGTAAAATAGTTACTCATCTAGGTAGTGTTTTGTACTAATTTATGACATATCTTCAAAACTTTCGGTTCTGTAAGAGAGGCATTGCTTCAGTTCAAGTTTAGTTGTAAGGAGTTATTCCTCAGAGTTGTTTTAAAAATAATTCCGTTTGTTTTAACAGGTTTCAGTCTTTAGCTTATTGTTGTTATCTTCATTCAGGTTCCTCTTTCCTTTCAGTTTCCGGCTTATGGAAGTATACAGTTACTTAGATTTAAGGTATCTCATTTAATTAACATCTAATTAGTTTATATCCAGCCTTACTATTCCTAATATTGCTTGTATTATCCCGTCGCTAGGAATGGACCGAATTGAACGGTCTCTTTGGGCATATGGGCTCGTGCTCGGATGCTTCGATACTGTCAGTGTTTGGATTGTATATAATTGATGCATAGTGGCTAGCAGTGGAATCAAGGATGCATGTTTCGTCCTATTTAGGACTCATCAGCCGGATATGCCTGCTTCCAAACAAGCGATGTTGTTCCCACTAGGACTCAAAGTTGGGATCGATCACTTCAGACGCCAGAGCGTTATCCACTAGACCATCGAGTCCCGATAGCCACTTCTAGTGTGACGTGTGTAGTTTTATTGCTGTTGTTTGTATTATCCGTCGTTGAGTGGACCGAACTGATCAGTGTCTGTTCTCATATGGGTTTCTGCACGGATGCCTCGATACTGCCAGTATTTGAATTAAACATAATTGACTCGGTGACTTGTGACCCGGTGGTCTAGTGCATAGCGCTCTGGGGTTTGAAGCGATCAGGCCCGAGGTCGAGTCCTAAGTAGGAACAACATCTCACTGGGAAGCAGGTACATCTGGCTGACGAGTCCCAAATTGGACGAAACGCTCGTCGTGGATCCCAATGCTAGCCACTGTCCATCAATTATATATAAGCTTCCATCTCTTATTGATGTGGAGTAGTAATTCTACTAGAAGTTCATTGTAACTTTACTTAATATTCATCTTGGTAACTTGAATCAATGCACTTACAACACCGTTTGTAAACAACTATTAGTTCCAAGTGTTCTCATTAGTTTACTGTTTACTTTTAAAAATTTAATTGAAGGTGTCCAATAATCATGCAGGTCAGTCCTCCTGGCATACAAGTGAGTAAAAACGTCGTGGAAACCAACAAAGATGTCGAATTCAATGATGACAGTTATTACCATCAACAAAATATCATTTTAAGTTTGGATAAATTACTTCAAGACAATCTCCCGAATTCCAATTTTCCGGATGCACTTTTCTTTAAAAAACAGCCTCATCAAATGCATTATTTCGGTGATTTGTATCATCCCTTAAGAAGTGGTGGTGGTAGTACTATTGGTACTCCGTTGTTTTGTAGTTTTCGAGAAGCGCCACCATCATTTCATCAACTTGAACCATTGGTTTCTGGAACGATTTCAAGTTTTGATTTTAATAAAATTTTAGTTGGTGTCACACGTACACCACTTATAGCAAGAACTGCTGCCAAGTTATCCTATAATTCTGGAAAACCTGTGGAAGCACACTGTTTGTCACCGGCACCTTCACAACTACCTCTTCTCAAGGATGGTGAAGGTAACTTAAGCTGTTCGAAGTTCTACGCTACTTTGTTTCCTGTTAAGTTAACGTATTTTATAAGGGCCAAATCTCTGTGTACCTTTGTACTGGTTCTGATCTTCCAGTAAATTTTTAGAAATGATTTGTTTGTATTTGTTTAGCATCTTTTGTGAGATTCCATCAAACAGTTCCACTACAAAGCATCAAATTGTTACCAGCGCCTTACATTGAATACTTAGTCAATGACTCATACTATATTATATAAAGGGCAGTTCATGTGAAAGACAATAGGCAGTATCTACATCATTATCCTTTGATGTAATAATGTTTTTTTGTTGTTTATCTCTGCACACGTCATTGTTAGTATATCTAACTAGAACCACACTAAAATTATCAACCAACAATGTAAAACTGGATCCTTGAATCATTGAGTTTAAAGTTTTATCTGAAATGTTTGTTTGTGGACATAAGTAGAAATAATGTAAAAATGTGTAATAAATCCCAGATCCCTTAAAAAAAAGCTGGGATTTCCTTGAATGCTTTAAGACCTATCAACACAATTCAATGTTTGGAGAAAAAGTTTTACATGTAAACACCAAATTGGTTGATAAACCGAAACCAATTAAGAATGTCGTGGATAAGACGCGGCCATTATATATATATATATATATATATATATATATATATATATATATATATATGATCTCGTTAGCATTTCTATTTCTGATGAATTGACCAACTATCGAGGATGGCGTTTGAAGGTTATTGTTTCATCATTCATGAATGTGTATAAGCACATCACATTATATCTGTAATCTGAGCGCCTGTTATTTAATACAATCATTATCAATGTGGGACCAGGCATTAGTGCGTAATGGTCCGGGTTGCCACACCTCATATCAGTACATCAAGTAGAAAGGTAATGAGGCGGAGGAAGAAGATAAGAGAACGCAGTCAAAAGAAATATAAAGTATAAGAAGAAAGAAAGAAAGAACGACAAAATGGTGAGATTCGATATAGCGTCGTTGAGATGAGGATAATGTGTGTATACATCTGCGCCACTGACATCGGTTCTGAGTCATATCCCCTAGAGTTTCCAACCACTGGTTCCTCTTGTCCCGCGGACTCCAACCACCTAGTCTGCACTGCCCTACATGGCTTAAATCAACAGTCAGAGACTTGAAACATTGGTGCCATGTTTTAGTCTGGCCACCTCTGGCCTTTTTTCCAGCCTGGGCCTACTTCAGCCTAGATTGTGTGGTGAGGCAATCGGCTACTAGGCATACGTAGTACGTGTCCCAACCATCTCAGTCGATGAAGGTTCATAACCTCGTCAACTGACTTACCTCTTCTCCCTAAAACTCTACTCCTGACGTCTGCATTACTCATGTGGTGACACCACGGAATACGTCCTATACTACGAAGGCAGGCAACGGTGGTCAAACACTTGAAGCCTTCTCATATCTTCCACCTTCAATGGGCATGTTTCACAGCCATAGAGTAGAACAGGGCGGACTGGTGTGCAGTACACGCGACCCTTAGTAGGCAAGCGGATATCACGGCGGTGTCATAGGTGGTGTAAGTTGGCGAAAGCCAACCGAGCCTTTTGCATGCTTGCGAAGATCTCATCGGCCACTAAGCCACCAGAGCAGGTGTGATCCTACTTCCCAGGTAAGTGAAGTGGTCGACACACTCAACCACTTCACGTTATTTTTACACAGCTTTTTCATAACTAAACAATCATTCCACTTAAAAAGGATTACACTTGAATGTACAATACTATTTACGCAATAGCGACAATAGACTAATTAGCACCAAGTAAATAGAGCCAAAAATGAAAACATTTCGAATACTTTGATTTTGTTGTTCCTACTAAATGACTAGCCGTATTTTGAAACTTGAACACTTTCCAATTAAATTGTTACTAGTTAAAAATCAAGTTCACAGGAGGTTTGTCACAAGTTAAGGTCATTTGAAAAGAGTGAACCAACTCCGATATGATTATTATCGTTTAGTTTATTATTTAACCGTATTTTGTTCTTTCAAATTTATTTAATCTACGCCCATTTTTCTTGTTGACTTTCTTTTCACATATATATGTTTATAGCTTCGTTACCAATTATACTATGGTTAGAAAAAGTGAGCATGATTGATCCTAATAATGAAATTATCGGTGCACTTGCGCCTACAATATTCTCCATTTATGATTGTTCTCAGCTTAGAGATTGTCAATCATGTACAGGAAGCCGATTTGTATGTGTTTGGTGTATATTTGAAGATCGGTGTGTTTCAGGTTCTTCAACATTATTTTGGGATGGAGAGGTGATGGACACTGTATGTAAAGATTCTACACATACTACTAACTCCAAATCTTATGAACAAATAAATTCTCCTTTTGGAATTATTCCTGCTGGTCGTGTAAGCGTTGATTTGTAAATCGTTTTGCATTACTTTTATCTCTAAAGTTATTCACGATTACTTGCTTATCCCAATATTCAAATTGCTAGTTATCAGTATTATTTAAGCTTAAACTCATAGTCTTTACATTTGGACTGAATCAAAATAAAGTTTATGGTATTTATGCCACACAACAAGTTTCATACATAATATGAATAATCACACTCAATTCTTGTTGTGCTTTTAGAAGGTGAACGCAAAAACGATTATTTTTTATGGTATCTTGAAAACGTTTGTGTATATGTTGTCATTATGTAACTGAATTTGATCGACATAAGTTTTAAATATTCATTTAGAGGGTAAAAAAATTCAAACAAAACCACTGTAGGAATTCAAAAGGGTGGATTATATGATACTTAGTGAGGATTTTTCGGATACATCATGTATTTAGGTTCGTCAACTAAAACAATATAAGAGAAACCACGATGATGTTAACTTTCCTAGTTTTCATATCTTTTGATCTTGTTAAGTCGAGACAAGTGGATTAGTTGGTACACTTTTATAGAGTTGACTAAGTCTCTTTCTTGTAGAGCAACGATTTATTCCTGAAGTTTGGAATATTTTTTATCATTAGTATCGTTGCATTTCGATTGTTTGATGATAATAATAACACTAATCGCTTGATTCCAAACCATATATATGACAATGTGAAATTCTCAACATATAATTTTTCAACAAATTCACTCTCAGAACAATACTTTCAAACGAAATAGCTATTTGCGTCTGATTGATGTTATTAATAACATTACTCAAGGAAATAATAAGAAATAGCCAGCTAGTTTTAGATGGGGGTTCAGTCTATAATGAAGAATCGATAGAAATGTAAGCGTAAGTTTGGTGGTGGTGGTGGTGGTGGTTCATTCACCTGGAACAGAAATCTGCAACTCAAGGTAGAAATATGATGTTCTTTTTTGCCCTGAAAAGTTCACTTCCATATAACGTAATATTTTCTCTCTTCTTTGTTACTGACCCGAAAAATGTAGAGTTGAAAACAGTTTAAACATGTCTAAGGGTGTATGATGCATTCAAAAAACATATTTAAATCACTAAAGCAAATTGAAAGAAAAGAATTTGATGAAATATGTTCAGTGGATAATTTTGGTAGTCCAAAGTTCAAGCAGGCCTCTTTAGATACTTGTATTTCCCTGTTTATATTTCGATATTATAATGTTTTTGTATTTTTAACAGGCTGAAGACTGTCCCAGATTCAAAGGCTCATCTCAACCGATTACACTAACTAGTGGTTCACCTCTTGTCATTCGTTTCCATGTGTTAAATGTTCAGGTATGAACATTATTTTTTGTTTCTAATATCTATGTACAAATCTTAACTCTCACTTGTGTTTATGACTGTTATTTAGTGATAATAAAGAAATCTTTAATGCGCATATATCAACTTATGAAGCATAATTGTGTAGAACAACGATTAGGGAAAATGAATTACTGGATATGGATTCTATTCCACCTACTTGACTATGAGAGACCGGATATTGTTATCGGTCTTCATAACGAAGGGAGGTTTCACGTAAATCACTAAAATGTCTGTATGTGTCATTGACTACAACGTCTATACCGGAGGATGGAATTTGTAATCATTTACTAAAAACATTCACCTTACAAATTGCATTATCAACTTTACAAATCATTTATAAACATCCACTGTGTTATATAATTTTATAAACTCGAATGCATAGTCGGAATTTCGTCCACTTGCCTTTTGCAACATCATGTTAATTATTTAAATACTTTACTGTTGTTGGTGGCCTATCGAAACTGAAAGTGGTAGTCAAGCAAAAAATGTTTTCATCATAGACTTCAGAATTTAGGTGCTTGTAATTCCTTCGGCTTTAACTTGACGAACTGTCTTCATCACTTCTTGTGTGATTGATTTTTTATAACGTTCATCTTATTATTATTATTTGTCCCTTGTGTTCCTAATGGAATATAAAGCTTCAGTAGCACGTCTCCAGTGCACTCTATTCCCTGCAAACTTTTGAACCTGGCTCTACAACAGCCCAGAGCATTTCATTTCTTCCTCACATAATCTCCTCCATGTCACCCTCACCTCGGACAACCAACTCGTCACTTCCCATCTGGGTTCCAATCGAGCGACTGGCCTGGAGCTTGATGTCCCCAGTCGGCCTTCTCAGTGTATGCCCAATCCAATCCTTCTCCACTTCCTTCCAGTGCATATTTGTTGGGTGGTAGGTTCTTGGTTGGTTCGTCGCCAGGCCAGAGTTCCTTCTTGCTTATTCTTACTACTCTGACCATCTGATCTTCAGTAGCGAGCGTAGACAGTTGTTGATGAATGTCTGTAGCTTGTTGGGAATGCCTTTCGTAACGCGCCAAGTCTCTCAACCATCACATAGAAGCACTGACTTGACATTGGTGTTGAAAATCCGGATGTTGTTCACGCTTTAAGCTGAGTGCAGAAGATCTCCACACTGGTTTCAGGCTAGTGAACACCTGTCTTGCTGTCTTTCCGATCCTGGCTGGCTTTGACGTCCTCGTCTGTGCCGCCGCCTGTAGTTGAAACGGTGCTGCCTAGATAGGTGAAAGAGACAACTTCCTTTAAGTTTCTCCTATTGATGGTGGTTGCTGCTTGTTGCTGCTGCTGCTGCTGTTGGTTGGGTATCTTCATCACCTCTGTCTTCTCTACGTTCACTTGAATGGTGTCCCGTTTTCGCTGCCTCGCCTCTTCTGTCAACTTGTTGGATTTTGCCTGTAGATCTTCAAGTTTGTGCTACAAGGCATTAGACACAAGTCATCTTTGGCGAAATCCAGATCTTCTAGGCTCTTTTCATCGGTCCAGTCAGCGTATCCTCTTCTTCTCGCTCCTCACTGTTGTCTAGTGCATGATCCAGTCCAGCATCACTGAGCTTCCCATTGTGAATTACTTAGCATGTGGCGTCTTCATATAGTTGTTGAATGAGATTGATAAAGTTTTGTTGCATTCCGTAGTGTTAAAGCAGCTGCCTGCCAAATTACTTCTCGGTTGACGCTGTCAAAGGCCTTTTCAAAGTCGATGAAGTTGAGGTAGAGAGTTGACTGCCACTCTATACTTTGTTCTATGATGATGCTTAGTGTAGCTTTGCAATTTGGTCGGCACATGGTTTGTACTTCCTGATGCCAGCCAGCCTGCCTGTTTGGGTCGTAGTTTTGAATCCAGTGCATCCTTTAGTCTCTCCAGGATGATGCGGCTTAATATTTCGTTTTGGGTGGACAGGAGAGTGATTTCGCACCAGTTCTTGCAAAGACTGAGGTCGCCCTTACATTCATCTTACTGGGGTGTAAATTGTTTTCTTGATTGACTGGTTCGATCTTTTGGTTTAGGCCGCGTCATTAGTAATAATTTTCAAGTTAGACGATCTAGAGTTAGTTATAAATCGACCATCAGTGATCTCTAATCTACATATAATTTACTAGTTATTTGAAAGGTGAGATTAATAAGTGATAAAAAGTTGAAAGATAAGTTTTTATTAAACGGCCACTAACTTTCATCAAGAAGGGCTTTGAAGTGTGTTTTTATAGAATAATGTTTCCTAACTTTTAGCAGCTGATGTGATTTTTTTAGCAGAGTAACACAAAGATTCCAGTCATATGTTTTTCATTGCATAAAAGTTAAGGGTATAAATGGTCCTTCTAAGTTACAGAGGTTTTATGCTACTACTGAACGGAACATATAATGAGGAACCAATTACCTTGATACATATGTCTGACCAGTTAGTAAATCAGAGTGGCCTAAACACTACTCGTCTAGTCAACCGTGTAGTCGGACTAGGTTAGCTTACACAGGACTCGAATCGTTCAAATCGACCTAATCTGGCTATCTAATTTACATACAGCTAAGCATTTGAACAAATTCTCAGGTGTATTGTGGACGTGGACCTTGAAATTTGTGAATGATTTGCATGCTTATCATCCGTTTCCAATTTCATCTTGGCACTTAGAAGTTAAGGCATTATTTATCTTATTGTTATGTCTGAAATTCCATTTGATTTGAAATATCAGTATCATACGCATTATTTCATTATGGTACATTCATAAAGCTTCATTCTTGATAATTGCGTTTTTCATTTATTTGCAACTGAACTCTTTGTTTGACCTTTATCTGTTTCGTCCACTTTAGCCGCATACCTAATTTGTTTATTTGATTTATAATCATAACATATGGTTGTGAAGGCTGTCTACTACCACCGATGATCTTCCTGATTGTGGTGGACTGGATCATGCACTAGACAACAGTGAGGAGCGAGAAGAAGAGGATACGCTGACTGGACCGATGAAAAGAGCCTAGAAGATCTGGATTTCGCCAAAGATGACTTGTGTCTAATGCCTTGTAGCACAAACTTGAAGATCTACAGGCAAAATCCAACAAGTTGACAGAAGAGGCGAGGCAGCGAAAACGGGACACCATTCAAGTGAACGTAGAGAAGACAGAGGTGATGAAGATACCCAACCAACAGCAGCAGCAGCAGCAACAAGCAGCAACCACCATCAATAGGAGAAACTTAAAGGAAGTTGTCTCTTTCACCTATCTAGGCAGCACCGTTTCAACTACAGGCGGCGGCACAGATGAGGACGTCAAAGCCAGCCAGGATCGGAAAGACAGCAAGACAGGTGTTCACTAGCCTGAAACCAGTGTGGAGATCTTCTGCACTCAGCTTAAAGCGTGAACAACATCCGGATTTTCAACACCAATGTCAAGTCAGTGCTTCTATGTGATGGTTGAGAGACTTGGCACGCTACAAAACGCATTCCCAACAAGCTACAGACATTCATCAACAACTGTCTACGCTCGCTACTGAAGATCAGATGGTCAGAGTAGTAAGAATAAGCAAGAAGGAACTCTGGCCTGGCGACGAACCAACCAAGAACCTACCACCCAACAAATATGCACTGGAAGGAAGTGGAGAAGGATTGGATTGGGCATACACTGAGAAGGCCGACTGGGGACATCAAGCTCCAGGCCAGTCGCTCGATTGGAACCCAGATGGGAAGTGACGAGTTGGTTGTCCGAGGTGAGGGTGACATGGAGGAGATTATGTGAGGAAGAAATGAAATGCTCTGGGCTGTTGTAGAGCCAGGTTCAAAAGTTTGCAGGGAATAGAGTGCACTGGAGACGTGCTACTGAAGCTTTATATTCCATTAGGAACACAAGGGACAAATAACAGTAAATATTAATGGTTTTAAAGAATATACTTTTTGCTCTAAAAGTGTACATTGGGTTTTGGACATATTGAACAGTGTTTTTTGTTCTTTCTGGTGAGAGTTATCGAGCTTCTTGATATATCTGGCTATCGATGGAACGATAAGTATACGGCTCTGCAGTTCGTTCTGTCTCGTTATATGTCTGCGAGAGATGACCGTTGAAAGTGGAAGACATGCAGTAGTTACAGGGTTTCAATCGTAATTGTCTTGGTAGCGTTGCTCGGAATCACCGTGTGAGTAATCTTCAGGTCAGGCGTAGGGTTCTATGCGAAACAGGGAAGTCCACTGAGGAAGTTGTGAACTTTCATCGGATGAGGTGGCTTGGATTTGTACTGTGCGTTAGACCCACCGCCTACCTCGACGAGGATTAGGTTGGTGACAGTGGCGCAGATGCACTCACTTTTTGACGTCTTTTAAAGCTTGAATGTTAACACAAACCTTTATCTTCAAATTGTTTATTCTCTCACAGAAATGTTTCACTTTGGTATCACTCTTATTCTATCCACCTGTACTTTGGTATACAATTGTGATATGTAGCAACTTGAAACGATTCACTTGTCTGTGAGGTTCTATGTTGGCACTATCTGTCTGTCTATCTATTCATTGAGCTTCACTTATGACTATTTTCAAGGCTATTATGGGCATACTCAACGGTACTAAGTCATGTTTCATGTTTAATTACATTTAAATTTGTCAGATGCTTTACACTACACTGATTGGAACTCTTCAGGTACATCATATTTACGCTATCTGTTTTACTTGTATTTCTCTATCGAAGCAGCAGGTTGTTGGATTTAGTTGCTCAGAAAACTGTACAAACCAGTATGTTCGCGGTTCTTACAATGCATCTGACTCAACAGTGTTCTGTCACATAGAAATGGTAATTTGAAAAATTTCATTTTTAAAGTTATCTATTTGTAAAATTTCCACACATTTTGCATGATTTAGTCTCAACAGAAATGACTGACGTTTAGCATATCACAAAAGTATATAGATTTAAGTGTTTTATTTGCCTAGATTTCGATTAGTGGCCTTTTTATTACTGTACTAGATGTTGTTACAAGTCAAATCTATCCATACAAATGAAGCATTTCTTTTCGTGTTATTCATCATGTATATTTTTGACAATGGTTAAAAAAGCTGGGAGTTATTTTCAGGATTTATTTTTCATTATCATTTAATTAATTGATTAATAGTTATCCCCTGGTAAATGTAAGGAATCCGATAAATTAAATCCAGGCGACTTCTGTTTATTTCATATGAGGAGAGCCATTTAAAAATGCTGCTACTGTTATTGTCGATAGATTAATACAAAATGGGGATGAGAACCGATCCAATTTCACTGACATTGATGCTTTATTTTGCCTATTCAACCGTTACCATTGTAATATATGAAGCTGTTGATACTGATATTAATATCAAATCATTTTACTTTGATATAAGGTTACTCCCATTGTTGCGTATAAGTCAACAAAATAGTGCAACTTAATCTCAAAGGGAACGTAAGAATCTATTTTTCTGTTTAGAATCCCACTAACTGGTACATGCACTGTTTGTTTCAAATATTACTTTACATTTGATATCTATTCACCGCATTATTTCTCAATTATGAAACTAAGACTGTTTCATCGTTTGTTTTAATTTTCATCTTTACATATGGGTTAGATCAATTTGACAGCAAAATTTAATACCCGTTCACCTAACAGTCTAATCTCAGATTCTCGTGGTGCTGCTGTAAATTGTGGTTTGGATCTTTATTGGCATGGGTCAAATGACCGTGACAGTAAGGGTCACCGTATGGTTAATGAAGATCAAATTCATGGTGAGTTGTTTACCTTGATTACTTTTCACTGATTGATCGATAAATTGTATGAAATATATGATCGATTGATAAACTTATAGTTAATATATTCTATATTCCCCTCATACATTTGTGCATTCGTGTTCGTTTTCGGATTAAGACTCTTTAAGAAGTAGGTGATGTCCACTGTTGTTCGACACTTAAATACCTAATGTGTCTGTAATTGTGATAATCTCGCTTACTGTGTAAACTAATATTATCCTCCTTGATATAAGGATTTTAGCATACCGTATTTTTTTATCATCAGCATGAGGATAGACCTGCAACCCATAGATTTCGCATAGGTAAGTACCCCAGCCATCTCAGATTGGTTTGTATATAGGGGGATATATGGTAATAATCCTCCCGCAGGTTCACTTACGGAAACCTTGTTACTACTTTTGCTTCTGAATAGTCGAATTTGGTGGTCTCCTCGGCGTTAGTCAAGCGGCAGAACCATTTCAACGATACCAGTCCAACGGCTTAAATAAACCATTCAATTGGTAGTAGCGACGGAAGGTGTGCATAAAGGGCAGGGACGTAATCAGTGCAGTCTTATGGCTTCCACTTACCAGGAATTCGTTGTTCATGGGGAACGGTTGCAAACCTCGATCCCAGTCATGAAAGTGATGAAAAGATTTGCTTAACCCTTTTAGGTTAGGTTTCTAGGCCTCCTGTTACTGTCATTGTAGTACACATGTTGCCCTGGATATCTTAGGGTATCATATATCTGTTATTAGTCAGTTTTATGGCAATTAAGTGTGCTGCTTGTACCTGTTAGAATTAAGAACTGGTACCGTACCTGCCGGAACACGAGCACACCACTCCACAAAGAATCAATAGAACCCGCACCCTGAACGAGCACATAGGACGAGTCTACTATTTAGTGGATTATAGTCTGGTTCGTTATCGAGTTAACCTGGCAAATTGCTCCACTAATTAAGAATGGTCATGCGTATTGATTTGTTTCTTTACGTAGCTGTTATGTTGTCATTATTCAATGGATGTCATGATCGCCTTATCAACTGTTGTTTTTGTTTTACTTTCAGCTGAAGTTTACGCCTGCGAATGGTTAGCTGAATATTGTGATGAATGTTTGCTTTTACCTGCTCGATTTGGTTGCACTTGGTGTGTCCCTTCTCATGAAAACCTGCCTGTTTATGATTTTGGCAGTCATAGTTTGAAAAAGGCAGGTGACTGCCGTACTCGAAAGTCATGTCTTGAAAACAGATATTTTAATGGAACTACTACTTTACGTCAGTATCCTCTACGACCTGGTGATATTTGTCCAAATCCTGAAATTTTGTCGGTGAGTTATGAATGAATGGGAATCAGTCGTTAATTTTGGAATCCGCTAAACCTATATAGTTTTACTCCTTTACAGGAAAAGAATTGTAGTTCTCCCATATATTAGCGAAGAAAGTAAATTCCCAGTTGATTTTTCTTCATGGCTTCAGTTTCTGAACACCGTTGTCAAAGTAGTACAGTTTGTTAACTTCGTGAAAACAATCTTCCGACATTTTCTTATCAGTTATGCCATTCGATTGGTGCTAATATCGATAAATTAATCAAAGAATTGGTAATGCTTTACGTATCTAGTATTAAATCAAACATGAAAGATTTTTTTAACCATCTAGTACGTCGTTTGAATTCTTAACTTAGTTTCTTAAATGGATTTAATTTAATTCTCAAATCCTCCACTTTTGATAAGATAACAGTCGATAGTATATGACTTTGCCGAATGCGTCTGTCATTACAAAAGAAATCAGTTCTAAGTTTATAAGGAAATTGACATGTACTCACTTTTATTGACTGCATTGATGAAATTCATGAAGTTGTGTATATCCTAGATATTGTTCTTATTCATCTTCATTTTACTTCAGTCACTTGCTAATGACAGAATATTGTTGATAAAATTTTATAATGTAGCCCTTAAGGCACTAGACTTGATATTATAATTCTCTATATTTGTGAAAGCAATACAAAGTAAATTATGTGCTTAAGTTGTGCATTATGTTAGCACTTATGTGGAACCATGGAGAAGTTAATATCCTGCCGCAGATTTTGAATTGATTCACTTAACGTTGCAGTCATAAATATTATTACTGATATGATTGTGTATCTTCACTTCAGTCTATCTAATAAGCAGTTGCGCTCTAAACAAGAAATTGATTTTCACACTAGTATTGCAATCGTATATAATACCCATTGTAGGAGGTAAGTTAATATTATTGACAGATATCTTGCTACCAGTTTGATTTTCCAAGGTATCGTCCGTCAATCAGAAATTGATGATATTTCATATAAAGTTAAACGAAGGTTATGCGGTATCTTAACTATCAGCCTCCAGAAGACTATTTGGATAATGTACCTGTTGTCTGTAACCTGTTGGTGACCACTTTAATGGATTAAACAGTTCCACTGAGTAATTCTGTTTAGAGAATGTTCACTATATTGTATATATGAACTGTAAATTGGTTACTTTGTAATAGCCGTTTATCGAATCAGTAGAATATAAGTGTGGTGAAAATCATTCATTGTCAATCTCATTTTCTACTGAATTTGATTTGAGTACACCATTTATAATAAGACCTAGTTGTTTACCAGTTCATTGTGCTGTCACATTGTAGTATATCAGTATGTACTGTTTTGAAGTTTTCCGAACTCCTTTATTCGTAATTAGTGCACTGAACGTTTCCATACACTTTACGTATATTCTGTTTTACCGCTAGATTCTGGTTTTAACGTTATTCATTGTTCTAGCTCAGTAGACTTGAGCACTGGACAGCTTTTACGTCTTAGTTTCGGGCCATTTAGTTGTGTGCACTCATGATCTTACAGTGCGTCGAACCTAACACTGTCAAGTTTTGTGACGATTACTTTACCTTTGACTCACTGTATTGGATGTGGACGATCCACATTTTACTACTTCTGTCAATTCGCAATATGTCGTAACCATCATCTTTAAAATATAACGGAATTAGTCACTATGTTATGCGTAACCGTATAAACTGTTTTAACTGGCTTTCTCATCCAATTGATATACGTAATGCGAAGGTGAATTTGTGAATTTTTTCAGAGCTTTTAGACAACCATCTGGTTTATTATTATTATTTATCATTATTTTAGCCTTGGGTTCCTAGTGGAACATAGGGCTTCAGTAGCATGCCTCCATTGCACTCCCTGCAGTCTTTTGGACCTGGTACCACGATCCTCCCTTGCTTGGGTAGGTGAAATAGATTACTTCCTTTAGGTTTCTTCCGTAAGTGGTGATTGATGCTTGTTGTTGATGCTGTTGTTGGTTGGGTATCTTTATCACCTCCATCTTCTCTACGTTCACCTGAAGGAAGTCCCGTTTTCGCTGCCTCGCCTCTTCTATCAACTTGTTAGTTTTCGCCTGTACATCTTCGAGTTTGTACCACAAGACATTAGACATAAACCATCGTAGGCGAAATCCAAATCTTCTAGGGTGTTTTCATCGGTCAAACAGCATATGCCCATCTTCTCGCTCCTCGCGGTTTGCTGCGTGATCCAGTCGACCACAATCAGGAAGATCATCGGTGATAGTAGGCGGCAGCCTTGTCTTACTCCTGTCTTCACTTCAAAGGCGTTGCTGAGCTTTCGACTTTAATTACTAATATTAATACTTAAAGTAAAAGGGGATATCATGAATGTTATATTTGGTAGGAATTATGAGGTTTGAGTACATGTACTCAACTACTTAAACTTGACTTCTTTTCCAAAAATCTTTCCCAAAAATGACTATTTCTGTTGCGTAATCAAAAGACGAAAATCATTTGAAAAGTATAATATATTCCCGTCATATATTTAAAATATTCTGATTACATATTTCCTTGTCAGAGCTTTTTTCTGTGGAAAATGAAAGGAGGTCAAGAGAGAACAAATATAATAATAGGAAACATAGAAATAAGAAAGGTAATAAAGAAAAGTGATAAGTTTTAAAATCCACTTTGATAAAAGATAAAGATAACCAGAAGAAATTGTTTTAATACACAGATGGTGCTTCAGAAAATCTAAGTATAAACACCTGAAATTTCTATCAGTAAAGTATTTTTCCTCCTGTACTTATCAATGTTTATGAGTTCAGCTATTTTTGAAGCCATTCGAGTACATTTGCTATCATCCTCAAGAGCATACCTTGATTAGTCTTTTTTACTTATTTGTCCATTCACATGTAAACTAGTAAAGACAGGTGAATATTATACAGTCGTGTGTACGTTTATGTTTTTGTTGAAGCTTATATTTTGTTTTCTCAACTATGCCAAGACTAGGTGCATAATATGTTTTGGTGGTAACAAATCTTAGCCTTCTTATCGAATTGTACTATTTGATACCTGACTAAATGAAAGTATGATTTATAGGTTCGGAGTGGGTCTCGGAGTTAACTGATTTCTTCAGCGTTTTATGAACTTCAGTAAGTATCTATTATCTATTAGAGTTTCAGTTAGCATTTCGATGTTATCATTCATTTCATCGGTTGTACATTGGATCTTCTTGAATAGGTGTTTTGTCAAGCCTTGATTGCATTGCACTCAGAAGTAAATCTCAAACATAATCTTTTCAGAGGAAGTATCGGAATTATGAATAAGCAAGTCAGTCGTAGAAATTCAACTGTAGTTTAAGGTCCAGTAATGTGTCAAACGTCATGCAGTAACAGTCTTAGTAGTCAACAAAATACTTTCATGCCATCGCTCTTAAACCTATTCACTTCTTTTTTTCCTACATTCAGCTTACACCTGCCAACGCCACTTTAACTGGCCAACCAATACTTACTATTTCTGGTAGAAACCTGGGTCGTAGTGTGTCAGACATCATAGATATGTTTTTGGACATCCAACCAAAAATTCGATGCCTCATTCTGCCGGAAACTTATCAACGATCGCATAAATTTATGTGCAGGCTGGCTGCAGCACCTAATTTATCACTTCCTGTTTCTAGTAAACTAAAGGTAGTGATAAGTAGCGAAAGATATGAAGTAAGTTAGATAGGTCTTTGTTTACTTTTGAATTACTAAATGTGTGTGGTTATTCTTATCAACTTATTAGGATTAAAAAGCTGCAATTACTACTGACTAAGTGTAACAACATCGTGGTTACTTCATACTATCCACAAAATATCCTTACTATTTTTTCGGGTAGTTTATCGTTCAGTTTCCTACCTCTCGTCTTAATTTTCTTCAGTGACGTTTTATCAATCATCCCTCATTAACTTCACAGGCGGATTACCGAATGCTGTTATCGTTTCCAACCATCCCTCACACATTATACGCATGCATATTCTCATAGGTGGTCGCCACCAAAAGTGGACATAAACCGATGTCCTTTTTAGTCTGGTTAAGAAAGTTCACATCCACCTATGAATCCGGGACTTGATGCTTCTTCTATGGTCAATACCTGTTTTTATGCAATATCAATCAGTTTCCAGAACGTAATGCATATCACCTGGTTGATTTTTTCACTTCAAATATATTTATTTGGATGTTTCTAAGGATAATGAATCCCCAATATGAATAGCTTATAGATCGATAAAATTCGAGATTACATGTCTACCTAAATCTGACCATGATGAGTAGCGAAAGCAGCTTTTAAGTAAAGTTGACTAAGAGTCTTCTCAATGACAGCGAACATTGTTGAATTTCGGAAGCGAGACAGATAGAGAAGGGGTCAGGATGTAGTGAAAGCCGGCAATTATTCAGGGTTATTACAGATAATGGCAAGAAGAGGTCGACGGTACCATCATCCCCTAGTAAGTGTCCCAAGGCAGGTGACTAGAACTTTTGGGTGAATACTTTAAAAAACAGTTCAATACTTTATTTACCCACATTATACTCCGAAGCTAAATAGGATCTCGGTCCTCCAACGTTCCTTGAAGTTGAGAAGACTGTTTCAAACCTGAAACCATGCGAAGCGGCGAGACCTGGTGGTTTGTCACCAGCAGTATTTAAGGAAGGAGGCAGAAACATTAGGTGTTGGCCCTTGAATATTCCAGTGTATAACAAAGGAAAGCAGTCTTCTTGTGGCTATCATTGATGGATAAGTTTGACTGGTATCCTGTCCAAGATTCTACAGTTATGCGACGTCCAGCAGTCGGAACTCAAGAAAAACACGTAGATTTTAGGCATGGATGGAAGTGCATTGGCTTGATCTTCACGCTTCATCGGGTTTTCGTGGGGAGGGATACTCACCAGTGACTGACACTCACCATATTTCATGACCTGAAAAATACTGTCATCTGTACTAGCCAACCGTGAGTTGTGGTATTCTGCGACTGAGAAGTGAGTGCTGCGCAAGTATGTTATGGTGTTAATCAAGGCTATCGACTGAAGCTGACGCAGCTGTGAGGAAAGTTGTTGTCTGAAGTGACGATAACCAGTGATGTCTATGAGGTATGTCTGTCATCATTCCTGTTTAACTTTCGTTATCGACATGTTAGTGGATATAACCGTAGGTACCTCTGACTTTACAGAGATTGACCTAATCCTAGGGGATCAGCTGTTTGACTTGAAGTGAACAGACGACATTGGAGCATTAGCTGATGACGCTGACTAAATCAGTATCGTGAAGGCGTTGAGTAGAAATCTGAGTATTTTTGGCATGTGTTTTTCACCTGTTTAATGCGAGATCGTGCTTCAGGACTGGTGTGTAGCTAATCACAGCTTAAGAATAAAGAGTGCAGTGGTTGAATACGTTGACTCCTTGACTTATTTGGGAAAGTGTGTCTTATTAATGGAAAAGCGTATTGCGATCTGTCCTATTATGGACCTATGAGACATGACTATTGAACAAGGATAATTTGAGTAGACAACAGGTTTTAGATTGACCGTAGGTGTCTTCATTAAATTGTTTGTGTGTGGTAGAATCACTATGTGAGCGATATTGAGGTTAAATGAAGCGTATTTTAGACAAGGAAGGTAAGTTCGTTGGATGAGGCTGTTTACCTACACTGACTGAGGTGGGTTGGATATGTATTGCATATGCCGACCCATCGCCTACCTTGGCGTTGAGTGTTAATGAAATTTGAATTATGTTGAAGGAAGGCTCAGGGTGGCGTAACCAATACATGACGCCAGTCGATGAAGTCTCTAGTTGGTGATCTGATTCAGGTGGGGAGGTGTAGAATGTCTAGTTGAGGTCCTCTTGATAATGTGAGTGATTGGTTGGAGATCCTTGGAGAAAAGGCTGAAAATGGGTCACACTGCCGCAAATGTACTCAACCTCTCGCTTACCTCTGTTTTTTCGCTCTCATTCCGTACAGATTTGTCTAATTTCATATCGCTATTTTACTACCTTGCTTCACTAGCCTATGAACGCTGGGTTTTCCGTTTGTTGGCGAAATATCTTTCTTGTCGGATGTTTATTTTCATATTCCTTCATAGTCTCTCTCTTATGTTTTCCAGTCAAATAAAAAGGATTAGCGTTTGGTTGCTGCCTCTGCTTACACTGTTTTTAAAGCCCTTAGGTATTCAAATTTGTACTAAATATTTATTTTAGGGAATGAAATTGAAGAGCTCAAAATAATACAATAGTTTAGAAATAGATACAGGAGGATTGCAGTTACCAATCCTTACATATTGTATATCAGCATATTCATCAGTACTTATTCTTTTCTTCTTTTTGTTTTACTATCACCTAAATTCTCATTTTCGATGACTTTTATCCGTTAGGCATCCTCTCCTGTTTTTCGCTTCTTAGCGCCCCATTTAGTTCACGCTACACCTCAACGGGGGCCTAAGGCTGGTGGTACTCGGTTATATTTATCTGGTACCAATTTGAATACTGGTAGCAATCGTTCTGTTTATTTATACCTTCCTGCAAAAAGTGGCGTTAACGGTGAATCCGATCTAAATAGATTACCAGCATCAAGAGTCCAAGTAAAATGTGAGATCGAGCAGTAAGTTTCGTAACTAATCAATGATCATAAATATCTGTCTAAATTTTTAAGATCTACTTCAAACTGTGGTCGATTTTTGTAATTTTAGTCTCTGTATTTTAACCAAAGTGGTGAAACAGCTATGAATTATTGCAAATATTGATGTTTTATTACCTCTGTATTCGGTCACAGAAATTTTAACTGTTGTGTTACGCTCTAATTAACATATCCAGTTTTTGTCATCAAATGAAAATCTCTGATATTTCGAATCGAAATGTGGGCAGCAACCACGTGCTTTGTTGTTCACTAGGCAATATATCACACCTATTGTGTGAGGGCTAATGATGCTCAACCAATCAATCAATATCAACATAGGACCAGGCATTACTGCGTAACGGTCCGAGTTGCCACACCTCATATCAGTACATCAAGTAGAAAGGTAATGAGGTGAAGGATGAAGATAACAGAACGCAGTCAAAAGAAATATAAAGTACGAGAAGAAAGGAAAGAGGAGTGACAAAATGGTGAGGTTCAATATAACGTCGTTGAGATGAGGATAATGTGTGTATACATTTGCGCCACTGACATCGGTTCTGGGCCATATCCCCTAGAGTTTCCAACCACTGATTCCCCTTGTCCTGCGGACTCCAACCACCTAGTCTGCATCTCCCTACATGACTCAAACCAACAATCAGAGACTTGAAACATTGGTGGCATATTTTAGTCTGGCCACCTCTGGCCTTTTTTCCAGCCTGGGTCTACTTCAGCCAAGATTGTGTGACAAGGCAATCGGCGACTAGGCATAGGTAATACTATCCGGCTGCTTATATATCAGGAGGTGAAGTCGCCTTCGAACCTGTGACCCATTGATCGAAATTTAATTACCTAAACCAATGAACCATAAGTCATCATGATCATTAAAAAAGTCTAGTTTTTCTGAATATTTACGCTAGTCACTGTTAATTTCCCAACCACTATATTTGATGAAGTATGTTAGCTTGTAAAGTTGGGCAAAAGTGATCTCTACGATCATACTCTCCAAGTTTAATTGCTCATAAACATACAAATTATTCAGGAATGACAATTCATATAACAGATATTTGATTATAAATGCCCAAAAATGTTTTGTGCGTATTGCTTCATGTTAGTTTCTGAGATATAGCATTTTAGATGTGACTGACACCTTTTTAACGATATTATATTACACAGCCGTAAGTCCAAACTCCTGACGGTCGTAAAAGGGACGTAATGCATGGCACATATTGTTTTATCCAGGTCTAATGAAGTCATAGGTAAACAATTCGCTTCTCTCTTTAGTACTAATGATTTGCAATCACCTTAATTATTAATTCAGTGACAGCGAAAGAGACAACGAATGTTATACACGGTATGCTAAGAGATTGTTTGTGTGTTTATGAGGTAACAAGAGTTTGTGCTTCAATATTTTAGCAAACGTTCATTCGTAGTGGGATTCATTTGTTAGGAGTTATCTGAGGCAAACTGATGCCGAATTTTCGGAACACAGCTTCAAGGAGTTATTATCATATTAGTTTACGTATTTAGTATAGCACACAGTGGTACTGGATAATTTACTGCATTAAGTTTCGAGCAGAATTTATTGCTCAAATTCATATCAAAGTAATCATACAATTTTCAACCTTCAAACGGTTCTTCATTGTTTTATTTTAATGCTAGTAAAATTCTTCACATATCTGCAATATGTGATGAATCATTTCTTGTGTTTCAAAGATCAAAGATTCTGTGATCAATCTCTGCCTGCATCTCTTAGAATTATCATCCTATCCCATCCCATAATATGGTTGTGGGTCAATGCATGCTGAACGATAACAGAATTTCCCTCTTACTTAACTTGTCTGAATGGGGTCTATCATTTTAGGTTTCGCTTTTTGTGCCACGCTATTCTGGCTGACCGCTATTGGCTGCTTTGACCTGTATACTTAACCATATAATCATTACATCGTGTTTGGTAGATTAGGTTATTTCGCGTAATTGGCTCTGCTATATCTCTTACGTTACACAGTTTCTATCTGAGTAAGTTTGTAGGCTTAAATGCCACTCAGGATTGTGTGGAATTGTGTGTAAAATTTCCGATATACCTTTTTTATGTGAGGAGAATTTGAATTCCTTCTAAGTCATGTTGCAATTACTATTGATAATACCACTCTTCTTATAAATCTTTGTAAACTTTTTAATCAATTCCAGAGGGTATTTATTAAGTACTAGTGTCTCTTCAGTGGGTTTGTTTCTTATTTGACTTTTCTGACTTACTAGTCAAACTTCTAGCTCAATTACCTAGACATTTTACCAAGCCTGTAGTGGGTGCTACTGATAACAGTGTATAAAAGTAGTATATAGTGAGAAGTCGGCAAAAGTCATAGGCCATTACGAGCGACAGGTAAAGATTCTATGTTTCATCCTCGCTGTTTTCCTACAAGCTTACCTTAACATGCATATAGAGTGAGATGATACTTGGATTTCACACCAAACTTAGTGTTTTTACCTTCGTTATTGTGATTATTCATATTACAAGACTTTTAAGCTTTCTCCTTTTTGATTGGTGATAAAATTATATACTCTTGTTGTTTTTTTTATTCTCCTGTCTTTTTTTGTTTTGGAATAATGAGATAAAATTAACCACATGAAATCAGATAGTATATGCATGTATATAAGTCTCTGAGGTAGTGTTTACATTCTCATGATAATGGTATATTTTACTCATAAAGAAATTTTATATCCTCATGTATATATGCGTGACTTTCTGCAATCAAAATGTAATCTAGTCTAATCAGTCTCATATTTAATGGCGTCAGCATTTTGAGATGTATACCTTTATCCCAGGTTTTTACAATTTATTTTATCAATCAATCTTTCTGTTATTACAGTTAAAAGCTTATGACTGAAAAAAGTTATTGTTAATTAGCGTATAGTCTACTTAATACTTATATCCATATGTCTTGGTCCATTGGTGATTAATTAATAATTCATTAATTTTATTTATCATTATATACAGTCTAGTTATTGGCATAGATGAATATCTTCTTTTCAACCTATTGTTAACTACTCAATCAACTAGAACATTGACATCATTGGATTTTTAAGTTGTTTAAAAAAGGATAATATTTTTAAATAACTTTTAATTATCTCATGTATAATTCAGTGTTTTAACATCTATTTGTAGGGAATGTCAGACATTAATTATTTGCTTGACTGGTTCATTACCAGAAGAAGTAATAAATTCAATATTAAGAAAACAATCAAAAAGACATATAACATCTATGAATGTAGATCATGACAAATTATTTTCCGAGGATGAACATATTCCATTATCATTGGTAATGATGCATGATCTAACGCCAACATATTTACCACATTCATTTTCATTTATTTATTCACCTAATCCTACTATACATGAAGTTCAACGAAAAAATGTTTTAGCCAGGTTAGTTTGTTGTATTCTCTTCTTAGTGTTTTATTGTTTTATCCACTGTTCATCCGCAAATCATACTTTGTAGTTGTAATATCTTATTATCCTTCATCCCTTTCCTACACTACTGTCCTGTTTGTCTGCATTAATCCATTCGTATTTCTATGGTATTGTCAGGTGCAGATCCTTGAAATGAATTTCTTATTTATAATATTCTATTTTTATCTTTCCGTCGAGATGTTATTTATTAGCACTAGTGCATACTTCAACCAACCAAGAACCTATCACGCAACAAATATGCAGGAGGAAATGGAGATGGATTGGGCATGCACTGAGAAGGCCGACTAGGGATATCACGCGCCAGGCCCTCGAGTGGAATCCCCATGGGAAGTGACGAGTTGGACGTCCGAGGGTGACATGGAGGAGATCGTGCGAGGAGGAAACGAGAGCTTGTGGGCTGTCGTGTAACCAGGTTCAAAAGATCCCAGAGAACAGAAGTCACTGGAGATGTGCTACTGAAGCCCTATGTTCCATTAGAAACCCAAGGGAATAATAATAATATAATAATAATAGTGCATACTTCGTCGATTAGGTATACAAAAACGATGTGTGTAATGCAGTCAAGAGATCAAAATCCAGTCAGAGGTAGATAGAAAAACTATTTACACACAGTTTTGTTGTTAACCGGAAATGGCAAATCTATGTATTCCATTAGTGTTTGCTTTCTAAGACAATTCGATGTTTTATAACTCATAGAAATCATCTCGAGAAATTCACAATATTCAATATATATTGTCTCATATGTATGTTGAAAAGTAATTAATAAATTAATAGCTAAGTATCATAAACAAACTGAATTTTCATAACCTTAATGAAGATAAACAGAAAAGAGAAGAATTAATTTCAGCGTATACATATGTGCGTGTAACAGACGCAATTCAATATGATGGAAAAGACGATAAGAACGACTTGTAGACGTTAATCAAATGAAAATGAGGAAGCGTCAAGCAGATATATCGTTCTTAAAAATTAGCTTCTGTTTAGAATGAAAAGTCGGTAATAAAAGCAGTTGCGCCATATATATATGGGGGGGGGGGAGGAAATTTATGCCCATCTAGATTTATAGTTTTAATCGCGGAAAATATTAACGAAGTCCGAGGGAAAAAAATAACGTGAATATTGTTTTCATCATTTCAGAGCACTAGTGGTTTTGTTTCTAAACTCAGTTTGTGATAAGAGCAACTCCTAAATTGGTAATTTTCCTGCTCAAAGTGATCTGGATGGAGAATTTACTTCCTTAAGTATATCATCTTTAATAAATAATGCTACTGCATATTCACAAATGTAGAGGTACCAGAATGATTTCTCGGAAAGAAAACGTTTTCCATACTGCGATCGTTATCTGTTTTTTCCTGTGATCAAATGAGTTTGTTTCGATACATAAATAGCATTCTATGGATGTAGTAACTTCACTAATTGGTTTCATTTCATTTATCTAGTATTCTACACTTCTCATAATGTGAGTTAAACTATTCATGAGCGACAGTATGATGGTCAGATACCTGAAGTTTCACAAACTCTTCATGTCCAACATCTATGCTTCACAGTCATATGGTGAGATAAAAAATGCCAATAGGTAGTACGTGAAAACAATAAGCAATTTGATTTCACATCGGTTTTCCAAATAGCTTGAGGTAAAAGCCGAAACAGTTTTTCGAATTCATGAAAATACCATCCACCGAGGCAGATGTAACTCTTCAAACAAGCAAAGTAGTCAACGAGAACAATTACTTCTCTCTTTGCTGTTATTTGAAGCATCGATGCAGATTAGTTTTAAAACTGTTTTATGTATCTGAGATAAGAAAAAAGGATCACATACACTCTAAAACTACTTACTCATTGTTCATAAAATTGCACTTATGATATGTTCTCCATACTTCTCTTTAGTTAGGGAATCTTTGATTAGATCATTCTATTCAGAGTTGAATCAGAACGCTACCTCTAAGTAATTCCGTGATTCTGTTGGGAAAAGAGATGGGGACTACTCAGAGTTGCATTTCACCACTAGCCCTGATAGAAAAATAAATGCCACACGGTATAGTTTATTAAAGGTAAATGACTTCACAACCAAACTGTCACTGCATCAAGTTGACTGGTAGGGAAAAAGTACTCCATCAGAATACGTTTTAATGTGCGGTTTGAAAAGGTTATTTAAACCTCCACATAAGTATGCTTAGTTGGAATGGAAGACGTAAGTGGCAACAATGTACAAGTCAGTTTATCAGTGATGCTTCAATGTTTAGGCTTTCCATTCATTGAACAAAAATCATGAAGGTTTCACCTGCTTCATCGATCACTTTCGGTTAGAGGTTAAATGTTTTTTCGATAACATTCATCTTCCACTTCATAGTGGTAAATGCACACTAATATAATGCGCCTCTTTCAGTTACCTATGGAGAGAGTTGATAGAAGATTGCCATTCTTTCTGAAGCACCTACTTAGACAACGACCATGTGTCTACGTCTCAGTTGATGTTGGAAGACTACTATTGGAAGAGGTATTTCATCTTCAGTTTTAGGATGTTAATGCCGGCATTAAAAATAGGAACTGTCTGGATAGTTGGCTCAATAATCATATTATTCGCCCTGAAAAAGCCTGATACTATCTATCCCTGGGCGCAAAGAGGGACAGGGATTGTCTCTACTTGTCATATTGAAGTAAGAAATGGTCAAAAGATATAACCAGTATAAATTAAATTAAAGGATACATATGAAAGTAACCCTACTGGCCTTGCGTTCGACTAGAAACAGAAGCAGCGTAAATTTAGGTTGACAGAAAATTCGTGCAATGATTACGATCAGTAGTAGGGAGCGAAGGCTTAAAAAACGGAGGAGATATTGACTGTAGGCATAATTAGACAGGTCTATAGACTGGAAAACTGGGTATTTAGTGCAAATAAAACGGAGAAAGTTGAGTTTTCGATCCACTCACTTAAGAGAGGATATGAACAATATATAGAATACTTCAAGAAGTAGTTCAAATAGTCTTTACTTGCTTACAGTTTCTCCGCTGTCTAGTCTCACTATATATGTAACGTTAACGTAGAGCCTTCAGATCTTGTAGAAATTGAGAATTTTGTACGTAACCTGAGTCGTGGAAGGTCACAAGGCTCTGGTAAACTAGCACCAAGTGTATTCAAAATTGGTGGTCTGCGCTTACTGACCAAAGTTATTGAATTGTTAGCTGAAGTATGTGAATCATTTGTGATTCCTTCTGACTGATCTGATTATTTCAGTCTTTTGAGAAAGGGAGAAACCCTTTCATGCTATTCACAGAGTAATCAGTTTGACCAATTAACTATCCATGGTCATCCAAAGTTTATCTGGAGCTCTGGAATAGCAAAGATAAGGTAATCATTTTGGTTTCAGACGTGGTCGTGAGTGTACTAACCAGACGCTTATTCTCGACCAGGCCTTGGAACACGGTTACATTAACGGCTACATGATACTGGCTGCATATCTTCATCCTAGGTCGACCTTTTGGTCCATCGATCAGGAGATCTTTTAGCAATCTCATTGAAAAGGAGGGTACCCAATAGGAACATTATCCTACTGAAAGCTTTGTACTCTGACACCTACGGTCGTGTTAGAGCATATGTTGACCCATCGTTACAGTAGGCTATGACGAGATATCTTTGTCAGCGATTCCTACTCTTCTCCTTTGCATTCATATTTTCCATAGAGGTGCTCATCAAGGTTTCCCTGTCTTAATGTGTCTTTACGGGGATATATCTCTTTGGAGATTTCTTTCTCGATTTCGAGTACGCAAAAAAACTGGATGACTACCCACCGGCTGTGAGTAGTTACGTGCTCCTCGTGAGAACTGATGGTCATGCCTTAGGTCCATAATGCAGGATAAAATAATCGTTCTTCAGTTGATATCAATCCATGATCCAAAGATCTTAGATTTAATATGTATATTATTCCACACGTGAAATTAAAGCATCCTCATGTATACAGTAATACTGTTTTTTACTTGACAGCGGTGGAACCACTCTTTATGTTCTTGGCTCTTTCCTCTTTGTTGTTAATGATCCAAGGCTAGTCTTCTACTTTAATGGCTCTGAATACAGCATAGTAAGTTACTTTTCGTTTTTTCAGTTTCTGAAATAGTTTATTTCTAATTATTTGTTATATAGAAATATAGGCGTAGCTGGTTATAGTGTGAATTGAATTACACTTATCAACCTTGTGCACGTTTGTGCAGTAGGTAATGAGTCACATCTATTGTGTGAGGTCTACTGACACAACCTGACTGCTTAAATCTCAGTAGGTGGGGCGGTGTTCGAACCCGTGTCCCACTGGTTGAAAGTCATCTCCCTAAACCCATGAGCCACAGCTTCACATACATCATATGATTCATCGCTGATCTTTATTCAACCTCATGAATGGAAAATTTCCTTATTGGTATTAGTATTTCCTGTGGTTTGCATGACCTCACAATATTAAATCAGATGAATTTAGACATCATATTAGTTCTTATCAAGTTGTTTTCATTACAGTATTTTTCAATATTCTCACTGAATTCATTTAACTGTTGATCCCATAACGAAGTTATTGCTTCCAAAAATATAATTCGTACAACATCAGCACCAAGAGATGTACATCACAAAATAGTATAACGGACCAAAAAGCTGTAAATGTAAAATGAAAACAAGAACCTGAAAATAGTACAGAAGAAAATCAGAAATGAGTCATTCGTGGAGCAGTTTCAAATATTATACATCTGAAAAACCATCCACTACACTCACTTCACTCTCCTACAGTAGAAGAAATCACTTAAATACAACATACTCGTCACCAGCCCCCATTCCAAACCATATCCTCTAATGTCTGAAGTAAATCACTTGCATGATCTACACAGTCTCGAAGCAACAACACATCATAACACAACACAAATACCTTGCATCTGACGTTGACATGCCACACAACGATGACCTCCACGATTTTTCCAGATACTTTTAAGACAAGCGATAAAAGACCAACGGTGTGACAACCACTGGAATGACATTCGTAAAACATGTCCGAGTTCCTAGGTGACTTCACCAACTGAATGACGATTTCCGAAACACCTGAATACATAACACACCACCTCAGAATTACTTACCTCTTGTTTCCATCAGATCCGAGAAATGTTGCACAGCCAGCCACCAGACATACTCATCTGGTAGGGGTTAGGCTTCACAGTAGTAGATCATAACTGCCTTCACCCATGTGTTGTTGTATTCCAGACCTTTGATAGACAGGCTGACATCACGATAGAGTCAAAGGTGGCACAGATTCGTGTATGCTGTTCTGAATTTCAAACACGACGGTCCCACCTCAGCAAGCTCGTGTCAATCTTGTAGAAGCACGTTATACTTTGAAGGTGAAAGGTATATTCAGTACTTATGAACACTGACGGTTAACTGATTGAGTGCCATTTGAGTACTCTGCATATTGTTTATTGGTCGTTAGATACATAACTTCCATTGAAGCTTACCAATCTACACTACCACCAGTATCAGCATGAAATCCAATCACCTCTCAGATGTCTATTATAATTCAGAGTAGCTTAATACATGCTAGTATGCAATTATGAGATATATGAAGTTTGAAGGTGTTCGATCACATGTGACCTTATTGTATTGGACTAGAAACATTTTGGAGGAACATAGAACTGTGACCAAGGAAGGTAAATTTGTTGGAGAAGTTTTTCACCTTCATTAATTTAGATAGATGACACGAATACTAATCATATCTTAGTCATCGATGGCGATTGAAATTAGAACAAAATGTTAAACATTGCTGGCTGACTAGAATAAATTAGACTACTAGTCCGTACAGTTGTCGGTCTTTTTCAAATTTACTAACTTGAATCTAAAAAATACTTTAAGTTAGCTATTGCAAATTGTTAGTGGTATGAATGCTTCAAGATCTATCATAACTACATAGTTACACTTACTCCATTAGGGTTATATTATTCACTCCTCTTATGCGCTCATGTTATTTCTCCAGTCTTCTGTGATATTTCATTTCTATTGATATTTTTTCTCTCGCTATACTAAATACAATGAATAGTTTTGCGCCTTTTATTAGGATACATGGAGTCTAATTTTTGTTTAAATTATTTAACACTGTTTTAGTGTTTGTGTGTATATTTGTTGTCATATCTTTTACAGAGCTGCTCTACCTCTCCAGGTGGATATCTTGAATGTTTGAGTCCATCTCTTGTTATGTCAAGTGATGTTTCTGTATCAGATGCAATTGTTAAGAGTGTATATATACATGAAGGACTCGATAATTCTGCAGTATCTAATACTAGTTCTTGGATAAATCAAAAACAAGCTACTACATCACATTTACCTATATCTGAGTCAGTGATGCAGTCTGAGTTTAAGTTGAAACCTGATGTTTATTACGCTGCTTTTTCATCAAGTGGATCTATATGGCCTATTCATGTTCCGTATGGTTTTATTATGGATGGGGTACGCAATCTTCGAGTTTTCGGTCTCATAAAAGTAAGTACATGTACAAAATAAATTCTTTCCGGTTAACCTGTTTCATTGCTTTTAAGGTAAATGTTATGCTAATTTATTTTGCAATTTTGAGGTTTGTAAGGATTAATTGGATAGAGGTCGCGCTATGTCATGAAATAGGAAATATAGACCATTGGATTTCGATCCAGTGACTCACTGGTAACCTGCTGGGATCTGAAGGTTCTGGTATTGATCCGTAACAGGGTCATGTGTGTGCACTGTTGAGAAGTCGCGTACCACGGAGAAATAGCTGTCCAGTGCCCTCAGGTCTCCAATGTTTCTTCAACTGATGTCAGTCCGTGATGAATACCAACATAATTATAAGTTATTTTTTACTAGTTCTATGCACAAAAGTGAATTTTATATTTTAATGAAATCTACGTTCCAAGTTTTGTACCGGTCTGATATGAAGTGAATGTTTATATTTTTGAATATTTAACTTCAGAAGGATTATCATAAAACATAATTTAACCGGCTAGGTTACTATTCTCTTGAACTGTAGTTCTGGAAAATTAACCCATTTACACAACATCGAACTCAACCTAAGGTCTTGGTTGGCACCAATGTGAACAGACACAAATTTCATATACAATTTATTTACGCGAAAGAGAATAACACATTGAGAACATCAATTGAGGAATTAAATGATATCACTTGGTTTAAAGTCATTTTCATCAACAGCATACAAATTAAGTAAATAAATAACTAATCCCTGTGACAATATTAAAATCTTGAAATGACAGTTTATGTTTAGAGTAAAATAACGTCATCCTATTGTGAAAATTGTTTGTTTATTCAAATATTTTTGTGTTCACTTACTGTTTTGTCTGGTCTTAACGTTTTTATCATCAGTTAAGATTAAAATTAAAAGGTAGCTGAGTCAGAATTCATGGTCTATATCTTTATTGACCTGTTGTGCGTAAGATATTTTGAATTAAGTGCATATAGCAAAGTATTTTACATGTCTTAACATGCAATTTTTTATACACTCACGTCTCTTTCTTTATACACACAAGATAAATGACCTTGATATTAGTTCTCAACGTTCAGACGGGTTGATGGTCGTGACTTAGTCACATGGTGTATCATATAGTCAATCAAAATCGTTCATGCTTTTTCACACATCTATGTAATAGGGATGAACACTACTCAGTTTAAATTATAGCCCTAAAATGTATGTATGTATTCTTAACTAAATAGTTTTGTGATATATGAATGAAATTGTTCACATTATCCATATGGATAAAAACAAACAGTGCAATTTTTTAAAATATTTCATTAAGTTTCCTTAAATCGGTTAATTGATAGAAGCTCCTTACTTTTGTAGGTTCCAGTTAGATGTTGGACATTAGGAGTCATTCAGCAGGTTGATCTACTTGATATAGGTTCTGTGCTTATTGATATCCACCACTTGAAATATATCCTTCAACCATCAGGAAAACCATATCTTCTGTGAAGCTATAATTTGTCCCTTAGTACTGATTCTAGTGTTTTTATCATTAAGCTATCTAGACTATCACTGACCTGTAGAACTGGGTCGTGTGAGTGAATTAGTCATTGAATGGTAACCGATGTAGCTGTCATGTTACTTATCTTACTGCCTTCGATCAGCTCCTAGCACCATGATTATAATATGTCTAAAGTATCTTTATTTTGGGAAAACAAAATTTGATGATATGAAAACACGGTTGTGTGAATGTGAATGTGAATGTATACACTTTTTAATGGATTATTCACTTTGTCTGGTGCTTGTAAACAAACACTGGTTTTCACAATGAGCTAAAACATGTAATTGATTCCATTTTCTTAATCGTTTCCGACAAATAGTAAAAACTTCACCATTTTTCTACTTTTCATAAAATTTTTTCTCGTCATTAGTTCTTTTCTGTGCAACCTTTGGATCAGCGGTTTACTTTATAACAGTCAGTAAATGATGCCTAATTACACAAGTTTTCTGTATATACCTTCAGCTAGTCTTCTGATGTTTGCTATCCAATCGGGTCCTGAATAGGAAACTGAAATAGGCTCCGTGACTTTTGCAGAGATTGTCAAGGCTGTAAATAATCTCAAACAAAGGGGGACAGCAGGGCGAGATGAGTTAGTACCGGAGGTATTGAAGGACAATGGTCGAGGACTATTTTTTTTTATTAACTAAAACGTTAAATAGTGTATGTGATTTGATTCCCTCTGTTTAGTCATAGTAGCTGATTGTCGCGGTCTTCAAGAGACAGGCCTCCACGAGTTTGTACTGATGATGTCTAGAATGACAATGAAAACTCCACAATTAAACCATCCAGCTCAGAGAACACAATACCATCCAAATTATCCTCCTGAGCTACAAATATTCTCCATCATCTTAAAAGGTAAGAAATCGTTCTATGATAACCACAGAGGAATCAGGATTATGGACAAAGTATCTAGGATTCTAGATGTTATATAAACCAGGTACCCACGTGAAGCTGGAGAACAGTGAAAGCGAGTAAACCAGCCGGGTTTCAAAACTGGTCGTGGATGTATCGATTAGATATTCACCCTCCAACAAGTTCTAGAACACACGAACACTTACTGGTGTCTGACACTAGCTGTATCTCTTAACCCGAAGGTGGCATTTGACTCCATTAGTCCAGACGTCTTATGGCAGGCAGTTTTCCTGTCAAAGAGGTGCTGGATGGAAATAGATTACTCTGTTGAATGCTGTGTGTTCAAACACCCTCTGAACGTCCCAGACCGTAAAGTGATGTATGTACATCAAGTGGTATCCGTCGAAGATATTCACTCTCCATAATTTTCCTTTTTCCTATAAGTACTTATACAGGCATCCCTCTCATCACCCGACCTCACGCAAGTGATTCTTCCGTAAAACTCAGTACGCAGATGACATAGTCTTGTTAGGTGAAGTTGCTGATAAAGTGCAGTCTTCTGAACATCTTGAGTGGCAATTCGAGAATGCTTAGGATGCGTTTCTCACCACCTAAATGCAAAGTATTTCCCAGAACTCGTCTGATAGGGTGACACGTCTAACAGTAAGGAGTAAAACAGCTTAGCGCGTTGACCACTTACCTTACCTGAAAAGTCGGATCAACCCCGGTAGGTCAGTGATTGACGAAACTTCTGCACGCCCATTCAATACCTGCTCTGTCGCACAATGTTTGCTTGAGTGGATTCAGGCTGGAAAAAAGTTACAGGCGGTCAGAGAAAATCATGGTTTTCTTGCATGAAGTCTTTGATTGTTGGTTTGAGCAGAATATGGTCCTCGCAGTTGGAGTCTGTGTGACAACAAAAATTGAGAGTTGGAGACTCTAGGTGATATAGCTCATAATTGATCTCTATGTTGAAGATATATCCACACATTATCTTCATCTTAATAGTCATCGCTGAATTTCATTATTTTCTCATTTCCTCGTTTTCTTTTCATGACTTTCGCTCTCATTTGTTTATTTTTCCTCTTGGTGCATTTTCACTTCATGTGCTGACGTGAGATATGGCAGCGTGAACCGTTACATAGTAATGCCAGTTACCATTCTGATTTTGACTGGCTTGTTGGTTCGTTTGAATTCGTTATTCAGAAGCTCCAGTCGTATGGCGTCGTTTAACTAAAAACCCTGGGAATTTGGATACGAAGTCAGTTGCACTGATTCTTTCGTGATTTTCACAAGAAAACGTCGCTCCTTCCTGAAAAACAGGAATAATCAGCTATCTAGATCAGTCTGATTGGTCTGCTTCAGTTTTTCTACGTCTCCCTTAAAGGTTGATAGTGGAAAAGTGTCAGGTCCTACTACTTTGCGTTGTTCGAAGTTAGAGACAACCTTCTCAACTTCGAAAAGAATTGAAAGACCGAAATTTGTATGTCATTCATGTTCGGTTCAAATACTGGGCGACTGTGGTATGCCTGCAGACCAGCTGAATTGTTCTCCAAAATAACCTCCAAACTTCCTAACAGCCTCTTCTGAGAGCATATAAGGGACTCATTTTATTGGGCAATGGTTTCACTAATTTACGCTTTCTTCCAACTAGCTTGCGTAATAAACCTGAATAATTTCTGAGTACTAACTAGTGCCAATATATTTCCATCTGCTTCGCTTTTATCATCCACCACTACTCCCCACCATTGCGAAGACTCTTAGTCAACTTCTTCCCAAGTTGATTTCAGTCTTCACTGTTGTTGGAGGTGACCATCAATTAGTTCAGATGAGGTGGCGGAAATCGTGTGTCTTTAGCTAACTTTGATTTGTATGTTAAAAATTGCATGCTTCGTTGTTTCTACAGCAAAATTAGTTGTACGCCAGGCTTTAACAAATAGAGAATCTCTACCATGTTCAAACACATGTTTTGCTATCTGTTTCGTAAATATACAGTAAACCTTCTCATCTTCCAGTCAAGCTCAGATAGGCTTCACTGCTGTCTATTTTCTGCACCTGTTAACGCGTAAACATTCACGTGTTCTTCCTAACGTGCTATACCCTGAAATCGTCTGTTAGAAAGGGTTATCCTGGAGAAAGTTCTTAACATCCTGAAAGTCATGTAGTTCAGCATCTCAGTTAGACTGAAGTCTCACGGCCACGTATCTTACTTGTTCCATGCCAATAGTGGGGTTTCGTAGGGCATTTTTCTTTAACTTTGCCATTGATGACATTACAAATCCAGGTCTGAATGAAGTACGTGATGGTGGCGTGAGTTTACTACTAGGTGAAAGACTTTTATACCTCAAGTATGCCGACGATGTTGATTTACTGTGCCATAAAATACAAGCTACTCAAGTCGCATTCAATCAGTTAACCGTCGGTGTTCATAAGTACTGAATATACCTTTCACCTTCAAAGTATAACGTGCTTCTACAAGATTGACACGAGCTTGCTGAGGTGGGACCGTCGTGTTTGAAATTCAGAACAGCATACACGAATCTGTGCCACCTTTGACTCTATCGTGATGTCAGCCTGTCTATCAAAGGTCTGGAATACAACAACACATGGGTGAAGGCAGTTATGATCTACTACTGTGAAGCCTAACCCCTACCAGATGAGTATGTCTGGTGGCTGGCTGTGCAACATTTCTCGGATCTGATGGAAACAAGAGGTAAGTAATTCTGAGGTGGTGTGTTATGTATTCAGGTGTTTCGGAAATCGTCATTCAGTTGGTGAAGTCACCTAGGAACTCGGACATGTTTTACGAATGTCATTCCAGTGGTTGTCACACCGTTGGTCTTTTATCGCTTGTCTTAAAAGTATCTGGAAAAATCGTGGAGGTCATCGTTGTGTGGCATGTCAACGTCAGATGCAAGGTATTTGTGTTGTGTTATGATGTGTTGTTGCTTCGAGACTGTGTAGATCATGCAAGTGATTTACTTCAGACATTAGAGGATATGGTTTGGAATGGGGGCTGGTGACGAGTATGTTGTATTTAAGTGATTTCTTCTACTGTAGGAGAGTGAAGTGAGTGTAGTGGATGGTTTTTCAGATGTATAATATTTGAGACTTCTTCATCAACAATGCACGTGTGTTTTTATTTCTTCTCTGCCTTTCCTCCAATTTTCGCTTTCTTTTGTGTCTCTTACTTCTTGGTACTCTTGCTATACCCTGTCTATGTTCTGTAAGTTTTAAATGATCATTTCCTTCTGCTATGTTGGGATTCATGTATTTATCTAATTATTTAGGATCGTTTTCCTGATATTGTGTACACTGTTTTTTAGTCTTGGGAAGATGTTTAGGACTAAAGTATTTTTATTGATAACAGTGGTTTTCAATATTTATGAGAAATTTATGTTTCCAGTTGGTTCTCTGCATTATAACTTCAGTTCCCATATATGATTTCATTTCTATCTGCAATAATGGATTTTATTGTGAAATGTAAAATAATATGGTGCTATACTACTTATCTTTTAGGTACATCAGGATCCCGTTGTTGTTCCATTTGCTGATGGTATACGCATAGAAAATCTTGATGACTATTTAACCAGTGACTCGGAAAGTGAAACGAATAATTATGGCCATAAACGCCAAAGATCTAGTCAACTTTTAAAATCTGAATGTAAGACATCTTCGTCAAGGAATTCTGACAATTTATCTAGTCAGTTAGACTATTCCAATGTCAAACAGTTAATTCGAATTCTTGGTCAGTTTGATGCTCTTCTGCATGCACCCGAATTGTCTAAACCTGATGAACTGGTTGTTAGGATCGGAGATTCGTTGATTTGCGAAGTAAATTCCATTATGCTCACAGAAATACGTTGTGACCTTGACAGGAGAATGCTTGTCACACGTCAGGATTATCCTGTAGAAATTCAGGTACGTTAGTTCATTATTATTTTATTGCTATCGTTCTTTACTGGTGAACAGTATTGGAATTCCAATAATTTATGATGAAGAAATCAATATCGCTTAAGAAACAGATCTGTGTATGACGTCAGGTGAATATTTCTGAACGAATAAACGAAGTGAAACCTATTTATCTTGGTAACTAGCAGTGGAATCGAAGTTGCTTTTCTTCCTGTTTGGGACTCATCAGCTGGATGTACCTGCACCTCAGTGAGTGGTGTTGCTCCCATTAAGACTCGAACCCAATACCCACTGCTTCAGATAGCAAAACGTTTTCCACCAGGCCAGTGGGGTGCGAGACCCACCTTTGTGTAGTGAGTAACACTTGTCGTTTAACATTTGTGATTTCAAATTGCTCGACTTCTTGTCACATGTAGTTCTATGCAGATGCTTCGATACTGAGTCCTAAATAGGACGATACACGCGTCCTAGATTCCACTGCCATCCACCAAGACGAATACAACAGCAGTATCCGCATAGGATCTTATCTGTCCACAGATATCGAGCAATTTTACCCAGTATAGCAACGGGAAATGAATCCTAGTTGCTTTGAAGTATTGATTATTCTTATCCAGCACAGTCGAATACGTAAATTTATGCTAACTAACAGTCCTATCAAGATATATATCGATTAGAAAATTATTGGAGACGCTGTTTCATCAATTCCGCCATCGTTCGAGAAACGGATTATCGAATACTTAACGCCACAGTCTTATACTAATAGGTCTTTCACCCTACGAAAATTGTGAATAATTGCAATAGGTGAGATTTTCAGAATAAGCTGTATCGGGTTTTTAATCTTAAGGTTTAAGATTGTCTGCAGACAGTATTTATGTGTATATGGAAAGTGAAGTACTAAACTGTTCTTATTTAACCAATTTATTGCATTGGCGCTCTTGGATTTCGTCATTGACGTAATGTCAACTCGAATGTGGATAGTACAATCGTGTCCCCGATGCCATCATCTGTCAGCTATTAGAGCATAGCATTATTTACTATCAGACTGTTAGTTGAAATCTTGATCAGTTTAATTTAGTGTACATATAGAGACTGACAAGTTAAAGATAATATGAGAATGAATGGATGGATTCAAACTTCAGAAGGGAATCATGTCATCGTTCTTTGCTGTTCTTTCATTTCCTGTTTTTTTTTCCAATCGGTCAAACATATATAATAAATCCGCTTTGTATGCATAATGTCAATTTCAACACCTTTTCAACCTCTTGTTTACAAATTTCAATAGTTTGTACAATTATACACAAAATTATGCTGAGTGATATACTTAAGCAATGTTGTCTTTCTGCCTGTATCAATCTATTTAATATGCATAAAAACAGTGAAATGTATTTATAAAGGGTACAAAATTTACACTTGAGACATTTGCATATTTTTTTTAATAGGACAGAAAATGTGGCATATTGTCTGTATATTCATTATATTAACACTGCAACAAGCGAATAGTATCATCATTACCATAATAACGCAAAGTTTACTCAATTGGAAATCTTTAGCATTTAACACTGACATTACTTTTGTTTCCCAAAACGATTGTGAAGTATTTAGTTTTATTCGCATTATATTAAATCATTGAAAGATTACTTATTATTTTCCCCTTGTGTGCTTAGTGGGACATAGGGCTTCAGTAGCATATCGCCATTTCACTCTCTTCTCTGCAGTCTTTCGAACCTCACTCCACCACTGCAAAGAACATTTCATTTCTTCCTCACACCATATTCTCCATGTCACTATCACCTCAGACGCCCAACTTGTCGTTTCCCCTTTACAACAGTTCCACTAGACGGCCTGGCCTGGCGGCGCGCGTGCGCGTGATGTCCCCGAATGGTCTTCTTAGTGTATGCCCAATACAATACAATCCATCTCCACTTTCTCCTGCATATTTGATGGGTGATAGGTTCTTGGTTGGTTCGTTGCCAGCCACAGTGAGTTCCTTGTTGCTTATTCTTACTATTCTGGCCATCTACCTGATCTTCAGTATCGAGTGAGCTGGCGTGGACGGCAGCTGTTGATGAATGTGTGTAGTTTGTTGGAAATGCTTTTCGTGACATGCCAAGTTTCTGAACCATCACATAGCAGGACTGACTTGACATTGGTGTTGAAAATCGGGATGTTGTTCCACATGCAGAGTGCAGTAGATCTTTACACTGATTTCAGATTAATGAATGCATGTCTTGCTGCTTACCCGATCCTGGTTGGCTTTGACGTCCTCATCTGTTCCCCACCTGTAGTTGAAACGATGCCACCTAGGTAAGAAGGTAAGTAGGTGAGAGAGACAACTTCATTTAAGTTTCTCCCATTGGTTGCTGCTTGTTGTTGTTGTTGTTGTTTCTGCTGCTGCTACTGTTGTTGGTTGGGTGTCTTCATCACCTCTGTCTCCTCTACGTTCACCTGAAGGAAGTCCCGTATTCGCTGACCTGCCTCTTCTGTCAACTTGTTGGATTTTGCCTGTAGATCTTCGAGTTTGTGCCACAATCAAGGCATTGGATATAAATCATCATCAACGTCATCGGCGAAATCTAAATCTCATTCTAGGGTCTTTTCGTCGGTCGAGTCAGCGTATCCCCATCTCGTCGCTCCTCACTGTAGTCTAGTACATGGTCCAGTCCACCACAACCAGGAAGATCATCGGTGAAAGTAGGGTGGCAGCCTTGTTTTACTCCTGTCGTCACTTTGGGGCTGGGATGACCGAGTGGAAAGATTATGTAACATAATAATAATTCCTCTAAGACTGTCATGTGAAAGAGATTTGGATAAGCTACTGTTGTATGGATTTTAGTTGTTCATATCTTCTTCGATATTCCTTGATATTCTGTCTATGTGATTGAAACTATAACAACTTAGAGTATTTTACACTAGCATGCACTTTTAATATATCCGCTTTCTTGGAGCTACTTGATACTTTTATTTATTATTATCTATTCTGTAATTCGCATATTCCATATTCAATCCATTGAGTTAATAGTTTATACTATATCTTTCTTATGAGCCAGATAGTATTGTTGTTAAACGTTACGCAAAAAAAAAAATTAATTAACTTCTAATTGTATTACATGACTTTGATTGTCTTTTCTGAGTTACATTTATTCCAAAATGTCTATGGTCATCATTTGATTGAAATTCTTTTTTAAAACTTTGCATATTTACACGTTTATTCTAGTTTTCATAGTTTGTTTTTACTAAATCTATTTGTTATATTATACTATAAAATCATTTAATTACTTTTCCAACCTATGACTTATGATATCAACTATCTTATCTCTTAGTAGTAGATATGTTTTTATTTCGTTTTTTACAGAAGATAAAGAAAACTTTTTAAATAAAACACACGTTTTAGTAATGAGAATTCATTGTATCTATCAGTGTGTATTTGAACCTTAGACCTTCTTTATATTATGATTTTTTTCTTATCAAGTGTCTATGTTACAAACTTTTGTGCATAGACTGAAAGTTCTTTTTTTTTCTCCTCAATATTACTGATGGTCAGAGTGACTTGTTTTGTTTGTTTATTTGTTTGTTTGTTTTGAAATATAGATAAAATAACCTATTGTGTATTTCTCAAAACTCTGTTTGTACTAGTGGGGTTTATTTGATCGAAAAGAAAAACGTTTTTTGAATGGCAGTTTGCATTTTGATAAGCTGCACTCTGTTAACAATTTAAATGAAGTAATGGAAATTTGTTTCCTTAATCATTCTGTGCACTATGAAATGAATCATAATGAAAAGCTGTACAACTGCTCGTCTTTTTTGTATCCGTATGCCTAGAATATTTAGGCTGTACAGTTCGATTGTGCTATATAGTGTAGTACTGGACTAATAATAACATACATCAGATTAGGCTATTAGGTAGTTGAATATATTCACTATCTTTTGATATAATAGGTTGGACATCGTTGTTGTTGATCGGACCGAAATGATTGACCACTATTGGCCCCTTTGTGAGCAGCACTCTGGTGTATGAAATGGTTGGTCCTGGATTTGAGTATCACTAGGGACAACATCACTCACTGAGAGGCAGGTACATCCAACTGATGCGTCCTAAATAGAACGAAATGTGCACCCTGGATTCTGCTGCTGACGACTACCCAGCATTAATAGTCACTATCTACTTAGGAGTTGTAGGAAGACTATATATACTGATATAAAGTATCAAACTTATCACAGTGTTTGACATACAGTGCCTATACATTCACAGTGTTTCTTGGTTTATTGTGCGATTACATATGTTTTAAATAAAGTAGCTACCACTAAACCTTACGTCGATACTTGTATCGTCGTCTTGCAGGGGTAAAATTTCAAAGTGTTCTAGATTCTGAAATTTTCATTAGATCTGGTTTCTTGTGAAAGAAATAGTCATCATTTTTTTTGTTGACCTTTCATATGTACTTGGTTTTTAATGAATTTCAAGTAGTATTGTGAACATTTTTCAAAAGGTATGGATAATTAGTGTTTTCCCCTCAATTTTATCACTTTTGGTTTCAGTTTGGACGCTTTCTCATTTATCGTCCTGGTTCTGTTCGTTTTGTTGCCTTACGTCAAGCTGCTTTACGCAGCCAAGTCATCATGATATTCATTAGCCTTATTCTAATTACTATTTTTGTTGGACTTACTGGTTTCGCTATTTGGCGCCGTTTTATAAGACACCAGAAAAACTATGAAGCTAAACTGGAAGAAAAATATGCTGAGCATGAAAATCGTGTTGTTCGCATATTTAAAGAAGGTTAGCGTTTTTTTTCGCATTCATTTTAATTCTACATTTCAGACATTTTTTCTGACATCCCAGATATTTACCTTTCAATTTTATGCACTAATGTGCAGCTTGGTATTCTCATAAAGCGTAGAACGTAGGCATACCACATTTTATTCCTGTTGTTTTGAATATTCTTACTGCATTTCTCTTGAGCTAATATATGCACCATATACACTGCTCAATGTTGTTGTGACATAAAACATATCTGATTATTGTTTTGAAAGCAGGAAACTTAAGACCAGGAGGACAAAGGTGGTATAAATAGTCATGAACACAGAATGACAATAAACTAAACACTTGGGTTCAAAGTCTGTTATGCTGTAGGCTTGAATGCTTTCAAGAAGATCACGCTATTGCTTTAAAATGCTGCTTACTTTGCGTGAAGACCAAGATTTGATCGGAATATTTAGGTGTAAGTAGATGGTTCAGTAGTTCACTAGTTACTAGCCGGTCCTAAGCCCTGATAAAGAGGGAAGGTTGGGCATAGGGCCAGCAACCCTACCCCGTAAAACCAATCCAACCACTACAGAAACTTCAAAGCGCTGACAGAATATAAAACATAAAAACAAACTTATTCCTCTCTGGAATCGCAGAGGCGAAATGATACCGGTTGATGAAAGCCTTCTGGAAGCCAGTCGGCCGACGTGTCCTCTCCCTCGATGATAGAGAAAGTAAACATGGGGACATGGAATGTCTGCACCATATTTGAACCTAGTAAGGTTTCCCAGGTTGCGAAAGGAGATGAGAAGGTATAGTATTGAAGTGCTAGGAATATGTGAGGAATCAGCAGGTGGAATTGGAGTGGACTCTTCAAACTGTCAACTGGAGAGTCAATAATGTACTCCGATATTGTCATACTGATGACAACCACGAGCACACGGAGGGAGTGGCTATGATGATGTCCCCAAGAGCATCAAAGGTCCTCATGCAGTGAGAACCAATCTCCTTCAGGATCATGACAGCAAGATTCAAATAAAAAGGAAGTAAAGTCACAATCGTACAATGCTACGTTACGCTATGCACCTACAATCAATGGAGATCAAGAGAAGAAGGAGGAATTCTACAGACAACTGCAATCAACACTGGACAAAACCTCAGTTGGCGACATGAATGCCAAACTGGGAGTGGACAACACAGGAAAAGAACTAACCGTGGGTAAAGAAGCGCTCGGTAACATGATGAATGAGAATAGAGAATTGTTTGCAGAATTCTGTGCATTCAACGATTTGGTGATTGGAGGCACTGTGTTCAAGCACAAGGATATCCACAAAGCGAGCGACATGGATTTCCCCAGACACGAGGACACACTAAAAATCAGATCGACTTCATCTCAATCTCAATAAAGTGAAGACGCAGCCTACTGGACGCAAGGTCAAGAAGAGGCGCTGATGTAGGTTCACACCACTCACTATTCAGTGCAAGGAACCTTCTAAATCAAGTTGAAAGCCTTAAAGGAAGTTGGTGATGATAGACCACAGTTCAAGTTCAACATCCACCAGGAACAGAAACTGAAGGACGAAACTACGAAGAAAATCTTCAAGTCAGCCATCAAGACAAAATGGAAGATATCGAGGGACATCCCTGAAGAAACCTGTGTGGAAGAACACTGGAAGTCTTTGAAAGCTATGTGGAAAGAAACCTGCATAACCGTATTAGGAAGGAGGAAAAAAACCGGACAAGTAATGAATCTCGACGGACACATGTAAACTGATAGAGGAGGGAGAGAAGAATGGTGGAGCAGAAGATAAACCAGTGCAACGATGCACAACGAGAAGAGGAACTGAGTATAACGCATAAAACGCTAAACCGGACAAAGAAGTGAAGAAGAGTGCGTGGAAAGACAAAGGACACTTTTACGACACATTAGAAAGTGAAGCAGAACAGGCTGCTGGTAGGAGAGAGAGAGAGACTTGACAACACTATATCAAATAACCATGTTACTATCTGGTATTGAAGAGATCAACACATATGAAACCAATTAAAGATGATATAGGAAATCTAATTACAAAAAAAGAGGAACAAAGAAGACGATGGGCCGACCACTTCAAAAAGCTCTTGAATCGACTACCACCTGCTCTTCGTTCACAAATACCACCAGCAACCCAGCCACAGATTTACCAGCTAAGCCCTCCGACGAAAGTTGAAGTCCTGAGTGCCATAAAGCTACTGAGATGCGCGAAAGCAGCAGGACCAGATGGAATTCCATCAGAAACACTGAAAACAGACGCAGAGACAACAGCGGACATGCTCACACCACTACTGCAGAAGGTCTACGGGGAAGGAAGGAAAGTTACCTGCAGATTGATTGGAAGAAGAGGGCTACCTTGTTAAACTCCAAAAGAATGGAAACCTAAGTGTTTGCATAAACTGGCGTGGAATCATGTTGCTGTCCACCCAAATCAAAATATTAAGCCGCATCATCCTGGAGAGACTAAAGGATGCACTGGATTCAAAACTACCACCGGAACAGGCAGGCTGGCTGGCATCAGGAAGAACAAATCATGTGCGGTCCAAATTGCAACGCCACACATCATAATAGAACAGAGCATAGAATGGCAGTCAACTCTCTACCTCAACTTTATCGACGTTGAAAAGGCCTTTGATAGCGTCGACCGAGAAGTAATTTGGCAGTTGCTTCAACACGACAGAATGCAACAAACCTTTATCAATCTCATTCAACAGCCAGCTATATGAATACGTCACATGCTAGGTAATTCACGATAGGAAGCTCAGTGATGCTTTTGAAGTGAAGACAGCAGTAAAGACAAGGCTGCCACCTACTACCACCGATGATCTTCTTGATTGTGGTGGACTGGATCAGGCAACAAACAGTGGGGAGCGAGAAGAAGAGGATACGCTGGACCGGAGAAAAGATCCTGGAAGATTTGGATTTCGCCAAAGATGACTTGTGTCTAATGCCTTGTAGCACAAACTTGAAGATCTACAGGCAAAATCCGACAAGTTGACAGAAGAGGCGAGGCAGCGAAAACGGGACACCATTCAAGTGAACATAGAGAAGACAGAGGTGATGAAGATACCCAACCAACAACAACAACAACAACAACAAGCAGCAACCAATGGGAGAAACTTAAATGAAGTTGTCTCTCTCACCTACTTACCTTCTTACCTAGGTGGCATCGTTTCAACTACAGGTGGGGAACAGATGAGGACGTCAAAGCCAACCAGGATCGGGTAAGCAGCAAGACATGCATTCATTAATCTGAAATCAGTGTAAAGATCTACTGCACTCTGCATGTGGAACAACATCCCGATTTTCAACACCAATGTCAAGTCAGTCCTGCTATGTGATGGTTCAGAAACTTGGCATGTCACGAAAAGCATTTCCAACAAACTACACACATTCATCAACAGCTGCCGTCCACGCCAGCTCACTCGATACTGAAGATCAGGTAGATGGCCAGAATAGTAAGAATAAGCAACAAGGAACTCACTGTGGCTGGCAACGAACCAACCAAGAACCTATCACCCATCAAATATGCAGGAGAAAGTGGAGATGGATTGTATTGTATTGGGCATACACTAAGAAGACCATTCGGGGACATCACGCGCACGCGCGCCGCCAGGCCAGGCCGTCTAGTGGAACTGTTGTAAAGGGGAAACGACAAGTTGGGCGTCTGAGGTGATAGTGACATGGAGAATATGGTGTGAGGAAGAAATGAAATGTTCTTTGCAGTGGTGGAGTGAGGTTCGAAAGACTGCAGAGAAGAGAGTGAAATGGCGATATGCTACTGAAGCTTTATGTTCCACTAGGAACTCATAGGACAAATAATAATTATAATAATAGATGGTCATCTTATATTATATCTTGTCCAAAGCCCTTATTGAAACCTAGTTCAAACGATAACTCAAATACTTCAGGCGCTGTGTTCTCATTCGTGGGGCGTAATTCATTTGCTATTGATTTTCTTCAAACCCTAGATTCCATGTACACTGTTATAGCTTTTAGCTAGCCTAGTTTCACCCTTTACATCAGCTAGTTTGATACTCAGCACTGTATTTTCGCTTTTGTTGCTTCAGTGTAATGGAAACGATTCCGTCGTCTGAAGGTGGTATTCAACAGAACTTGTGTGATGATAGAAACAATTGTACCACAGCGTCTACCCAAATGTTTTTTGTCTTCTTTGAATAGTAAAATAATGTTTAAACAACGGGTATAAACCGTATCTCTTTTGTTGATACCTAAGCATGTGGTTAGTAACCCTCAAGTTTATAAATAACTGTGATAGAAATTTCCATTTTAGCCTGTTAGACGCATCATGCAGTGAAATAGTATTATATACCAGTCTAACAGAGAATCTTCTACAAGAAATAAGATACATTGAAAATACCTTACGTCTCATTGGTTAACAAAGATTTACTAATAAATTCTTATGAAATCGTAAGGAAGATATGAGCTGTGATAGAAACAAGCGCCAATAGCAATACTACTACTACTACTACTACTACTACTACTACTACTACTACTACTACTACTACTACTACATGATAATAATATTAATAATAATGATAATAGTGGCAGGATGAAGAGAAAATTCAGTACCTCTTCTGTGTTACCATACTACAAAAGCGCGTCGGCAGCGAAGAATTTTCAATAAGGCTGGGATTGGAACGGCATTTAATCCAGATAATATTACTATTTCGCTGTGACATATCTGCAATAGTGCCCACGCTTTACTCATATCAATATGACAAAGAAGTTTATGCGTTAGCTTTTGAAATATATCCTTAATTGTTGTAAACTTCAGGATCAAAATTTGACCTGATAGAGTTGAATAAGTTGAGCATTGGTTAATTGGATTATAAATGAAATATATTTCGTAAAATCCCAATGAAGTAGAAAAATAAATTTCTGATATTTCGTGACTTCGTGGAAATCGCTTCTTCAGAAAAGTCGCGGAACTTCAGAAATTTATTTTTCTACTTCATTGGAATTTTACAAAATATATTTCGTTTATATCCTTAGTTAGTTTTTTCAACATTCATGTGATGCTGTATAGGTTGTGTATGCTGTGCTTATTGACTTCTCTGACAAGTTCATTTCACAAAGTTTTTTGTTATTGTTAATCTCATATTTATCTCATTTTTTCTTAATAATAGATTTTATGGAATTGCAAACAAGTATGCAGGAATTTTCTCAAGAGGTGAAAAAGCACAATTTACCATATCGAGATTATCGAACCTTTTGTTTATTTTCTCTTTTCCCTGAATATCATTGTGAATTAATGAATCCGGTCAATCCTCATTCGTATTTCCCATTGTCAACCAAATTTGATACACTTAGACCTCCAGATGATGCACTTGTACCACATCATCCTCTCTTATCACCTTTTACAGTGAGTGTCTTCATGTAAATTAAAATGTTTAGAACTTGAGTTTTCGAATAGTGAATCTGATTTGCGAATTTATAATTGCATGAACATTCAGCATGTATTTCATATTAATTGTGGAACCTCAGCCTCCTTCTTCAGCATCACTGTTATAAATACTGGTCTTTCGGTAGCGTTTACCTTCGAAGTAGGGGTGAATAAACGATGCACTGACCACTTCAAAAAACTTTCGAATCTACCACAACCACCACCACCACCTGCAACTCGTCCACAAACATCACCAGTAGCTCAGACACACAATTACCAGTGAATACAAGCTCTCTCACAAAACCCGAAGTCCTGAATACCATAAAACCGCTGAAATATGGAAAGCAGCACGACCACATGCAATTCCTCCAGAAACACTAAAAACAGATGCAGAGACATCAGCCAACATGCTAACACCACACCACTATTGCAGAAGGTTTGGAAGGAAGGAAGGAAGGAAAGGTACCTGTCCATTGATTGGAAGAAGGGCTACCTAGTCAAACTTCCCAACAAGGATGACCTAAGTCTCTGCAAGAACTGCAGCGGAATATTGCTCCATCCCTGTCCACCCAAACCAAGCAAAATATTATGCTACATCATCCTGGAGAGATCAAACAATGTGCTGGACTCAAAATTACCACAGGAACAGGCCAGCCGGCTGGCTGGCCAGCTGGCTGGCTTCAGGAAGTACAAATCATGTGCACATCAAATTGCAATGCCACGCCACGCTACACTTCATCGTAGAACACAGAATAGATTGGCAGTCAATTGGATCTTTACCTCAACTTCATCGACTTCGAAAGGGTCTTCGATCGACGCGTCAACCGAGAAGTAATTTGGTAGGCAGCTGCTTCAACACTACGGTTTCAGTGCCACTAACACTTATCAGCCTCATTCAACAACTATATTCTATGCTATGCTATATGATGCTACATGCCAAGTGATTAACAACACAATGCAAAACTCAGCTCAGTAATGCGTTTGAAGTGGAGACAGTAAGGAGGAAGACAAGGTTGCCACCTACCATCACCCATTATTTCCCCGACTGTGGTCGGCTCGACTTGACTCGACTGGACTGGACTGGACTGAATTGGACTAGACTGGACTGAGTCATGCACTAGACAACAGTGAGGAGTGAGAAGATGAGGATACACTGACTCGACTGACGAAAGGACCCTAGAATGAGATTTCGATTTCGCCGATGACGTTGATGATGATTTATGTCCAATGCCTTGATTGTGGCACAAACTCAAAGATCTACAGGCAAAATCCAACAACTTGACAGAAGAGGCAGGTCAGCAAATACGGGACTTCCTTGAGGTGAACGTAGAGGAGACAGAGGTGATGAAGATACCCAACCAGCAGCAGTAGCAGTAGCAGCAGCAACAACAAAAACAACAACAAGCACCAATCACCATCAACGGGTGAAATCTAAAGGAAGTTGTCTCTCTCACCTACCTACCTTCCTACCTAGGTAGCATCGTTTCAACTACAGGTGGGGGAACAGATGAGGACGTCAAAGCCAGTTAGGATCGGGAAAACAGCAAGACATGCATTCATTAATCTGAAATCAGTGTGGAGATCCACTGTACTGCACTCCACTGTACTGCACTGCACTGCACTGTACTCAGCATAAAGCCTGAACGACATCGGGATTTTCAACACTAATTCAGTCAGTCATGTGATGGTTGAGAGACTTGATGCGTTACGAAAAACATTTCCACAGACATTCATCAACGTCTGCCACTTACGCAGAGTGAAATGACGATATGCCACTGAAGCTCTATGTTCCACTAGGAACCCATGGGACAAATAATAATAATAAGGGTGTGAATAAATCCTGGTTTCCTTAGGACAATTTTCCCTTCATTCTTAATTCATTATATGTTGATAAAATGGATAACCATTTTATGGGAAACTCGAAAAGTTCATACAAAAGGCTCAATTTATGATTGCCTTCATTTTCTCTTTTGAATTTTATGTTTTATGTACTCGACTACTGACTTCATACAGACATGTCGCATGCAGTATACTTGTTATAGCCGTATCTGCTGTGGAATATTTTTGTAGTTTTACATTTGGGCTTCATTAGGGATAAAAATATCCGCCTATGAAAAACTCAGTGATCTACTCACTACTATTTCCCTAGTCACCCATTGAGTCAGTTAGTCAGTCAATGATATAAGGTGATTAACTTTTACAAACGCAAACAGATGTGAGCCTGTTTTATTTTTTAAAATCTTGTTTCCAGTGTCATGTAAATGTGCATTTATCACTTGTTTAATTATAATTTCCTACTTTTTAGGTGTATATTCAAGCACATAATGATGCGGCGAAAGGTATTTCTTTATTTCATGTTCTTTTGTGCAATCGTCAGTTCTTATACCTTCTAATCAATTTGATTGAAAAAGATGAGCATATAATGGCTAAGGATAAATCGCGTATCGCCTCTCTACTCTGCATAGCTTTACAACCGAAAATGGACTATTTGACAAGGTTGGTTTTTTTTTTTCATATCTAGGTTAAATGTTTTGTGTTCAGTTATAAATTTATATGTTATTTTATTTGTCAGTAATTCATAATATCTTTAAAACAATATATCTGGTTTTTGTTTTAACCTTATACCTTAAACTGATAACCCATTAGTTCGGTTATGCTTTGACAGTCGTACTGTTTTTTGTTTCGGAATTTATACACACTATTCATCTCTAAAAGTGTGCAACTTGACTTAACTACTTTCTTTGAACTATCATTCAAGTTGGCATTTCTATACAGCCTGCTAACTAACAGTTTAAGTTCGATCATAAATATTCTGTTCAATTTATTCACGATTAGATACATCTGCTTAGGAAACTATTTAAATAACATTCACTGTATTCAATACTTAAGGTACCCAAGTCACGTGGATTATTATTTTAGGTTTTAAGCAGCTGATGACAAACCACTATATGAAATTGATCTATACTATCCTGCTAAAGCTCTTGTTCCCGCTCTATTTAAATTCATTAGTTCCTGGTCATTTAGTAGTTACCGTTCATTGCTAATATCACTGTTACCAATGTACTTGGAATTTTCGCTACATTTTAACATGTTAAGGTCAATAAGTGTAAATCATATGGCTTGATTTCTTTATTTGTAATTTGTGAACACAATTCTAAATGATCAGTGGAGTAATTTAGCATGAAATTGTAATTTCTCATGTAACTAGTCCATACAATTGGTTAATCACTTCTCTCCAGCCGAACTTCATTGTATTAGAATACAAAACTGGTGTTTATTGTCCTTATAATTTGAATGAGTGCATGTAGGCATGTAAACCGCAGACTTGCAACATAAAACAGCTGATATTAGTACCATTAATGATTTTGTATCGAGAAATGAGAAGTGTATGTAAAGGTGAACTTTCGAAACTGTATGTCTTTATAACAAGGATGATTGAACTATTTTTGAAAATGTTAATCTACGTAAAATATTTGTGTACTTCGAAGTTTACTGGAATCACTTAATTGATATATCATTTACTACCCGGTTTACACGAAAAAAGAGTATCAGCGTGTCACCTAGTTCCATAAACTCAGTTGTAACTGTAGTGGTTCCTTGATAGAGCATTAGTTTTTTTAGATATAATTATCCTAACAATGCCAACAAGTTAGTGAATAGCATCCAGAGTTTCCAGTCAGGGAATACTAGTCTCTGGATACTTTCATTTACTATTTATGCTTGTTTCTACTTTGTTTTCCAGTGTCATGTTTGATTTAATGACGAATGTTTTGTGTCAGCTACATCATGAAGGAGACAGTCACCTAGCCACTGCTTTCCGAAGAGCTGAAACGATTGTTGACAAAATTTTGTCAAACTGGTTAACGTTTCTGCTATACAAGTTTATTAAAGTAAGCAGTTCGTAAGCTTTTCTTACTACTATGGAGTTTTTCAGTTCCCGTTGTTGATTTCAGTCTCATTGTCTTTTTATATACCACTTGTTTAGGGATTTCATTTGTAACAATGACTTAATATTTATACTGGGCAATAATTAATGTGAAATGAAGGACACTGACATCTTGATTAACTGATCCCCGATACTCTGCCAACTGAACTATGAGACCCTACTGCTGACCAGGTCTAAAGTTCACTGATATCATGAATTCACTTGATAGCTGGATGATTGAGGCGAAGTTAACACCTAGTCGGCAGTTGGGTCACGTAACTCAGTTGTTAAAACACCAAGTCGGTAATCCGGAAACCCTTGATTCACTTTTCATTCAATCCTCAATCTCAAATTCATCTCAAACTGTAGCTATCTCAGATGGCTGCTTGAATAATAACTTATTACTTGAAAAATTTATATAGTCTGAAAAACGACGTTATGGATATGGCTCGTGCCTAGTTTGAAAATTGGAATGTTTCTTCAGTGTTAGTTCACTGGTTCATTTCTGGCCAATTTATCCTAGACTGCATTTGAATCTGTCTGGTTTTTTCCTTCTCACTTGGTTTTATTATACAGACATATCGACACAAAACGTTACTGAAGAATGCATCACTTACCGCAAAAGGTGTATGCGTGGATATTTGGAATTTAAATCAGTCATTAGCTCCTCTGCATATACTTCATATCTTCCCATGATTTTGTGTCGCGGTATAAATTCAGTTGTTACTGTGTTTACTGAAATACGACAACACTTACTTTAAGACCATAATTGCTATCTGGGTAGTATAAACTGTTACGTTAGATTGATATTACCTATGTGTTTATAACCTAAAAGCAAACACCAAAGTAGTGAAACGTATATGGAATACGAGTTTCACTCTGTCTGTGCATCAAACATGTAAACTTTATGTGAGTAAAACTTGAGCACTGTAGTAGAGTATTATCCCACATTAGGTTAGTTTGTTCGATATAAGATATCGATACAACAAAATTTATCCAATAATAATAGTAATAATAATAATCATAATTCACCTTGGAATATGCTCCAAGGCTTTTATTATTATTTGTCCCATGGGTTCCTAGTGGAACATAGTGCCACAGTGAGTTCCTTGTTGCTTATTCTTTCCGCTCGTCTATTTCATGTTCAGTATAAAGTGAGCTAGCGTGGGCGGCAGCTGTTGATGTATATCTGTGGCCTGTCGGAAATGCATTGACTTGACTGAATTAGTGTTGAAAATCCCGATGTCGTTCAGGCTTTATGCTGAGTACAGTGCAGTGCAGTGCAGTGCAGTGGAGTACAGTAGATCTCCACACTGATTTCAAATTAATGAATGCATGTCTTGCTGTTTTCCCGATCCTAACTGGCTTTGACGTCCTCATCTGTTCCCCCACCTGTAGTTGAAACGATGCTACCTAGGTAGGAAGGTAAGTAGGTGAGAGAGACAACTTCCTCTAGGTTTCACCCGTTGATGGTGATTGGTGCTTGTGTTGTTGTTGTTGTTGCTGCTACTGCTACTGCTGCTGGTTGGGTATCTTCATCACCTCTGTCTTCTCTATGTTCACCTGAAGGAAGTCCCGTATTCGCTGACCTGCCTCTTCTGTCAACTTGTTACTTTTCACATGTTGATCTTCGAGTTTGTGCCACAATCAAGGCATTGGATATAAATCATCATCATCATCATCATCGGCGAAATCAAAACCTCATTCTAGGGTCTTTTCGTCGGTCGAGTCAGCGTATCCCCATCTTCTCACTCCTCACTGTTGTCTAGTGCATGACCCAGTCCAGTCCATTCCAGTCCAGTCCAGTTCAGTTCAGTCCAGTCGAGTCGAGTCAAGTCGAGCCGACCACAGTCGGGAAGATAATGGGTGTTGGTAGGTGGCAACCTTGTCTTCCTCCCTACTGTCTTCACTTCAAAGGCATTACTGAGCTGAGTTTTGCATTGTGTTGTTAATCACTTGGCATGTAGTATCATATAGCACAGCATAGAATATAGCTGTTGAATGAGGCTGATAAGTGTTTGTGGCACTGAAACCGAAGTGTTGAAGCAGCTGCCTACCAAATTACTTCTCGGTTGACGCCTCGATCGAAGACCCTTTCGAAGTCGATGAAGTTGAGGTAAAGATCCAATTGACTGCCAATCTATTCTGTGTTCTACGATGAAGTGTAGCGTAGCGTAGCGTAGCATTGCAATTTGATGTGCACATGATTTGTACTTCCTGAAGCCAGCCAGCCAGCCAACCAGGTGGCAGGCCGGCCGGCCTGTTCCGGTGGTAATTTTGAGTCCAGCACATTGTTTAGTCTCTCCAGGATGATGCGGCATAATATTTTGCTTGGTTTGGGTGGACAGGGATGGAGCAATATTCCGCTGCAGTTCTTGCAGAGACTTAGGTCATCCTTGTTGGGAAGTTTGACTAGGTAGCCCTTCTTCCAATCAATGGACAGGTACCTTTCCTTCCTTCCTTCCTTCCAAAGCTTCTGCAATCGTGGTATGGTGTGAGCATGTTGGCTGATGTCTCTGCATCTGTTTTTAGTGTTTCTGGAGGAATTCCATATGGTCGTGCTGCTTTCCATATTTCAGCAGTTTTATGGCGTTCAGGGATTCACTTCTGCTTTTGTCGCAGGGTTTGTGTTCACTGATAATAATGAAGATGTCTTTTGTAGTTTCGTGCTTCAATTTTTTTTCTGGGTGTTGAGCGTGATTTGCGGTCTGTCATCACCAGCTTCTTTGAAGGCTTTCAACAGGGTTTTCAAGTTAGATGACTTGCAGTAGGCAGTGAGCGGAGTGAACCTACATCTGCTCCTCTTCTTAATCTGATCCTGTGTGCAGTTGGCTGCGTCTCCCCTTTCTTCACACTGAGATGAAGTCGATCTGATTTTTAGTGTATCCAGGTGTCTGGTGAGATCCATGTCGCTTTGTGAATATCCTTGTGTTTGTACACACTGCCTCCAATCACCAAATTAGTGAATGTTCAGTAATCTGCAAACAGTTCTCCATTCTTGAGCTATGATGAGTTCTCTTCCTGTGTTGTCCACTCCCAGTTTGTCATTCATATCGCCCATTGGGATTTTGATGGGGCCAACTGGGGTGGGGTTATGTCGATTACTGATTGCAGCCGTCTATAGAATTCCTCCTTCTTCTCTTGATCTCCATTAATTGTAGGTGCATAGCGTAGCATTGTACGATTGTGACTTTACTTCCTTTTTATTTGAATCTTGCTGTCATGATCCTGATCCTGGAGGAGGAGATTAATTCCCACTGCATGAGAGCTTTCGATGTTTTTGGGGACATCATGATAGCCACTCCAACACTCAGTGTGTTCATGGTTGTCATCTGGGTGACAATAACGGAGTAGATTATTGACTCTCCAGTTGACAGTTTGGAGAGTTCACTCCAATTCCACCTGCTGATTCCTCACACATTCCTAGCACTTCAATACTATACCTTCTCATCTCCTTTTGCAATCTGAGAAACCTTACTAGGTTCAAATATGGTGCAGATATTCCATGTCCCCATGTTTACTTTCTCTGTCATCGAGAGAGAGGACACGTCGACCGACTGGCTTCCAGAAGGCTTTCACCAACCGGCGTCATTTCGCTTCTGCGATTCCAGAGAGGAATAAGTTTGTTTTTATGTTTCATATTCTGTCTGCGCTTTTAAGTTTCTGTAGTGGTTGGATTGGTTTTACGGGGTAGGGTTGCTGGCCCTATGCCCAACCTTCCCTGTTTACCAGGGCTTAGGACTGGCTAGTAACTAGTGAACTAGTTAACTAGGTGGGGTTCTCGGAGACCTTTACTTGCACGAATCTATGAGTCCTCCCTACACGTAAGTTGACATTGATAGATGCGGTGCGATGTGGCACTGTCATTCACATGCTGTGAATTTTTTGGAAAGTTTACAAGCTTGGTAGTTTCTATTATAAACCGCACCCCAGCTGCATAGTAAGTCTTAATAGCGTTGTTAAATCTCTGCTTAAGGATTGGGCTGTGAGAATCACCTTTGTGTGGAAGACTGATGCAAACATCTTTCTTAGTGTGAAATTGAAGAGCAGGTTTTGACGCTCTGTCTTCTTTATGCTGGCTAACAAATTTCGATGAAGAGTTATTTTCTAACAGTGTTTCAGTCAATGTTCTTGTTTCGTCTTCCAAAGTATCATTCGTTCATATTCGTTGAATAAGGCTGCATAATCTGCTTCTGTAGTGCACACATACACAATATCGGTTGGTTACACAAATAAATTCATACTATCGTTTACAATCAACTTTCGTGTAGCATTCTCATAGGTGACTAAATAGGTTACCATTGTACTAAATATTCGATAATTTATGAATATAAATACCCATTAAAGAAGTAGTGATCAGTGATTGTCTTTCCATATCTATGCTAAGAACTTGTCAGTTGTCATCCCGTCGAGGGGACATAACAATTGAAGTTGGCTAGACGACTAGAGGAGTGACTTTAAAGGCCGCCCTAGCAACAAGTGAAATAATTCATCAGTGAATTTACATACTGAAGTAAAGGTAAGCAGGTACCATCGAAGAGCAGATATAAGGGATCAACCTGCACATAACTAACAACAAATGCATACGAAATATTTTCCAATTTCTGTTCATTATTTTCAAGAGTGAATCCTCAAACGCCGTTATCTAACACAAGTGTTTCTCTGCATTCCGTTTAAGAAATATTACGGTCAGTAACCCCGTATAATCAATAGTTTTTACAAGCAATCTGAACTGAGTAATATGTTTTCATTACTCTTTTTTCACCCTTATGTAAGCGCGTAAATTTACTAAGTCAATAAACTATTATTAACTAGTTTAACTTTTTTTCATATTTCGGGGACATCATATGCCAGGCCCTCGAACAGAACCCAAAGGGGAAACGACGAGTTGGGCGTCCGAGGCGATAGTGACAAGGAGGAGATAATGAGAGGAAGAAATGAAATGTTCTTGGCAGTGGTGGAGCGAGGTTCGAAAGACTGCAGAGAAGAGAGTGCAATGGAGGCGTGCTACTGAAGCCCTATGTTCCACTAGGAACCTAAATGAAAAATAGCATAATAATAATAATAATAAAGAAGTGATAGGCATGCCCAAAGATATCCCTTATGCTTCTTATTCATTAATCATACGTTTCTTTACTTGAAATCCCAAGTGAACACCTTGAAAATAATGATTCTATAATTTTTTAAGTCTCCTCGTAATCTTTGTTACTTTGCTTTGGTTAGAGTACTGATTAACTTCAACACATCAATATCTACATGTATTAAGGAAAAGATTCTTTGTTCATAATTTTACTTAGAATAAATATTTGTATACTATATGTATCCTATTGGTGTATTATTGTTTTATGCTTTTTAGAATAGTGTTGGAGAAAATTTGTTTTATTTTTATCGAGCTCTTCTACAGCAGATAAACATGGGTCCATGTGATGCTATAACGGGTAAAGCTAGATACACACTGGATAGTTCTTCTTTGCTGCATACTGAATTAACTGGAAACCAGGTTGTAAGTATGCATTGCTTGTGATTTATACAATTGAATCTTTTTACACCAAGATAGTCACACAAATTTGTGTTTTAGAGTTTATGATACTACTATTTTCCCTTTTTTAGCTTGGTTAGTAGTTGCATTTTCCATCTATGTTAAATGAGTATTGAGTATTACACGTGATCGGATGTAATCCGACAAACAAAGATTCATTTGAAGAGCTTTTAGTTTCTCTTCTTGATTATTGTTGTGATATACATAGTAATCTGTGGATAAACGCTTTGAAAACTATTCTACCTCCGTTCTGGGACTGATTGACCAATGAATATTTGTTCATCGAATCAGCTCTGATCAGATGTAAGAGGAATGATTCAAATTGAAAGTAGATAAAACGTTCTACTGCCAATAAATAAAATGGAAAACAGTATTATGATTGGAACTAAGTCAGAAAGTTGTTTAGTTACCCTGGTTCAATGATGACTAATAACGTGTACTTGAAGTATCATTTAATAAGCAACACTGTATTACGAAGTGCTGTTGTAAGCTAATAAACTTATGCTATATCACACTGTTCAGGTTTACGCTGACATTAAATTATACCTTTTGTTTGTTTATTTTTGCATTATGTAGTTTTCTCTGTATTTTCAATATATGCTGTCTCATTTTATTATAATTTTATTTTATAGATACTCAATGTTGAAGATCCTCAAAGTTTATTTGGTTTACCAACACCATACATTTGTGTTAAAGTGTTAGATTGTGATACAATTACTCAAACTAAGGAGAAAATTTTAGATGCAATCTACAAAAACAAACCGTATTCAAAACGGATAAAATCTACTCAATTAGAATTAAGTAGGTTTTTGATTTGTTGCATTTCACCTCTTGTATACTTCATCTTTTTTTATGTATATAAACTATGATCAAGATTTGATCGTATAGTATAGCAAAATATTGGACGTTGTGTAAAAGGTTGACATTAGATATAGATTGTATTTGTGTAAGTCACAGAGGGTTTGAAGTCATATAATTCAAACGTTTCACACGAAAGTCTAATCCAAAGATTTTCAGGAAAATAATTAAAATTTAAAATATCAAGGCTATATACAGTTTAAAAGTCTAAAAAATTCATTAAAGTTTACTTTTATCTTGCTACGTTTATTAGATGTATCATACAATAAAACAGTATTATTTATTTATTGGATTATAGTGTTGAGCACAATCAATGGTTACCTATGACAGTGTAGAGAATGAAGATCTGTTTATTGTTAATGTAGGTGAAGAAAACAGTGTGGTGTTTGGTGATTAAACCAGTAAATTTTATTTGTTCACCGATTTTGTGATATCACTGAATGAAATTATTTTCTCAATTTCTCTATGGTCATGAAACAAACTCTACTCAAATAATAAGGGGACATTCACATTATCCTATCCATCCTATGTTACGTAATTATGCATATTTGAAAGCCAAGTATCATTGATAGTCTTGTCTTCAATCGAAGAAATAGCACTAGTGACTCATAAATCGCTTATACAATTTTATATTCTATATTCCAGATATCCTTCTACCAATAAACCTATAAAATGTCTATTGATCTTGCGTCCATACTGCAGACTGACACTGTAATTTCAAAGAGGTTATTTCATTGAGACATCATTAATTTATTTTTATTAGAACACAAAAATGGTACGGCAAGAGCACCAAGAAATACGCCACACAATAAGAATAGCATGATTAGAACGGCAGTTCAGTAAGATACATTCAAAACAAAACATTTATTATTTTTCAGCGTAGGCACAGGCTCCTGCCAATCTTGCAAGCGTACTTTTCAATTTGAGGATGCAAAGGATATGTCATTCTTACGGATACTAATCGCCAACTGATTCAGTGCAATTTGAGTAACCTGTGTATTATCACACAGTGAGATGATAACGTCCACATATTCAAGGTCGAATAGCGATTCTCTGGGTAGATCTGCGCCACCATCACGCACCTCCTTCATAGATATCTTAAGAATGTCATAAATGGCAAAGTTAAAGAGGAATGGAGAAATCGGGCAACTCCGCATGACCCCACTGCTGGTTTGTAACGATAGAGACAGGTGGTTGGATGGCCTTACTCTACCTGAGGTATTATTATATGAGGATTTCAAGATGTTAATAAATTTCTCAGTCACACCCCTCTCCAACAGACGCTTCCGAAGTACAGCTCTGCCCAACGAATCGAAGGCAGCCCTAATGTCATGAAACACGACGATTGTTGGCCTGCAGTACGTGTGGCGATATTCAAGTATCTGATGGAGGGTACATACACACATTATATTTAAATTCTACAATGAAGTCAGTATGGTGCTTATTTTTACTGATTAATTTACAATACTCAAATCGTATACAATATCACGATTATAATTTCCTTTATTGTGTTTTCATCCTTCTTAGGAAGACTCTATGCGCAGACTACTCCACAAAATCCAGGTAACTCATAGCATGTTTTATATTCTTTACTGTGTTTCCAAATCATCATGTAATAGAGACAACAGGTATTTTCTGTTAACAAACGCATATACACCAAGATTATATATGACGTTTGTTGTAGTCGCATATATATCGATATCCTCATACGTGTACTTCTTGTCTGTTTCTTTTTAAAGAAGATTTCGTAAGAAAACAATGAGTGGTTTTTGTTGCGAATCCCTTGGAAAATGTTTCAGAAGAAGTCTCATTGTATTCCGCATTATGTTCAAATGCAAGCTAAGTGATTTTCTGCACTAGTCACTGTACTCAAACGACGTATATCACTTGAAACTAAACTTTTGTTTACTTCATTAACTTGTTGCTAATTAATATCACTTCAACAAGCAGGTAATACTAACTTAGCATCTTGTTGGATCTGTTCGTCAGTTTAAGTAGTTACTGCCCATTTACTGTGCATTATATTGGTTGATTGGTTGGTTTTCATAGTTATATTTGGAGCCGGTTGTACTTTTTTTCAGGAAGATTGATCTTTCAAGTGGTACGACTGATTTCATGCCTTGCGACAGATTATATTTAAGACTTTTCTATGCCATTGTTTGATTGTTTGTATCGACCACTTGACTTATTTAGGAAGTTGCATCAGTCCGAAGGGGCTAGTTGCTGACGAAATCTCAGCTCGGACACAGAAAGTTCGTTCCGCATTTGCCAACTTCCTTGATCTTTGGCGCCGACTGGCAAGATATCCGAATATACCTGGTAAAAGATTAGTATACTGCTCTACAACCCATTGTCGTGTTATAAGTCTGAAACATGAAGGGATTAAAAGGTTTTAATCATTGGTGTCTTCGTAGCATTTCTCGCCTTTGGTGGGATCACCTTGTGAGCAATGTTCAGGTCAGGCATACGGTACTAGACAACAAAGTCAAGTCAATTGATGAGATTGTGGACCTTAGTCGGCTGAGTTGGCCTAGACATGTACTACTCATGCTGAGTCCCCTCTTACCTCGACATACAACGATCAGGGAAGTTGGATTATGTTGGGAGGGACTTGAGGGTGGCTAGACCAAGATGTGACACCAGTCGATGAAGTCCGTGACTGTTGATTTGAATCCTGTGAGTATATGTAAACTACCTGGCTGGGGTCCCCGACATCAGTGGTTTACGACCATTGGTGATATGGCTGGAAATCGATCACAATGGCGTAGATATATTCATTCTTCGATGTCTTCGAAAGCGTGAATATTTGTACTAACCTTCATCTTCAGGTTGTTTATTCTGTCACACAACTTTGTCTACTTTGATATCGATCTTTTTCTACCCACTCATTCTTTGTATGCGGCTGTGAAGTGTAGAAACTTGAGCCGATCACCTGTATGCCACGTGGTTCTACGTTGATTTTGTCTGTTCGCGTTACTATGCTTATTATTATCATCAATTTTTAGCTTCCACTGTGTTTTTATGGTCAGTTCATTCCTCGAAGCCTTTTTCAAAATCTTTTTTCGAATATGTTGAAAAGCAGATTATTTTTTGTATTAACACATGGTAATGACCAGTGACTTTTACTGAATATTATCGTCGATAGTCTGTTATGTACATTTGTGGAATATCTATTCTTTTTTTTTGATTATCATGCTCTCATTTCTACTATCTGCCTTCTATGTAATCATTTTCTTTTGGCTTTTTCAGACAATGAAATTCGTATTGCTCAAACTTTAAGTGACTGGGATGTTAAAATCTGTTCAACTTCAACAGAACATGAAACAGCACCAAGACGATTAAATTGTGTCAAAGATTATCAGGTATGCACTGAATTTTGATTGTGATTGTTTTTGAATGTGCTTTTTCACTTTGTCATGCTTATCAGTGTTAGTGTCTGCTACTGAAATACACCCTTGACAGGTATACAATTATGCTAAAGATACTATTCTGGAACAACTGTGGTGAAAGTTTAATGTGATCTATCCTCTGAGATGTCTACAACAAGAGATATCTGTTAGCGATTTCAATACTCGATTTTATCATGGATATTGCTTGAGGCAACATTTTATGTCTATAAATTATTAAGTATTGGAAAAATAAAAAATAAAAAGATAGCAGGTGATTCTGGTTATGCATATCTTCATTAAACTGCTCACGTTTGGTGGAGACACGAAGTGTTTAATGCTAATGTTAGGTAAGTCGATCGACGAGGCTGCAACTCAGCTTAAACAGCTAAAATATGTTATGGGCATACCAAAAGACTTTCTTCTTCAGGACCTGGCACTACTGCGTGATGGTTCAAATTGCCACAATTCATATCAGTACGTCAATCGAAAATGCATCTGATGAAAGTTAGAGAAACAGGAGAGAAAGCATTTAGTAGTTACAGAAAGTCATGATAAGATAACAAGATAGAATAAAGCAGTAATGAAATTCCATGTAGCAACTATGTCAAAGATAATGTGTGAATGCGTCTGCACCACTGAGGTCGATTTGGAGACATATCATCCAGTCTCCAATTACTGATTTTGGTTGTCTATCATAAGAATGCAAAACGGAAACTCTATACAGTACAAACCGACAGTCGAACACGTCATAGGCTGATGGCATTTTTTTAATCTGGCAGCCTCTAACCTTTGTCCAATCTTAACCAATTCATTCAGCACTGCAGATGATGACTGGTAATGCTTAAAACATGTCCCAGCTACCTGAGTCAATGAGCTCTCGCTTAACCTCGGCACCACCCACGTAGTGATTTCCGAACACGCTACAACGGTAACGGTACTCGAACATTTGAATCCTTCTCGAACTTTAGTGGCCATGTTTCACAGCCATATGGCAGAACAGAGCGAACTACAGCGCAGCAAGCTCAACCGTTTTTAGAGTTAGACATCACACTGGTGAAATAGTTGGAATAAGTCTAACGAACCGTCTGCCTAAATATTTCATTCTTCACTGACCCACCTAAGTTGACCCGAGTCTTCGACTTAAGTGGTCAACACGCTCAATCGTTTACTCTGTGTTATTCAACGTGGCACCAACGCAGAGCAGGCTTAGAGCAGCATTTTGAATTTAAATGTAGAGAAAGGCATCTCGAAGATTCTCGCATTGCCTCTCAAGACATGCGGAAGACTCTCAGTTTCTTCAGAATTTTCACCAGTAACTACCTAGCCAATTTCTCACTGGAAGCAGTCTTAGTATTCTTATCGTCAGGCTGCCCTCAAAGTGGTCTAGTTGCTATGGTTTTACTACGTCCATTTAAGTCCAGACATATATGCGCTTTGGAAGCAGCGCTAATTTTCCACTAACCCTCTCTAGCGATAAGTGATTGAAATGTGATCTATCTGTGTCCGCCATTCAGTCGAGGTTAGTGAATGCCACTTCAAACAATGTCTCAACTCATGTCTGAACTTTATATTCTTTAGAAAAAGATGGTTGCCTGAACCCAGTTGTAATACACAATCGTCGTTGTCTTTTCATTCGGCTGGAATTCCGAAAGTGTCATACACGTGCCTTTCTGGCTGACTAAGCGTATCACTTGCAACAACAAACATCTCTGAACCTTTGGTTTTCAAAAGGAAGCTAAACAGTTTTCGGTGGAACTCATCCTTCAGTTTTTCCGAACTGCAGTCAGTGGGTATGTATATAGAGATTAAAAAGAGACAACAGCGAATTTCACCATTCTTTTTTTCCTTACTGCAACATTCATTTGAACAGCACAAAAATGTATGTCAACAAGAAAAAAGCTATGAGTATTTCTGTCAAGATGCTTTTACAATTGAGAAACTTACTGGCTGTTACTCTCAGCCGTAATGGGAATCATAGAATGATTTGATTCAAAGTTGACTAAACTGGCACGAATCTGTATGGTCTCTATCATTTTTGGAATTGTAAACATTATATATCCTTGTTTCATGCACCTTTTACTACCTTGAATGTTACTTTATTATTTTAAACTTTCTAATTATGTTCTGTCGTCAGATTTGACCCTATGAACGTATGTACGAAATTGTGTATTACCTATTTTCTATTATCTGTACATTTTATCGCATCAGTTAGGTAGTGGTATCTTCTAATCTGATTTCAAGATTCTAAGTTGATCTATTTTAACTGCCGTTTTTCACTCAACTCATTATGACATCATTCTACATGAGGATAAAAATTACTATAATAATATGATAAACACACTTCATTAGCTACTCTCTAATTACAATGATTTCTGTGTGTTATATTTTCAAGTTGAGTACAAAAAAACTTTGCAGCTTCATTTTAACTTTGCTCCACTGATTTGAATAGTTAACAGCAATCACTGGTAAATTATTTAAGAATGCACCTCAAAAAAAGATGAATTTTGAAGAATCACAGAGTTCAACAGATTTCATCGAGAGACGAATCACACAATGCCTTTTTAAAGGTGTTGATGTTTTGTATACTTATGTGTATATTTAGAGAACATTACCATTTATGGTGAAACACTTTTCAGTCAAAGTGAAATACGCAGCTTTAACAAATAACTTTTTTTATCTCTTCTTTCAAAAATAGGAAGGCAGCATAACTGTAATGCTAGTCCCCCGAGAGAAACACTCTGTTTTACACTCGTGTCCAGCCTGTCTCAGATTCCTACTGTCAAAGCTGTTTACACCATGACATCATCTTTTTTATTTTTATCTAATAAAGCCTTTTGGCATGTCAAGACCTCAAAGAACAGTCGTTTCAGTCAACATAGCTCATTATTTCATTTCAGTGTGTAAGGATAACCACCATTTGAATACAGAAACTTTAGATTCGACAGCAGATTCTATTATGTCTTAGAAAAATGTATTTCTTCCCTACCTTATGACTATAGGACGTAGTCAACCGGAAGGATTTCAAAAGGTTAAGGATGTGTGTTTGGCATGATCTTGGTATCATCATTATCTTGTTGTCTATAAAATCATTGCATTGAGTAATCCTAATGTGTTACCCTGTAAATGCTTAAAAAGGTATTGATTTAGTTATTGGGGTAGCCAAGATGTGTTTCGTGGGTATATAACCTCTATCTAGCTGAAAACTCATGTTCAGCAAGGCAATCATTTCAGACTTATTAAATTGACTCTCATTCAATGAAGCCTATATAACCTTTGGTTTAAGTATTTTGATAGCATGTTGATCATTTCACTGGTACAGTTGAAATAAACATTTTTATAATTCACAATCTATCACAGTTGAGTGGATTTATTCATGTTTCATTGTTTGTGTTCCACTTATCGTTTTCCACTGATACCTTGTCACCTTTTTCATAAAATCCTCTAATCATTACTCATATCATATTTATTTCGGATTATTCTCTCGTGTTGATTTCACTCCACTGTGTTGATTGATGTAAAATGTGAAAATATAGACAGATACTCATTTATATATATACACCATCCACTTTTGAGTGACATTGAATATATTGAACGATATGCAAAATGAGAATAATCATAGTTAGTGTTAATATAATTTGCAAACTTTTTTTAACGAAATGGCTTCAAATGTTTATCGAAACATGGGTGTAATAATGCTGCAGGAAACGTGGCTTCATAACCTGTATGATGATGACTTAGTCTGCTTAGATGGTTTCAAATTATTTCGACAAGATCGAAGCTTTTCGAAGAAGAAATGTGGTGGTGGTGTAGCAACATTTATTAGTACTAACTGGTCGTCCTCCAACTATGTATGCTTCTGCTTCTCTAACGAAAAAATTGAGTGCATTACCATCAAATGTCGTCCCAAACATTTGAGCAAATACAAATACATATATATCACAAACATGTATGTCACACCTGACTGCAGTTTCTCAGATTTGTCAACTTTTGCTGATAAATTCACTGAATTTGCTGCTCCGGTTCTGGGAAACTCCTTGTCTATTGTCTGTGGTGATTTTAACTCATGTGACTACAGTTTTATATTATCATTGGGTCATAAAAATATGGTTAACTTTTCCACTCGTCTTGACAACACCTTAGACTTTGCATTTACAAATGAACCTGGCATATATGAAGCCCGTAAACGGGCTCCACTGCTAAATTCCGACCACTGTATCGTTCGTGTTTTGCCTAAAGTGTACGGAAAATTATACAAGAAAGCTTTTGCATACCTTTCAAGGAAAGTTCAATACAGATGCTATTCACAAGAAAATATATTACGTTTGAGAAGCATGCTTATAGAAACGGACTGGGATATATTTGCTGATGAAGTTTTAGACAACACTATTACCAATATCACAAGCTATCTCAGATTCTGTCTCGATATCTGCTGCCCTACTGAAACAATTTACATGAGATTTGACAGACTTTCCTCTCCTCATCTCAAGAGGCTTCGGAGAGAAAAGGAAAGGTTGTATAAGGCGAGAGATCACCCTGGCGTTAAAAGGCTTAACTGCCTAATTAAGTCTGAAATACAACGTCTGAATACTATATACAACGAGTTCTTATCGTGTAAGAACTCTTCCAATATATGGAAATTATTTAAAGAGCTTACTGGTAAAAAACAGATGACAACACAAACTCGTTCGGATGTCTGCGCGTTAAACAAGTCATTTATACGTCGGCAAGCTAATTTCACCCTTCCTAATGTGCAAAATCAAGTGGATAGCTGCTTTCCAGGTTTCAATACAAATGATGTATTTAAATGTCTAAAGTCTTTGAATCCCTCCCAAAGCTTAGGTCCTGATGGTGTTTCTAGTATCATATTTAGAAAATGTGCAGATATTTTGTGTCATCCACTTACAGATATCTTCAATGTATCGTTCTCTAAAAACATAATACCCACTGCTTGGAAGCAGATAAAAATTGTACCTGTGCCTAAGCCATCTTCTGGATCAGATGTTACTTTTCGACCCATCGCTATAACTTCCCCTTTTCTGAAGACAATGGAGAAATTACTTCTGCTTGTGATTGAGCCTTCATTGATGGCCTTCAGAGATCCAAAACAGTTTGCTTACAAACACCGGAGGAGTACTTTAGATGCAGCTACTGTCTTGCATCATAATATTGTTTCTAGTCTCGACAAAGGTGTTAAGTATGTCCGTTGTGCCTTTTTGGATTACTCATCAGCCTTTGACTCTGTTCCTAGACCACTTTTGTTAAATAAGCTTGCCATAGCTCACACTGATCCATGGGTTACAAAATGGCTGCATTCTTATTTTTCTGAAAGGAAACAGTACACTATTCATAAAGGATGCGCTCGACTTCATTGCTTACTGAAGCTGGTGTGCCTCAAGGTGCTGTACTTTCTCCTTTTCTGTTTTCCTTTTTTTGCACGATTTGCCTTATTCTGTTGAAACTAATTTTATCAAGTATGCTGACGACCTGACGATTTCTATTCCAGTAAACTCTTCTTTGGATTGCTCGAAATTAAATGAATTCTTGTCTGAAGTTGGTAAATGGTCTCTCTCAAATGGTCTCAAACTAAACCCCTCTAAATGTCAGACCGTTAATTTTAGCCTCAGGCGTAAACAAGACTTATGTGAGCTGCTTAAATCTCATGACGCCTGCTGCATCAATGGTATTTCTGCAGAAAGTAAATCGAGTGTGAACTATCTTGGGTTGGGTTTTACTTCTGACCTTTGTTGGTCGTCCCATATTTTATTGACTTGTAAAAAAATCTTTCGTTTAACTTATTACGTAAAGAAATTGAGGCTTTCTGGTATAACTCAACTGCTTCTTTTACAATTTATTAATTCCTGCATTTTACCTATTCTTCTATATTGTTCCCCATTAATCTTTCCTGGTCTTCTTAAAAAGGACTATGTTATGTTGCGTAGGGCTTTGAAGACCGTCAGCAGGGTGAGTGGTGTGTCTCTGGCTCAACTGATTAACACTGTAGTTGATCGACATATAAATTCCTGCAAGCTACTAGCTACAGAAATTTTAACTGACAGTGAGCATCCACTTCATTTACAGCTCTCTCCATGTATCTCCTCAGGGAGGACAAGGAGAAACTACATAAGACTGTATGCTCGTACAGCTAAGTATAAGAACTCGACTGTACCTTACCTTGCACGTATATTTTGTGAGGAAAAAAGTGTTAGAACAGAAATCACACATCAACTTTGTGACAGTTAAAAATCTCATTTCAATAATTTAACTTACAATGCAAAATTTTCTCGTTTTTAATATTCTTCACATAACTTAAATTTTTATAATAAAACAATTCAAAAGGCTGCAAAGTAGTATGTATATACTTATATTTTGTTGTTATTGCAATATATATTACGCTGAGAATTCCAAATTGTACCACAAATTTTTTGGAATAAAGTGAATTATTATTATTCCTCATCGGTCAACTTTTGGCAAGTGATAAAACCTAAACTTTTATTCAACTCAGTGACAACAATGACTACAGAAAAGATTTTTATATGTGCTTAAGTTACCAATACTTTGTTATCATCACTGTTGTCTAATAGGTACAGTCAGTGTTAAACAAAGTGTTCTGCACAAAATGTAGATAAGTTAGCGTAGATAAACAGACAAACCGACCGATAAAATTGACGTAGAACCTCGCATAAAAGTCATTACATTTATTAGTCACTTGAGAGTAACCGATTTCTTGTTGTCGATTGAATTCTACTCATCGTTTTGCAATGTTGTCACCAAGTTATGAGGGAGACTAAGCACCATCGTGCATTTTAATTGATGTTAGATGTCTGGGGGTAGTCGACGTGAAGGTTATTTTCATGTTTGCTGCCACTTATCAAAAAGTCAGCTTGAACTCTGTGAGAAAGCTTAGATTTACTGATAGAATGATTCTCAAGACATAAGATATCAGTGGTTAAGACCTGTTGGCAACGCTCCAAAAGTCGATTATCTCGGTGTGGTTTCACCACATATACATCTTTCTCGCTGTTTATTGAATAAAGTTTCGGTTTATTCATCCTTTTATGTTGTATTTTTCAATAGCTTAAACTAGCTTGTTTTGTTGCTCCATGTTATAATTGTGTGACCGATCGGATTATATTCTTTGGTCTTCAATACTATTATTTGGATGGCTCCAAAGGCCATTCTAACAACTATTGAGATAGCCAATAACGGTACTGTATTTTATGAAAAAGACTGTCTTCGTAGACGAAATAATGTAACCTAACTGATTATTTCAGTAATTGCTACTCTGTTATTCACGAATTGCTGCACCATTGTCATATTCATCTATTTTAATCGTTTAATAATTTTTCTTTGAATTATTCTGGTTTTCAGCTCAATGACTACACGCGCGTTGCATTGGTTGCTTGTGATTTAACTAAGTTCAGTCGCAGTCAACCTCTATCAAATTCTTCACAATGTAAGCATATCGTTTGGCAATAGATACTTTATACTTGGCGTATAATCACATATGATTACATATTTAGCTTGTTTCACATGCTGAGTGCAGAAGATCTCCACAATGGTTTCAGGTTAATGAACGCCTGTCTTGCTTTTGTGATCCTGGCTTTGACGTCCTCGTCTGTGCCGCCCCCTGTAGTTGAAACGGTGCCGCCTCGATAGGTGAAAGAGGCTACTTCCTTTAGGCTTCTCCTATTGATGGTGATTGGAGTTTGTTGTTGGTTGAGTATCTTCATCACCTCCGTCTTCTCTACGTCCACCTGAAGGAAGTCCCGTCTTCGCTGCCTCGCTTCTTCTGTCAACTTGTTAGTTTTCGTCTGTAGATCTTCAAGTTTGTATGACATTAGAGACAAGTCTTCGGCAAAATCCAAATCTTCTATGTTCTTTTCCGCGGTCCAGCGTACCCCCCCTCTTCCCACACCCCACTGTTTGTTTCATGACCCAGTCCACTACAATCAGGAAGATCATGGGGGATAGTAGGCAACCTTGTTTCACTCCTGTCTTCACTTCACTTCGAAAGCATTATTGAGCTTCCCATTGTGAATTACTTGGCATGTGGCATTTGCATATAGTTGTTGAATGAGATTGATAAAGGTTTGTGGTATTCCGTAGTATTGAAGCAGTTTTGAAAGTATAAATTATATTAGCCTGGTAAAAATGGAAACACTTGCACATGTTTACGATGTCAGTATATCGGTTATCTTATGATTACTACGCTGTACACTTGAAGTAGTAGAAAAATATTTTGTTTTCATTGTGCTTCTGTGGTTTGGTAAATTTATATTTATCTTTATCTACTTCGTCTGTAAAGCTGTAAGTGAATGCTTTTCAGTTTTCAGCTTCTCTTTAAGCGTCGAAGACAGGTAAAGTATTTATATTCAAATCTCGACGTAGACATCTTTGAAACCATGCTTAACAGACAAAACGACTTCTTCTAGTAGCTGCATATTGAGTCAAATCTTATTTTAACGATCGCTGAAAACATTTGTTTCTAAAAAAAATATTTCAGTATTCATTTTTGAATCTCGCAAGTAAACTCAGTACTGTGTAGATATTATGAATCATTACCATGATCAGGATAGGACCAGGAATTACTGCGTAACGGTCCAAGTTCCCACACCTCATACCAACATATCATGTAACAAGCCAATAAGTTAAAGATGAAGAAGGATAGAAAATTGGTCAAAATAAGTAGAAAGTAGTAAAAGAGAGGAATGAAGTATGAGAAAACGGTGAGTTTCGGTATAGCGGTTAAGATGAGGATAATGTGTGTATACACCTGCACCACTGATTTCGGTTCTGAGCCGTATCACGTAGAGTCTCCAATCACTGCTTTCTCTTGTCCCGTGGACCCCAACCGGTTAGTGTGCGTTGCCATGCATGGCTCAAACCAACAGTCAAGGACTTCATCATCCATTCATGCCATATCTCAGTCTGACCGCCCCGAGCCTTTTTCCATCCTGAACCTACTTTAGCCAACATTGTGTAATGAGGCAGATGGCGGCTGGGCATACGTAATACATGTGTCAACCATCTCCGTCGATGAAAGTCCACAACCGCACCAACTGTCTTACCTCTCCTCCCTAAAACTCTACATCTGACCTGGTTTATTCACTTGGTAACACCATAAAACACTGTCTATTCTACGAAGACAACGACGGTCAAAAACCAGTTGTCTTCTACCTTTAATGGCCATGTTTCACACCCATAGAGTAACAGTTCAACTGAGGATAGTTTGACCTTTGCTTCAAAGTTGTTGTACCTATTTTTACCCAAGGATCTGGTTGATATTCTTAACTCTTACACATAAGCTGTGGTACATAGCTTGTTCCAAGATGCCGACTCGCGTATATCCGTTTTCTTTGTTTATCACTAGCTATAATGACCGAAAATTTGAAATTCGTGTGGACCCTAAATACTGTCGGAACAGTTCGCTTGTATGAATTTGTCACCACTGACAATTTAACGCTTCTTTTGACTGAAACATCTTGCTTGTATTATCCCATCGTTGATTAGGCCTAAGTGATCAGTCGGTATTGGGATATACGCTCCCAGCGGATGCACCGATAATACTTGTCATCTCAGTTTTTCTAGCAGTGATGGATAGGGGCTTGCACTGAAATCCAAGACGCACTTTCCATCTTACTTGAGACTCATCGACTGGATATACCTGCCTCTCAGTGAGCAATTTTGTTCACATTATGACTGTTTTTGATTGTTCTTTGTATTTTCAGTATGCTTTCAGAATGCTTTAAGTTATAAGCATGGGATTATGTAAGTGTTCATGGCTTGTTTGAATAGTCATTGTTGATTATTCCCTTTAGATTTTCTCAGTATTCGTTATGAAGTCTCTCTCTTTGATTTTTCTGACCTATTTTGTGTTTATTAATTATATTTTTAGCAAGAGTACACATTAAGTGAAATTGTGAATACTTAAAATGCTAATTAATTTACTTAATATACCTTGCTTTCAGAAATAAGTTGTTAAGGCAGCATATGGACAATATACTAACGTATCTCTTTTCCTATATCTTTTTTATAACTTGTCTGAACAGCAGTTAAACTCTTATCCTGCTGATTTGATTTTCCAATACATAATACTTTTTTTCCCGTTTCATTCATATTTTTAATTGTCACTCAATTTCTTGGTTGAAACTTGAGGTTTTTCAAGGAAAATACTCATATTTTTACGATGCTACTTATCCATAAACAAGTAGCTCAGTCGAAATTATTCTTTTTGTCCATAGCATAACCTTGTCATTATGAATCAAACTGGAACTGTGTCAAATTTTATGTGCTGTTCAATATTGTTATCTGGGCATCACTTCATCTTGCTTCTGGAATAAACTGAAATATTTTTGATTCATTTTTACTGTTTCATAGGACCAACGTTTATTTTTACCATCATCTGAAAAATTTTTAACAGTACTTATCTTACAGCTTACTGAACGCCTTAAAATTTTAAACTCAGTTTTTATTGTTAGCCATACACGAGTTGTTAGGTGTTTTACGTTCAGCAACAATTCTCAGTAGGTCCACTCGTTAGATGAATCGCTTTTACACTTCAAATTGTTTTCGTCCTAATAATAATAATAGTTTTATTGCAAACAATTTTTGGCACAATTTAGAATTTTCGACATGCTGTATTGCATCGCATCACATCTGCAAGCCAATTATTATAATTCAGATCAAAATTAGTATGGTTTAACATCAGACCTATATGCTTCTCGCGTTACCAGGCCTCAGTGAAATAAATAAGAATTATTGTCTGCACACTAAATCAGTTGTCAATGATATTAGTTGGAGAACCATTGAAAACCTGGGAGTATTGGACAGCTGTTTCTTCCTAGTATGAAACTCCTCAGCAGTACACTCATCAGTGACATGCTTCTAGGTGGATATACCGAAGTTCTTATGAGAACCTGTGATATGTAGGGTGAGCCAGTCGGAAGGGAAGTAGGTTCCAATTGAAGACCTTGGGTGATTATCGCGCTGTATCGCGAATTGGTAGAAGTCGGAAACTGTGAACTAATAAACTCCGACCCAGTTGCTGAATAGTTAATATGTTCTGCGTGAAACCTGAAGGTCCCGATTTCGACCTGTGGTGGGGTCGTGGGTGCAGGCTGCTGAGGAGTCCCATACTAGGACGCAGCAGTCATCCAGTCCTCCCAATTTTCAATGGTTCTTCAACTGCCAGTCCATTAAAATCCCCATTAATCTCAAAATAAATTAACTTTCCTGAAGAAAGTTGATGGGAGTACGCAAATTCACTTGTGTTATCTGTATACTCATTTTTCTTAAGTAATTTTGACTGCTAGTAATCATACGACTGTTATACATGAGTTTTCTTAAAATTTTTATTCACAGCAAATGGCTTCCTACCTCAGTCGAGAGTAACAACGGATCCATATTCCCCTGTGGTTGGACTAGTGCATTCACCTACTTTAGCTCGTCCGTTACCGCCACCAGTTTCATCGTTCAGTACTACAAAGCCAGTCAAAATTGGTCCTGAACCACCTCCAAAGATCAAAGACTTCACGTCAAACGTTTCTGTTGGTGTTGAGCAACGGCACCTTCCAAAAGTTCCAGTACCATCTGAGTTGTCATTTTGCTTCCGTCCAACTGGAGTGCCTGATCCCAAATTATGGTATCATTTAGAATGGACTGGAAGCTCTAAAAGTCCTGTAGACACCAATGGAAGAGTGAGGAGACTTACTAAATCTAATAGATCTCTAAACAAAAAGTCTGTTAATATCCAATACTTATTTTGTACATGTCCACGTGAAGCTAACTATTCACAGATCAATGACTTTGCAGGTGATTTAAAAACATGCTGTTCTTCCACATCTGATTCACATGGAAATGAACTGACGAAAATGTGCTCAGCATGCGTAGCACACCATCCTCTCTTATCGTCTTTTGGAGTAAATGATCCGAAAAATCATCATGTCCCACCAATAAACAGTAAATCAAAGCCCTCAGAAAAGTGGAAAAAATATGATTCTTACAATCGCTCAAAACATAAGAAAGATTTCTCAGAAATCTCCACCCTAAAGGGAGGTAAGCATGATTTGTGGTCGGCTGAAATATCAAGGAGTTTGAATCATTCCGTAGAAACTTTACCGAAAGAAGTATTCTTTAATCGTCTTTTACTAACCCGAGTGAGTTCAATGAACCAAGTAATAATTTAAAAATGTTTACATGAAAATTCATATAATTTTTTGGCTTCATGGACTACAAATATTAGGTTCTAAATAATATGGAAAACCATTCACTTATTATTAGCTATAGCATTCCATTGCATTCGAAGAGAAATCACTGTATATAATGGATAGTATTGCCAAATTTATTGCATGAAAAAGATAAAGTCTAAACATATACATAAAATTCACCTCAAAACGACTTGATAATCTAGCATCAAAGAGTTCCGTAGGGTATTTACATTGAAAATAAACTGTCATTTCATTAATGGTCAAAATTTAGGGGTGGAAATAAGTACACAAAGTATAGCTTGATTGAATTCAATGACTTTTGCCTACCCTTTTTAAATTTTTCTGACTGAAGACCATTTTTCCCTGATACACACACACATACATACCTTGCCTACACTATGAACTTGAATATTCTAAGCTTGATCAGTAAAATTCGCCTGATACATTCAAAAGTTAGTGAAAGATGTCTCTGATGTTATCTGGTGATACGAACTCTAAAGTTGTTATCAATTTTCTTCACAAAGACAACATTTACCAGCTAATACTTGATGGTTTGTACGATTGTAACAATTTATTGTGAATGGTAATGGCTAAAATATCTAACTGAGAACTTACATTTTTATACAACTCAATTCAGTGCATCATTGTGTACTAGGTTATCAGATACATTTTTTTAATGTGAGGACACAGGATTACTCGATTACCTAGTTTAAAACAAGTGCTCATAGTTTGGAAGTCAAACGCCTAATTCAATGCGCTATATTTCCATATGTAACTATTGTTTGATTCATTTGAATGGTTTTTGAGAAAGTGGTTTATTTGTTGGTGGTTTTTTCGACAAATCATTTTGAGCCCTGGTTAGCTGTTTTCTTTTAATTTAGGACATATTGGTAGTTTGCACTCTTGGTCTCCTATGAAGTCATAACATCCCCCTCTCACGATAAGCGTATCACTTTTCAGCCACCTAGTTGACATCTAGCAGTCCACAATTTTCAAATAATTACTCGGTCCTCCATATTTTTTCAGTAGCTCTATATCAGTTCACGAGCGAATACCGAATACCTGGATTCTCGAAAGCTTACTTTAGTTTGATTACTCAGTTTTTTTGCTATTAATCTAGTGTCTAATGTCCGTAGATCCGTTTCCTTTGTTAATTTTGTCAATTTTTGATATTCAGTTGAATTCTCGAGCCTGCTTGTACTCACAGAGTTATGTTCTGTAATGTTTTTAAGTTCAGTTCATTCCGGGGTAGTCTTTGTTCGTGAAATATACTCAGCCCAATGGACTAACTATTTGTCGTTTAGTCAATGCTGATAATTTTAATCGTTGTACCACAAACCCCCAGATTCAATTAAACTAGTGCTCATTGGTGACTAGCTTCGAGAGGGGTGATTCCTGAAGTTGCAAAGAGAAATCGTGACCAGTAGGGCAAACCTGGTGGCAGTGAGGACTGGGTTCCTACCCAGTGGCTCAATGTTAACGGAACCTGAAGGTGGAGGGTTCGATCCTTGGCAGGGTGGTTTTTGCGCATTCCTGAAGAGTCTCATACTAGGACGAAACAGCTCTCCAGTGCCCCTACGTTCCCAACGTTTCTTCAACTCATATCAGTCCATGATGAGTACCAACTTGGAAAATCTCTAAATCCCTACAAACCCCGAAATTCATTACTAAGATTGACTCGAACGCGTTAGCCTGATGATGTTGGTGCCTCAAGCGTGCTCATAAAATATGGAATGTAGTACTTAATATCACATAGTATATAATGTGGACGAATGTGAATCCGTGCTAATTGCAATATAAACAACAAGACAAATTCAAAGAAAGGTTTTCTCTCTCACGATTCCTTCGATTTGAATTCATATTTTGAACCCTATTAACGGAAAATTGCTTACATTCTTGAAACATAACCATACCTTGAATCGTTTCGATTATATACTTTAGTGGTGTAATTTTATGATGCAAATATACCAGCAAATTATTTATATTTTAGAAAGGAATAGTATCAAATATATTGTTTTCATTTTCCTTTGTTAGTTGTCTGTTACGAAATATATGGACAAATTATTCGAAGTAATCTTTAGCAGCGTCGTACAGTCTCATAGTTTGCCTGCTCCCATCAAGTATCTCTTCGACTTTTTAGACGATCGAGCATTCAAGTTAGGTGTACAAGATTCAAAAATAGTTCATGCTTGGAAATCTAACTGGTGAGTATTTTTGTACATAGTGTGTCTATGTATACACCTACACCTGTTTTATGATAACACTAGTTATGTTACCACCTTGCCTTTAATGCCACATTTCACAATTTATTATCCTTGATATAGTATTCAGTTTATAACCTGGTGGTTATTGAGATTTGTGAACAAGGTGATGCCTTTATTATAATGCTAAATTATATGATTGAGAAACAAGAATCTTTTTTCACCTAACTTGTCAAGCGACTATATTTTCGGTGAGGTTATCTGCTTTACAGTTGTTAGTTTATTCATAAAGCTTTCATTCTCATCCTAAATAACATGAGCAGTATAAATTTAAGGGGGGAAAATCATCAGTAGTAAGTGGCTTACCTTGTCCTGATAGTTCGTAGGCCACTTCTTTCGAATGTTTACGATGGTGTAGTTGTGGCTCATTGATTTGTAGAGTTGACCTTCAACCACTAGATCAGCGGTTCGAACATCCTTTAACCTGACGAGGTTTGTGCAGTTAGGTAGTATCATTAGCCCTGACACGATAGGTATGGCTCACAACCTACTGCACAAATGTTTACAAGGTTGCTGAGTGACCATTTTATCTAGAATGACAACGGAAGCTTCATGTTTGAAGGTATCCTGACCAAAAATGGACTGGATGGTTTGAAAAAAACTTGGGCACCGAGTTAGTATGATTCATTGTATAGGGCGCCGGGATTACACAAGTAAAAATACATCCTATACAAGGAAGCTTCATAGTTAAACCATTTAGCTCAAAAAACACCACAGCACCGAAAAAGTTCTCTTAAGCTACAGATATTCGTGACATAAATTTTCTTTTCTGAGTATAAATTTGTTAAAATTAAGTGGAAAAAAACCTTTTCGCTTTGAACTATGACTATTTACCTTCGAAATGAGATCGATATCTGGTTAGCAGTTACATTTCGTAGCGTATTTAAGAAACTTGGATTTTTATTCCATCTTGCTATTCTATCTCTCATTATTATAAACAACGTTTTGTGCTCAAGGTTATCATATGTGATTGAAATCTAATTTATATTATCATTATTAATTGTATTCCAAAAAATTGTCTTGACAAAACTCAGTCAGTATTCTTTTTATTCTTTCACTATTCAGGTGACCATATTCCAATTATTATTTCTATCCAAAGCTAAACATCTACAATGTAGAGATACTTTCTTCATAGTTGTAATTGTCTATATTTATTTGAACTTTTCACATTTCATCAAATATTGTTCCTGAAATATTATAATACATTTAATCTAAAAATGTATTGCTTGTCTGTAATTTATTTTTCTGTTTATTCTAGCATACAAATGCGTTTCTGGAATCAAATCATTACAAATTTGGACTATATATTTGATATTTCTTTGTTGCGTAATACAGCACTTGAACGTTCATTTCATTCATTTAGTCATGCAATGACATATGCTTGTACAGCGTATAAAGAAAAAATTACAAAGGATTCATCTTTTTTAAAGCTACTTTTTGCTCCAGATATTTCTGTAAGTCAGTTAAAACATTTATAATATAGACATAATTTCTATGTAATATATTTCCTCAATCAATATATTTTATGCATGAGATCAATTGTATTTTGTCCCTTTCGAGGTAATTTTCAATTCAGCATCATGTTTTCCAGTTTTTAGGGTAACAGAACTTCTAATTATGTAACTCATTTACGATGTTCAATATGTTAACATATATCCTACAGTCTAGCTAATTTAATTAGTGAATGTAAATAGAAACTAACTGATTTTACGTTATAGCGTTTTCCCTGCTAGACTATTACTATTGTATACAACGCAAATCGCTTCAGCATAACATGTCATGAAGGAATGCGAGACGCTAAATGAAATAACAGAATTCAGATTCCACTCTTTTATGTTTCCTTGGTTACCTCGATAAATGGGAAAGACAATATAACGGAAGGTGTATCTCAACAACCTTGGCTATTTCCAGTCCTTTGTAGATTTGAATATTCTATTGGTTTTTGTCTTTTTTACCAATCAAACATTTACACGCTGATTCACGTATTTTTCTCTGAAACTTCGGAACTAAGTGATTGGCTGAAGAAGGCTTCAGCGGTTTATGGATTATGATGAAGATTTTGGTAATCTTATTCCACACTATAGCAGTTTCATACACTGACCAATTCCCTGTTTGTTGTCTTCAGCTAGTTTTAACATTGAAATGGTATAGGAATTACTATAATGGTATATGTCAGGTGAACTTTACTCACCGAGTGGTGTCCGTCAAGGATGCCCGCTCTCTCCATTCTTATTCAATTTTATCATAGATAGACTCTTATGGAGGTCTCCTTCTCATCATCAGGTTACACAGACGTTGACCTAATCACAGAAGAATTTTCGTTAAACCTAGAATATGCAGATGACATAGACCTGTTAAGTTAAGGCGCTGACAAGATGTAGAGTCTTCTGAACAGTTTGAGTGGGAATTTGAGAATATTAGGGATGCGTTTCTCACCACCCAAATGGAAATGTTTGCTCCAGGATTGGTTTTCAACAGTGCCCCACCGTGGCTAACAATAGAGAGTGTAGTGATTGAGTGTATCGACCATTTCACTCACCTGGGAAGTCGGATCATACCTGCTCTGGTGGCTTAGTGGCCGATGAGATCTTCGCACGGATGCAAAAGGCTCGATTGGCTTTCGCCAACATACGCCACCTATGGCACCGCCGTGATATCTGATTGTCTATTAAGGGTCGCGTGCACTGTACGGCAGTCCGGTCTGTTCTACTGTATGGTTGTGAAACATGCCCATTGAAGGTGGAAGATATGAGAAGGCTTCAAGTGTTTGACCACTGTTGCCTTCGTAGCATAAGCCGTGTTTCGTGGTGTCACCACGTAAGTAATTCAAACGTCAGGTATAGAGTTTTAGGGAGTAAAGGTAAATCAGTTGACGAGGTTATGAACCTTCATCGACTGAGATGGTTGGGACACATTATGTATGCCCAGTCACCGATTGCCTCGTCACACAATGTTGGCTGAGGTAAGTCCAAACTGGAAAAAGGCCAGAGGTGGCCAGACTAAAACATGGCACCAATGTTTGAAGTCACTGACTGTTGGTTTGAGCTATATGGAGCAATGCGAACTAAGTGGTTGGGGTCCGCGGGACAAGAGGAACCAGTGGTTGGAGACTCTAGGTGATATGTCTGAGAACCGATGTCAATGGTGCAGATGTATACACATATTATCCTCATCTTAACGACTCTATACCGAACCTCACCACTTTCTCATTCTTCGTTCCTCTCCTTTCGTACTTACATTTCTTCTGACTGCATTCTCTTATCTTCATCTTGCGCCTTATTGCCTTTTTACTTGACGTAGTGATATGAGGTGTGGTAACTCAGACCGTTACGCAGTATTGCCTGGTCCTAGGTTGACCTGGATGGATGGATAATTGTATATGTAAAAGTTGCCCTAGCTAGGAAACCAGATTTTATGAAATTTCATTAATTCATCAACTCAAATTTGAGGTTTAGGAGATTTATTGATTTTAAAGTAGTATTCATCATGGACTGACATCAGTTGGAGAACCAATGAGAACGTGGGAGTACTAGACAGCTATCTCATCGTACTATAGGACTCCTCAACAGTGCGTGCCCATCACCTTTATGTTTCACGGTTAGTACGTTACCGTTGAGCCACTGGGTCAGCATCCAATGGTCCAAACCTTTCTATCTCTGTCAGTTTGCCATAATGGGCTATCTCCTTTCAATGCCATCTTTGAGTATTTATCCCCACATCTAATTTGGTTTGACCCTCTCATTGGATCCCGACCCTGTAGTTCAGTGATAAGGTGCTCGCCACGAAACCTGACAGTCCTAAGTTCGATCCCTGGTGGGGTCATGGGTGTGGGCTTCTGTGGAGTCGCATCTTAGGACGAAACAACTATCTAATTTTCTCAGGTTTCCAAAGGTCCTTCAGCTGATATCAGTCCGTGATGAATACCACTTTGAAGTTATAAACCGATGCCATATCCAACACATACAACTCTGGACCTAGACAATAATGATGTGATATAGTAGTCTTAATGGATGAATACTACGGACGCGAAGCCGCTGAACATCCCCATCTTAAAGGTCTTAAGTTTCACAAGCTGTATGAATCGAAATGTCCAATTTTATTGTTGTATATTTGATAGTATTATTCCTATCATCTTTTGACTGTCATTATCTTTGTCGATATTTTCATCTATCCCACTTAAAAGTACAATGACATCCGAGGACACACTTCTTTTCGGCGAAATTATCCTCTGTCGCTTTAAGATCACACTCCACAGTGATTGAAGACTGTTAAGTAGCATTCTGATGTAGATTTTTATCGATTAATCTCTCTAGCTCTCCATTTCTAATGAACTTCGATCGTACCACTTCGGTTGAGATAACCATTCACTGAATTAAATTTCGTCATTCACTTTGCATAATATGTTTATCTATCGAGATAGCAACTTATTGAGTAAATTTATATTTTCAGTGCTTTCTTATTCAGTTACGTGAATCAAACCAACAATTAGCACAAAAATAGTGTGACCGTAGATTCTATAAAACCTATTTCGCTGATGGGCATAACAGTTTAAAATATCCTTGTTTTACATCATGAAGTAGTCGGATACAAAAACCTATTTACCAAATGCCAATAATTTATTCACCTCTGCCAATTGACCGTGTTAGTATGCTTTCTCTGTTGTGTCTTTCACTGTGTCACTGTACTCCATGGTTTTCCTTTTCTACAAAAATTAACCTTGGACAGTATCCAGCCTGAATATAATACATGGATAAAAAGTAGAGTCACTTAATATTCTGTTCTCAACCTTCTCAGACTCGAACTACTAGTCTTCTATTTAGTAGCAGTGCATTTAGAAGATTTATTGATATGTTACTAGTTCATAATTGATTGAATGATTGGTAATTTATAGTCTCAAATAATGATGCGTCTGAAATTACTTTATATGGTCTATTTCTTTAAAGTGGAGTTGAAGAGGTGACGGCAGCATATTTGAGCATGTTTCCACGTTTGTTGTTTCGTTGAATAACACTATTGAAACCTGATAAATGGTGAAAATTGAACTGTTTTGAGTTGTGGTGTTTAATATGATCGTGCAGCAATTGATTAGTTTATTTACATAAACTTTTATACTTGTCCTAGGGAATATTTTCAATTTAGTGTTTTCGTAAAGTAGAAGCTTTTTGACGTCAGTTTTCTGTATCTTTACACAATCAACTCATATGTTCCTCTGTTCATTTATAATTTAGCAACAGTGGAATCGAGTACACAATTATTATCGTGAAATTAAAGCTTTACCAGCTGTACAACGGGAAGCTATGGATGAACTCCTTCGACAGCATTCCGTTAATCATTCCACAGACTTTAATGTTTCTTGGGCGATTTTTGAGCTTTATACAAAGTATGTAAGAAATCATCAAGATATGGTGAGTGGATTTAGTTAAACAAGTTGATACTCATCTTTTTTTTACGTTTGTCATTAGATTGATACTTTTCAAGCATAATATTTTATCATAAGATTAAGGTATAAAAAACGCTTATAGAAATAATGAGGTGATGAGAAGTGACTTTTTACTAGCAGTTTCAGAGACTAGCATGAAATAAGAGTCTAATTGCCTGATCATTAATCAGAACAAGAGTTTTAAAAGTTCTCATCATGTATATTAGAACAAGATATATAAGCGAATAATATTGTTTTCATTTAGATCCTCTTCAAGCTCCACTCTAATACAAATAGCTTAATATATATAAAAACTAAACCAATTGTGTAGATTTGTCGGTTTATGCGATAAATAGTGATAATAATAAGAATATTATTAGTGATAAAAATGATGACGGTAACTAAAGCCACTGCAACACTCTGATAATTAAAGTGGGTCAAAAGCTTTGGAAAATAAAAGTTACGTACCACTTATGGACGAGGTAAGTGGATAAACAAAGTCTAAACAAATACATTAAGTATATGAAAGGGGTGAAGAAAGTGGTAGGAAGAAAACTCAGTTATTAACTGTCTATTCCCTAGCCAAGGGATGTAAAAAAAAACTTCTTCTGAATACAAAGACTAGGATTATTAGCTTGAATTCCATCAGCTTTGCCTATGTATAAACAACAAGTTCGAATACCTTTTGAAAGATGAGGTGGTATACAGTGAATAATCGTGAAAGCGTTGTTCTTATCTACCAAGTGACCACTATCAATGAAGTGAGATAAAACCGAACTTCTGATGGATTTTATTTGTCCGTCGCTATTGTTATTTTAAGACATTTATCACATTAAGTGACAGATCTATATGGTTGGTTTAGTTTTTATATATATTAAGCTATTTGTATTAGAGTAAAGCTTGAAGAGGATCTTTCTTAATGCAATACTGTTCATTTATATGTCTTGTTTAAATTTACATGATGAGGATTATTAAAACTCGTAAATCCTATGTGGAAGGAAAAATGAATTTACTGTACAAATATTACGGTAAGCTGTTCATTTTAACGATACTGTTAGTATTTCTACTTTATTTAAGACATCAATTAGTATAGAATTAGCCGGTGGTTGTATTATTATGAAAGCTTAGATATTTAGTTGGTTCAATTTGTCAAATATGCACTTCAAAATAACATGACGAGCGAACTGAAGTGTGTGAACCAGAAAGGAGTCATTCTGAGATGGTGAATAAACGATTACATAATAGAAAAAACTGGTATTTACAAATTCCACTCAAGTCTTTACCTGACTCAAATGAACATTTATTGATTTCATGTTCTGGTGATCATTTCTAAATTTGACTATCCACTACAACCCATGTTATACAACGCGCAATGACACTTTTACCATGTAGAACTTGTCTGTGTGGAATTATTTAACTATTTGAATGGTATTTTCATTCATCTATGCAAAAATAAGACTTTATATTCAATGTTTCAACATGTCGTGACCGGTGGAGTCAAAGCCTGATGGTCATGAGGACAAATACTCAACGATGACATTGGGTGGCGGTTTGCGCTATATCGTGAGCTAACAGAAGTTGGAAATATGGAGCATTGGATTGTGACCCAGTGGCTCAATGGTAACGCGCTGGTCGCGGAACCTGAAGGTGGCGGGTTCGATCCCTGCTGGTGGGGTCGTGGGTGCGCACTGCTGAGGAGTCCCATACTAGGACGAAACAGCTGTCCAGTGCTCCCAGGTTTCCTTTGTTCCTCCAACTGATGTCAGTCCTCGATGAATAACAACTTGAATGTTTCAACATATCCATTATTATTCAGCCGTCATTTTAGTTATTATCCTTTTTTGTTGACGAAATTGCATCATTCAATAATGTTTACTTATGTTTCTGATTTTATTCACAGCTTATTGCTCATTTACAACAACATGCTATAAACCAGTCATCTAGCAGTTATAGAACAACAAGTGAACAGCCTATACCAAGTAATTGTAATTCATCTGAAAAGCCATTCGTATCTGCATGTACAGAATGGAATCCAGTAAAATTTATTCAAATGCTTATCGAAATTAACCAATGTTTAAATAATGTGGAAACTATCCAAGCGTCATTTGCTCAGACTAATGTCACTTCGTTTTCAACAAGTTTCACAACAGGTGATATTTACAGTGCATGTGATTCTAGAACTGGTATTTTTCGACCGCATACTAAAAAAGCTGAGAATTTTTCTCAACCTTCTTCAGCTCCAAGTCAAACAGTAACTGATTGTCTAGATACTCTTCGTTCATATAATACATTGACCACTGAATTTGCTGGAGATGAAACAAGTCGATCCGCTCATCATTACTACTATCATCATCATTATTATCATAATCATCATAATGATGGACGACAAGTGAATACAACAACTGAACCAGCTGACTTATCTATTCATTCAACAGCAGCTTTAAGTGCAAATGATACATATGCTGAAAGTGTTTCTAAATACAAGGATCCTTTGGCGTAAACAGTCAGTGGATTCAGAAATCTTTATTCTAACTTTCTCAGTCTATTTATATATATTGACTTGTTGTTTATTTTGTATGCAAGACATTAAGCAGAAGAATGCCCTTGTTCTCATGATTATTATCTCTATTATGAACTTCAGTCTGATGACATATAGCTGGATTAGGATGCTTACTCTATATATTACATTGAGTTGTAATCTTTTCATATTCTACTTCTATGCATTCATTTTTACTAATATTACTTGATTTTAGACTACCTAAATAATGTTGAACTAGATTGTCAAACAGTTTAGTATAGGCTACTTTATACTATATATTTATGAGAATATCTCCTATTTTCCTATTGTATGTATGTGTTGTGTTCATTTCATGTATCATAAGAGGTGGATAAAATTTTATTCGATGCATTTATCGTTTAGTTTAATGGATAATTTTCTCATAGAAAAAATAGCTTTGCTCAAAGTGTAGATTATATATATTTCCCTCCGCATTCATTGTGGTTCTAGGATGTGTTGAATTTAACACCAATATACTTTTGGTGTTGATGATAATCGTTGTTAGTTTTCTTTTTATACATTTTTTTTCTTTCAAACAGTCACAGTTATTTAATTTTATTTTCTAGTATACATTGTTTCTTATTTTCGACTGCTGTTTATTATTATTATCAGCCAATAACTACCACATTCTCTTCTATTATCATTGCTAAAAGTCGATTCTACTAAGTATAATAGCCGAGTTTTTTTTTTTAATCTCTCTTTTCATATTTTTTTTTTACAGTTTATGCAATTCTGCTTCCTAATGATAATAAAGACAATAACAACAGAAAAACGTTTTAGATTCGTTTTTCGTTGCCTATTCGTTGCCTCTCACTTTCTTCCTCTTCTTATGTAAGTGTAACTCCTGCCATTGACCGGCTTGATTATCTTTTTTTTTTAATCTTTATCGCATATTCGTAAACTATATTCGAAATAGTGTTGTTGTTTTGTATAATGTGTAACACACAAGAAGTTGATAATGATCACGTCGTGTAGATTCTACAGAGAAGAAGGTAGAATGTCGAGCACAAATATAGAGGGTGAGAATACTCACAACACACTGGGCTGACGAAAATAATAAGAATGTTTGTTAGTGTGACTTAACTGTAAGGCTTTATATTTTTATTGAATATTGGTTATAATTTCCAATAAACAGCTTCCGCTGCTCTCGTGGAGATTATTACTATATAGAGTGTTTCCTACTTCAAATGATAAATTGTAGGCGTTTTTTTTGGCATTACAAAAGTGTATACTAAACAGTTGCATCTTGTCAGTGTAGCAGAATCGATGTATATTAATGAGTTGGTGAAAGTAAGCAAATAAACTGATAAGTATGACGGCAGCGGCAGTAGAAACACTAAACATGAATCAATGAGAGAAGTAAGTAAGAGATGGAAGTCTCCTGTGGCTACTGTGATAACGTGAAATAAAGAATCCTGGTCATGAATCATTGAATGATGACGTTTTCAGAGCGTTGAGTCCTATGTTATTTAAACGCCGAAGTTGACAGATAGGTTCAGGAGATGTAATGTATCAGTGAAGAGACTGGCATTTCACCAGTCCTGCCGATGAAAAAACCCAGCGATAAGTACAGATTCGGTGTTAAATTTTGATACATGGACTGGAATTCTGTAAAGCGGACTATTCCAGGAACATTGGATCTTCTGGAAAATGTTATGATATTTTCAGTTTTAGACCTCTGATGGGAGTAACAGTAGTTACCGATAAAGAGTGACAGATGAGGCGGGATTCATCGTAGGACAGAAACAGTATCGGTATATTCCGAGACCATTTGAACTATCATTTTTGCGATTTACGTCTTCACTACTTAGAAATATGAAATACGTGCAGGTGTATGGAAATGGGTCAGCGGAGTACAGCTAGATAGAAAATCACCATCTGAAGCAAGTAGAAGTCATTGTAAGATGCACTTGAGGTTTTGGATTATGGGTCATCAAGATGGAATGTCAGTCAAAGATAGGAAAAGCAACATTGTTGGGGTTTAAAGTTAAGAATAGTGAAGTGAAGCACTCAGCTGGGAAAATTCTGACGGCAAAATTCACAAAAGTGCCGCATTTAATAGGGAAACGGACTTCTCGGGGCGGACTCACTCCATACCCTCTTCGTTAAAATTCTCAATGACGTAGCAATACCTCTGCATAAGTTATTGAGTACACCGAATTTCTTTTGAATAGAGAAAGTACAGAAAACGGATCTTATTTAGGAACTCTTGAAGACAATAAGCTGACTCTGAGACTACCAGTACCGGGAAAGCCTTTATTAGATTCGACTGATGCAAGTTACTACAGACGCATGCGACACCAGACGAAGAAGCTGAGATGTCGGAGTTTCCATATGGAAATAATGCATTGGAATCAACTCCTTAAGAATTCGCCATCTGATGTCAGATCCCACACTTAGTGGAGTAATACCAGTGATAGCTGAGGGAGTAAATGCCATCAAACAGGAAGATGACAACATTACTTATTTATGACTAAATGCCTCCGGGGCTCTAACCTGGTGAAATATTGGTGGGAGCTGGGCAACAATGATTCCAAGGTACCTTCATCATGAGTCCCACCAGCTAGCAGGAAAGATAATGCAAAGGCGACAGAACTTCTAAAATAGTGTAAACTTGCTGAGTATGGAAAACGACCCGGGGAATTTTGTGCTGATATATCTTCGGTGGTAGTCGGTGCATTCACCTGTCATTGCAGTTCGTCCTAGTTACAGCAGCTAGCTACCTACTTTCGGTGAATACAATGGGATCGTTTCCGCAGACACCTCGTGGCAACCAATACCTGTTGCTGATGACTGCATGATACACATTGTGTAGATGCCGTAGCGATAAGGGATCAGCATGCAGGTACTGAAGCCTTGACTTGAAATATTGTCGAAGTCCACTGAGTACCAAAGATGGGTGAAGCTTTCAAATCGTATATGGAACAGCTAATCATCAAGAAAATATGAATGATACCGCATCAATCACACACAAATGACTGGACAGAAAGAAAGTAGTGGCTGACCTTGATGGGAAGCGGCTTTGAGACACGGTTTCCATGACCCTTGTCGGTGCATCATGCCGCTGTATCAATGAAAAGAAATCACTTCCCAACCTGATGTCTGGTAGAATTCCACAGCTACCAATACGCAAGAAGACCTGGTCGCTGCAACAGGAACGTAGTAAGTGGAGATTGCCAACTGAACGAAAGCGAGCTTTGAAGAATGTATCAGATAGGCAAAAAACGGACACCGAGAATTCTGAGCGAAAAGAAGGCAGGAAATGCAAACCATTCTAAGTGGGAAACCGAACGAACTGTGGAGACGAAAAAATACTTCATGAAGTGGGTTATGATCATGAAAGCTGCTCTACCAAAGCGAGGAGGACCACAGTCACCAAAATGCATGATGCCTTAACTTTACATGGCCAAAAGAGGGGACAAATAGAAACACCAGCTGATTTCAGAAGAAAAATTGGGAATGTAGACGGAGAAGGAAACTATCAGGTGATTCACGTGACTGGAGATGAGGGATAAGTATAATGAACGCCACTTATAAGAATGTTTATTGGTAGCGTTTGTAACGTCGGAAAACACAAGAAATCAACGACCGCTTAATAGAGACTGAAGAGAAGAAGGCAGCATGAGGAATTCAAATATAGAGGGCTAGAACACTGGGATACCGAAAAGAAGAAACCAATCAAATCTCCACGAAACTTTAACTTAGAAGACCATGCATTGCTGTCTGGGTGACCTGTTTCAAGGTAGCCTTGTCTAAATTCTTATTAGAATTGGTTACCTATGGAGCCATCCAAGTCAGGTATAAAGCAAAACACTTTCCGATCGCACTGGATGATGGTTATACAATGTCATGTATTGACAACTGTTTGAAAACTTGGACCATTGTATTTCGATCCACCGGTTATTTCAGTGCTCTCACCATCAGAACCGATAGTCATGAACTGCTTTACTGATGGGTCCCCACTGTCGATGAATCCAAAACAGCTGTTCAATGCTCCAGGGTTTTCAGTGGTCCCCTAACTGATTTTGCTGCATAACCAAAGCCGCCTTTGAAATCAATCTTTCCCCATAAACCTCTAAACTGAAAAGAATACTGGTCGCTAATGTGACTTTGTTGCAAGTTTCAGTATCTTGTCAATACCAATCGTAATTTGTAAGTAACCAATCTCTCCTGCTTCATCGACTATCATTTCAGTAATGTAGCTATATTTCCATGTGAACGTTACCAATTCCATGTATACTGAAGGGAGTTGATTGAAAAATCAAATTTGTCAAAGTCACATACTGTTTACATTTGGCAAATGTCATGAAAATGAGTCGAATAAGATTTTAGGAATAAAAGAAGCTCCTCGTCTACAGTAGACAAAATACACATCGAATCACTATCAAATAAAATAAGTGTAAGTTCAGTGTATCATCCTCAGAAGCCAAACAATAATGTTTTAATTTAGTCAACAAGCAGACGTGTTGGTAAATATGTCGATATTCCTCAAACAATAATTCCTAATACGTTTTGCTTATGAAAATGGAAGTAGCGTAAGGAACATGAAAATATTTGACAACATAAACAAGTTGAGAACAAGAATTAAGCAATTCATAACAATGTGAGTAGATAATTATTAATGTAGAAAGGAAAGAAAAACTAGTAACTGACTTAAAATTGTCTATGTAATAACAAAAAGAAAATTTAAAGATCGGTTAGGTTTAATATCTGGAAAGTTTAAAATGTTAATAAGGACATGGAATGGCAAAGTTATTTTTGAATGTACAATTCTAGTTTCAGTTTCTATACCACCACAACTTGATATACTGTGAAGAATTAAGTTGTACTTTGTAGTCAATAGAATCTTCTGGAACTATACCAGCTGTCAATATAATGTTGTATTACGGAGCTATTGATTGATCTGAGTTGACCTTGATGGAAGGTATTGATGTCGATGTTGGATACACTGCCTCTGCGTATACTCCATAAGAGTAGGTGAGTTTTTATGAACACATACAAGTGGTTAACAGCTTCAGTTTTCTCTTCACAGACGTGTTTACCATCGAGCGACTACTATTGGTGCTGTGCAAATTGGCTACATAGAAGGCTTTTTGATGGCATTCATTAGTCTGTGTTTTAGTACCTTATTAACTGAATGTCTATTGAATTCCAAGCTCAAAAGTAGTGTCTTCATAATAATAGATAATTGATAAGTAGCATTCTGATTTAGATTTTTATCTTTTCATCTTCTGGTATTCATCTCTGATAAACTTCAATATTCGAAGTTGAAGTTCATCGGAGTACACTAACATACTTTTATCTAATACAAGTTTTCTTTTTATCTGCTGTGAAATAGTTTCTTTTGATTGCTTAACGGATACAAATCTTTCCCTTCTAAACATTAGGATTTGTCTTCGTCACTTGTTTTATTTGATATTTACGGACATGATAATCAGTCAAGTTGGCGGAATATAGAAAATGCTTTCGTAAATCTGAGAAGCGAGTGATTCCAAATTTATCAACTTAAAGTTAAGTCTGAGTAGATCCTTCCTCACTTTTTGTGATTCTCACAGTTCTATTATGATAATCTATAATTTCTGTAAGAGAAGGAAGATAGGATGAAAACACTGAAAAAGATACCTTTCGATTTCCAATATTTTGAATTGAACAATTATTCAATGTTCAATTTTTCCGCGTTTCTGTTAGATGAAGATAACCCAGTTCACATGAAATCAGTAAGTAAATTGTTGATCATGGTCTCACTAGCAACTAGCTATCGAATACAGATGTTAACACTCTGATCAGGAAACATTATTTGGACAGCTTTGCATTAATTTCTTGATAAGAGTGAGAATAAAAATTTGATGGAAATAAACTTATTTTGAAATGATGGAAAATATTTTTAGCTCAGGATGAGTAATGGCAGGTCTTGGATGTTTCATCACTAGGCTTACTGACATCTTCAGCATTGACTTCATTCAGCTCAGAGAACACCAAACTGTCGTCATATTCACTTTGTTTCACTATGTTTACAGTTTGTAATTTAAAGTATTAGCTTGTCGATCGAATTTAATCTTCGCTTAGAATTTACTAGGGTGTAGTGAACAGGATATTCTTAGATTTTGGATCTGGAACCTTTTCAATAAATTGTTGCATATATTAT